ACACACACACACACACACACACACACACACACACAAATGTCCTCATTCCACTGCTCATCTCTCCTCCTCCACTGGTGTGATTTCAGGCCTTGCCCTTTCCTTTTTCTATCATCCCTGTTGTGCCTCTCATGTCTCCGTCCTGACACAAAGGGATGATTGCATCGCTGCAGGGGGCGCTGTTTGTTTTTAAAGGACAGCGTCAATGACTTGGCCATCCGCCCGGCTCCATAAGTGAGACCGGCTGCTGCTGCTGCTGCTGCTGGTGGGTCGTTTCCGCAGAGATTATCAACGCTGAGGCAGCAAGATTACCCCCCCCTCCCCTCCCCCGCCGCCCCAGGAAGCAAATTGGTGTATTATGATTTCTTAACTTGAGTGATGTTGACAACGCCATGAACCGGGAACGGAAAAAATTCACCGGCAGATAGGCGTTGCGTTACAGTGATTGCTGGCTGAAATCTCATTCATGATAAATTGATTACAATTGGGAAAACGAGAGTGAGGAAAGTTGTTGCAGCCCTGGTCCAATCAAACGAGCGAATACCAACACAAATTAATTAAATAAAACCGCTTCCAGGGACACATTGTCCTGCATGGATGGGGATTTGTTTAGCCAAATACACAATTTGCTTATTAAATGTCTTCCAAGTCAGCCATATCTTTGATAGCAATTCTGTGAAGAATGCCGTTAGGATTCATCTTCAATCCGTTCTAACTGAACGGTTTCTATCGATGTATGTGAAGTGCCCACCGTCACCTGTGAGTGTAGAGAATCCCTCTAAGAAACCATCTTCTTAGCTGGAAAGAGCCACGCCTCCAGATGTTCAGACCTAAAATGCAGACATTGAGAGCTTTAATAGTAGTAACCTTCTAATGACAAGATAGTGGCATCTATCAAATTAACTTCTGTTAAGTGCCCGTGCGGTCGCAGGACGATTATGAGCGCGAAGCTCTCCGTTCAATTCATTTGACAGCATGTCTGTCCCCCCCAGGCTGAGCCTTCACTTTAATTTTCACAGCTTTCCCCTCTCCCTCGTGCACCAAACCACCCTCTTCGGTATTAAATTGTGTCTGCATTGGATATATTAAGGGGGTGTAGGAACTCTGGAGGGAAGGGGTGCTCTCTCTTTATTTTACTCTCCTAGCAGCAGATCTCACCCCACTTCCCTCCCCATCATAATTGCTACTTATATATTTTTACATTTTGATTTGCAGTAATGGAAAGCGCAGTGTTCTTTAGGGGAAAGGGGTGCATCCTATTTATCTCGAGCATCCAGGCTCAGCCTCCTCAATAGGCTTAGCCTTCCTAAATACAGCACACTGGATATGAATCAGATTTGGAATGGGGGGTCGGTCGGGGGGGCTGGAGAAAGCCATTAAAACACACCATTCCATCTCTGATTTGCCTCCCTCATCCAGCAGCAGGCATAAGGGAGAAAGCGCTGTAGCGTAACATTGGGATCTTGTGGGTCTGGGTGGGTGTTTGAGGTAAGGGTGGGAACGCGTTTGTGACTGCGTGTGGGGGGGGGGTTACATCGGCAGTGTCAGGATGTCAGGCGCTCTCCCGTTTAAGGCGGCAGCAGGCGGGTGCAGATTTATGACGGCCCCGCTGAGGGGAAAGCGTGATGGGGGATGCAGAGGCAGCTCTTCACTATCGAGGATATCTCATGCCTCCTTTGAGAGTTACTTAGCTCTCATTCGGTCGCTTTGTCCTCCTTCTCTTTATAACTATTTCTCCTTTTGTATTATTATTGTACAGAATAATTTATGTCTCTATAGTCTATAATTTCTTCTTTCTTCTTTACTTTCGTCCCCCCTTTCCTGCACGAGTAGTGCAGGGCTTCCGGGAACAATTGTTTCCTTTGTCTGTCGGCCACGGCTCTCTCTGACAAGGCTTTTAATTCCCTTTATGTGGTAGAATAAGTGAGAATCGGATCGTTTCATCTTTTTTTAAGTATCCATAATGGCTGGGAGAGAGAAAAAGGGCAGGAGGAAGAGGTCGCATGAAGCAAAGAATGAATAGTGACAGTGTTTTTCAAGTGTCTCATTTATAAATATATTTATTATTAGCATCATAAATAGCTAATGAGACTCCTTTCACAGGCTAGAATGCGTTTCAAATATTTCCAAATGATTGCATCGCATTTTTGAAGACAGAAGTTTTAGAAGAATATTCACTCTCATTTACGTGCGCTGAATGTGTAGCATGCAATTAGCTTAGCCTACAGATTGAAAGCAGCCTAACTAGCGTAACCCGGCTAGCCGTTTCCACCTGCTTCCAGTCTTCACGTTAAGCTAAGCTAAGCTAACCGTCTGGGTTATAACGGGGTTTGTGTGTTGCAAACACAGAAGTGATAACACTTGAGCGGTTGACCACAGCTCTCGTGTACAGTAGTGGGTGGATGGTAGTCTTGTATAATATAGGAGGTCCTGTCAACGTATCCGTATCACATGACACCCTGATACCCTGATACCTGCCCGGCCTGTGATATTGTTTTGGAAAGGCTTGTGTGTTGCCGTGGCAGCACAGCGCGCCAGCTGTTCCCGGCTTGATTGTAGTTTTCCACCTGCAGCAGGAAAAAGACCTGTTCTCCTCCCAACGTTTCCATGTAAACATTTTACAGGAATGTGTGTGCGTTATTTCTGGTGTTGGAAGCGGACTTTGGTGGCTTTACGTTGCCAACAACTGCAGGAACATATTTAATGGGTGTTTTTTTTTCAGAACGATAAATTATTTAGCGCTATTCTTTGTTTGTTTGTGTTTGAGTGTGTGCTTATGTGTTATCTCTGTTTTCTTTTCCTGAGGAGGAATCGTTTCGAAAGGGTCACAGGAAGAAGCAGATATGTGAGCAGCGTTAGGATGCGGAGGTCACAAAAACATAGGAAACACAAGCAATCTGTTGGCAAGAAGGATGGAGAGAAGACAAGGCAACGATAACTTCAGAGACGCAGGCCACACAAAGAAAGAGCGTGAGGGAGAGAAGCCGACTCCAGGCTGCGTTATGAGCGGCGTCTGGGCCCAGATGAGGTCAGACTGAAGCCCAGTGTTTAAAGACCACAGGCTGTAGTGACCCATTAACAGACTCGTAAAGCTCTCTCCCTCCCCCACTGGAAACTGCTGGTTTGAAGATCTACATGTCAGCCTCTGAACCGGTTTAATGTACTGGTAATTCCTTTGTGAGTCGTTAGGTCGTTTATAGGTTAAAAAAAACAGAGAGTTTGGTTAGATTCAGATTGCGGATACTCCATCTCCAATTTGATGCTTGCATTATTCATGACTGTGGTTTTGGTTCTACGACTGTGCCCTATGTCTTAAAAATGTTATTTGACTGCTGAATATATCATGCCTGAGGGCTGTGTCGACGCCGCAGACACACAACACTCGGCGTGTTTCCAGTGACGACCTTTTTCCAAAACAAAGTTGTAGGAAGATTAAAATAAGTCAGCCAGAGATGTTATCCTGCCAACATGACAACACTGAGGTACGGTTGGCAAAGAAGAAAAGAAAATCACGCCAGGATGCCTGTCACTCATTTCCCGCTCGGTGTTTTCAACGTCTCTATTTTAAGACAAGCAATCAGACCTTAATGTGCATTGTCCTTTTATTTGCAAGCTGCCTTCTGAAAGTTTTTGTTGTTTACTGAATGTTACTGTGAGGTACACCAGCATGAATGCAGATAGCTGCAGGCTAAATGTGTACGCACGTGCCTGGTAAATCCATCAAATCCGACCTGAAAGCCGACCGCCAGGCGGTTGAGTCATCGCACAAGTTAAAAAAAATGTTTTTTAAAAAAGCTCCAACGAACAAAAGACTGAAGGAGAAGATGAAGGTTTGAGAAAACGACAATATGATAATGAAATGTATAACTAACGCACACTTAGACTATAAAGGAATGAACAATGTTTAACACACACAGGTTCTGTGTTGTTCTCTGCCGGGCAGGATGCCGTTGGTCGAGGGGATCGAGGTGGGGGGGTTATAGGCAGCACAGGCAGCAGCGAGTACACAGAGCGGGCGGCGGGTGGGCTGAAGGTCAAACGGGCCCTAAACACACCAGCATTGTTCTTTCTATCCCTCCTTCCGCTACGACCTGTGACTTTAACAGCGTGTGCTGGTGTAAGACGAAAATGCTTTAAACCCGGTGAAACACAAAAAGACGTCAAAAGACTACAGCTGCTTATGAATGATTTGCATTCGGCGGCTTTTGTTGTTTGACTGCGGCTCTGGAAAAGGCCCTGTCGCAGGTTATTAGCCGGCCTGCTCGCTGAGAACTTCAGCTCCGTAGAATGTGGGAGGAGATTGAGACATTGAGGAGGTGTTTGATGTCTTCCCCCTTCTGCTGTCACACACACACACACACACACACACAAAAGTGTAGCGTCTCCTCCTGGAGGCCGGACCGTCTGGACTCACCAGAAGGCTTTTAGCGAGCGCGTCGCCTCACCGAGTGCGACGTTGTAAAACGAGGCCTCTGCAGTCCAGCTCATTGACATTTTTGTATTTTCCAGTTCCGTCCCTCCCGCCTCTCTTTGCGAAGAGCGGAGCTGTTGTTCCTCCCACAGCGAAAGTCATAGCGGCCGCCGTAGAGGCATTCCAGAGGGAGGGTTGCTGAAAATTTCCCGGGAGAAGCTGCACTCTGTGTTGAAATTATTTGGACTGTGACCCAGTTCTTAGCCTCGTCGTGCGCTCCCTCCATGTTTTCGTATGATTGCGTGAACAAAGATGCAGGGGGAACTCATTTGATGTGCCCTAGTTTCTAGAACCACATTAATTAGCGTTGGGAAATTAATCTACCCAGTGTGATTTTGGAGCACGGGCAATTTATTGTGATCTTTGGTTAGATTGACGCTTTTTGTAAAGAAACGATGACTGTTGCGTATTCAAATGTCAGTTTCAATGCTGCTTACTTTTCTTAAGATGTCTGGATGTCAAAAGTAGTTGAAAAAAACGTTGAAGGCGGCAACTCATGGTTGTGTTTTCTCCCCCCCCCCCCCCGTCACAGATGGTCATTTCACCGGGACGCCCCCCACCTACGGTTACGACGCGGACCGCGCGGAGGAGCAGCGGAGGCACCACGACATCCTGCCGTACATCGACGACTCGCCGTCGTCTTCGCCGCACCTCAGCTCCAAGAGCCGCAGCAGTCGGGACACCCTGTCCTCCGGGTCGCTGGAGTCCTCCAAGTCGGTGAGCAGCCGTCGCTCTCCCACCAGCTCCTACGGCTTCTGGACAATGTCCTGCATATTCAGTTTTCTGACTGAAAATTGAGCTACTTCACATAGTACAATAACCCACGAACACAGGAAAGTCGCTGGAATTTTATTTTACATCCATACAACACAGGAAGTGGGCTACTTTATTTCAATCCCGATTTGTCAATTGACCAGAAAATCGAATCCGCCTGTGGAGAGCATTGATTAAGGACGACATCACCAGCAGTCACCCAGGGAAGAAACTCACCCCCCCGCTAAGTCTCCCATAAGGGGGATGAGTCCCCCCACCCCCTCCCCCCACACGCTTTTCCCATCCAGGGTGTTATGCATCTATCACCTCTATCACCCCGCCGCTGCCTTCATCCTCTTAACCCTCCCTCTCTTACTCTTTCTTGTCTGTGATCTATGACGTCTGCTGCTATCGAAGGTTACCATGGAGAGGAGACACACAAACGCGCACACACACATACGCTAAATCATAATGTCAGCAACACTGGAGAGGGATGCTGCCGTCCAAATTTATCTAAGCATTAAACCACAATTTCTCGCACCGAATCATTTCTAAAATAGCAGCACATGAACTTGCTGAAGCCACACATGCTTGGATTGGACGGAGAGGTTTGGCGGCAGCACGTAAAGCTGATGCTGCTTTCCTCCACTTTGCCCTTGGAGGAAGTAATCGCATCAGTGTTCACGTAGCAGTATTACTCCGGCCCCTCAGTCTTTGCACACCGTCTCAGCTGTCCGTCTGAGTTATAGCTTGAATCAGCCGATAAACGATGAGCCCCGTGGCTGCATCCGACCTTTTGACCTTTGAGCTCGGAACGCGTATTTTAATTCATTCACACGCACACGTACGTTATTTTGCGTCTGCTTTGTGTCGCACAACCCAATGGCTTCTTTTATAGACATGCACGCATCTTTTTAGCGGTAGATGATTTGCAGAGGGACCTCTCAGGCGCACGGACAGACTGAACGGCCAAACAACAATTGTCCCTCAAAAAAGTTCTCCACACAGACAGACACGCTTTCAATAACTGCCATGAAAACAGAATTATGCGTGTCCTTGATTTGTCCTCGGTCAGCTGCTCTTAAAAACATCCACCAAGTCTCCTTCTCTAATCGAAGAGTTAAGAGCCCAGACAATCTGCGATTGATGGATGGTTTTATGATGTCACTGCGATGAGTCATCCGCATCAGCAACACTGCTGAGAAAATTGAGAAGGAGGAGAAGAGAAGTAGAAATATGTCAAGAAACTAAGACGATTTGGCTGGATTCAAGTCAAGGACATTGCAGTTTATCATCAGTGGCCATAAAAGTTCTCCTTCGGAGCCGTAAACCGTTTTTCCCTGTAGATTCTTGATTTCTATTTAAACATTTAAATGCTACGCAGGTATCTTGTGTTATAATTATACTAGTATGCCCCCATCCTGTACCACATCGTACCTCAATGTCAAGACCTAGATAAGCGATCATTTGCCTGCTGGGCCTTTAGATGACTGAGTCAGTACACTTGGAGGCTTGGAAATGTGGAAACCCCCATTTAATATGATCCCATCACATCTGTAATGAAAATGTACTGATTGCCTGGCTTGTTTCTTTGCAATTAAAGGCTTGCTGTGATACAGCATGACAAACTGAAAAAAAAAAAAACGCCTCGCATACACAAACTAAACCATGTGGAGATGGGAACCAATCACATTAGACCGTTCAGACAACGAGTAGTAAACTATGTCTGCTTGATCGGCGAATAAGCACTGTTATTCTAGGGTATCTCCCACAAACCTCATCCACCACGGATAAACAAATAAGATCCTAAATCATTTAAGGCAGAGACACCACTACGTGGTGGTTTTGTGAGCCGCGAGCGTCTAAGCGTGGGCTCAAATGTGGAATATTAGCTTTTGTTGACTCCGTTGCACATAATGGCCGTGAAAACACACACCAAACCCAAATGCACCCCGAGCAGGAATAATGTGTTTTATTTCATAACCAAAAAAGGCAGGCAGACACCCCTTTTAGTCTGGACCCAAATATGGGCTCATTAGTTGCTACGGCGATGAATAAAAGATGATCCGTCTGGAGGAGAGGGTACTTCCTGGGGGAGTCGTCTGGGGTCTGCAAACGAGGAATTAACACTTTTAACTCACCCCTGCAAGTTCAGTCACATGCTGCTATATGTTGAAGTTTCCTCCTTGTGATATCCTTCAAATATTCTTGATGCTGCAAACAGATCCTCATGTTCATGATGCTCTTTTACCAGTCGGCGTATCATGTGTTCATTCCTTTTTCCTATTAACTCGCAAACATCCGGGGGTCTCCGTCGATGCCCCGAGCTCTCCCTTTTTAAGTCACAGCGCTGCAGTGTGATGTAATACATTTAAAAGCAATCATAACTATTTATTACTTTACTTGTTTACCTCTACAAAAGTAACTTTATTTGCATTTTCTCCGCTTTTGGTATTCTGGGAGTCTATGCAGAACAAGCAATTAGAGCTTTTTATGATGCTGTTATAAACAGCTCAGATCCCCAGACGTGTCTGTGTGATGCATAATACATGTCTGCCAGAATCATTTCCTTTATGCTTCACCTGAAAAAGAGACACAAAGAGAAAGAGAGAGACAATGTGCAGGAGAGTAATAACTTTTGAGAAGAAGATAGTCAGAATATGTTAATATTGTAATACTAATATAGTGGCCTGCACCGGAGTTCTGCAGAATATATTAATAAGTAAGCGTAACAGAGTAGGGCAGAACTGATTAGACAATTAAGATGATAAGAGACTTATTAAGATAAGTCTAAAAACATGTTCCAATTGTGTCAACTCTTGGACAAAAGAGGCAACATGGAGACGTCTTATTGGGTTTTTTACATTTTCTGACATCTTTTTAGAAATAATGTAATAATTGTTGTAAATCATCTTTAGTTGCGCAGAAAATGCCAATTAAGTGACTTCATTGTCGGATCTTAAGGTCTCCACACACCAGTCTTTAAAGTTCAGGAGGATTACTGGTTATTACTGATTACTGTAACAACACACAATCGCATTTGAATGTTGCGTGCTATTTCTATTTTCCTCATGCAGTGGCCATGGAAACGGCTTTCTGACCCTCTCATTCGAATAAATGCCTGAACACCCACAGACATCCAAGCACCTATAGTGCATACCTGGAATACCGCACATTTTAACCTGTATACGTGGTTTTAGAAGTGGCTAACACCTGGCCTAACATAAACAGACATGAACAAAACAGACATAGATATGTTGTCTATTTTTTCTCGGAAAACTCAAAAAGCAACCGATACCTAAAATGAATGACATACATGTAAACATCAACTACTGCACAGGCTCTGCATTATCTTCCACGCCGTTTCCCTTTTTGTGTATTCTAATGTGTAGTCCTACCCCACTTATTCCCTCTCAATTATACTGAATCTGTCGTGCTCTCCATCTCTTCTTCTCCTCTTCTTTCTTTGTCTTTCTCTCTCGCCCTTCCTCCCTGTTTCCTCTTCTTCCTCCTCCTCACAGCCCCAAGCACTGGATGTTTCCACGTCCCGACCTGGGCTTACTCTCTGCCTGTGTGTGTGTGTGTGTGTGTGTGTGTGCGCTCCCGCCGCTAGCCCATTCTCTCACAGACACACACTTACACGCCAACCTTGCTCCCATGGGTGACCCTGCCCTTTTGAGTTATTTCAGAGTTCATGGTTAAACAAAAGCGCCCGAGGAATCCCTCTTGTCTCTCTGTTTTCTTTCATGTCCGTAGTCCTCAGTGAGCTTTGACTGGGCCGGGTAGGTGGGGGGCTGTGTAGGGGGGCTGGGTGGGGGGGGGGCTGGGCAGGATTTCTCTAGGGTGCGATTGTTGCCGTTTGATTTTTTTTTTTTTAAATTCAGACTGGGGCGCTCACAAACAGCTGCACTGGCAGATGTTTCAAGCTCGCCTAAGAACAGTTTGAGGTTTACAGATATTTGTGCCTTTTTACCAGCAAACGCAAGGAGCAATGTGATGCTTTGAATGTTAGAACAAGTGGGCGCATAGAGGGTGGGATCATTCGTTGTGCGCAGTATTGCAGTGCTGCCGATTGTTTGCTTCACTGTTACATGTACGTGTGTTCTTACTACAGACCGAATGCGACCTGGAGAAAGGCTTGGAGATGAGAAAGTGGGTCCTCTCTGGCATCCTGGCCACCGAGGAAACATACCTCAGCCACCTGGAGGCCCTGCTGCTGGTGAGAACACGCCTCCAACATGCAGCCATGATGTACAGTGGAATGTAATTACTGTGTTATTAAGTCTATCAAGGTCAATTCAGTATTAAGTAGTTATTTCATGATTTAATCTGATTTATTGCCATTTGATGTGAAAGGAACAAATAGAACTACATCATCTTACAAATAGATTACAAACTCCAACAATAAACGTTTCAAAATACCCAAACCAATTAAATAACAAATAAATTGATTTTATTTTTGTAGCTGTAAAGTAGAAAGAACCTAGCGGAGAATTTGTCATGAATTATTATTATTTAAAAGTAAATTTGACAAGCTAAAACAAGAATCAAAAGAATCGGTATCTACAAACTGTTGCGCTAATACGGACCTGAAGTCCTCCGTTGGCCGTTAAGACGAGATGTTCTCCCTCCAGAGCATCTTTTTCATCCCCCCCTCCTTCTCATTCTTCTCCAGCCCATGAAGCCTCTGAAGGCCGCGGCTACGACGTCGCAGCCGGTGCTCACTCTGGCGCAGATAGAAACGATCTTCTTCAAAGTGCCCGAGCTCTACGAGATCCACAGGGAGTTCTACGACGGACTTTTTCCTCGCGTTCAGCAGTGGGGCCACCACCAGAGGGTCGGAGACCTCTTCCAGAAGCTGGTGAGAACAATGAACCACTGGTTGGGGTGTTTGGGATGTTGTGGTTTTGTGTGTGTGTCTATATAAGATGAGATGTAGCTGCCTCATCTTGCCCTGAGTGACACCATCGGGTCCTCGCAAAGGTCGACAGTGTTCGAAAAGACATTCGGGTTACTACGGCAACGCTTTCTGACCTTTGGACGCAGACCCGAAGGCGAAACCACTGTGCCAGAGTGACGTAATTGACAGTAATGTTGTTTCATGACTCGGGAGGTTTTCAGAAGCAGATCTGTCACTATAATTTAATTTAAAAAAAACATCAAATAATTTTAGACTAGATTTTAGAATTTGGCTTAATTGAATCTGAATCGTCCCTTTATTCCCATTTCCTCCTCAACAGCCCCTCGCTCTGCGTCTGTCTTCCCCCCTGTAGTTTCTGCTGAGGATGTCTGAGCCCAATGTTCTCTGGGTCGATTTAATACTTTTCACAGTGGTTTAATTAACCCACAATGAAATCGCGTGTTAATTCTCACCCAGAATACTGCTCCTCTCCCATTAGTGTTTTTGGTCTCTTTCTCTCCCTCACAGTGTCACGCAAACACTCAAAAAATGCGCGCACACGCACACACACACATTACATTACATTAAATGTCATTTAGCTGACGCTTTTATCCAAAGCGACTTACAATAAGTGCCTTTCAACCATAAGGATACAAACCCAGAAGAGCAAGAAACAAGAAAGTGCAATTTCATCAAATAAACCGATTCACAACTCGCTATAGAAAAGAGCCATTATACACACACACACACACACACAAACACCCGCGTATGTACATGCACATACACTCATGTGAAGGTGCAGGCGTTGTTTCAAAATGCTGCCTTTCTGCCTCGGGCAGCTGAGGCCATCGCTGCACCGTGTGCTTTGTGTCCCAAAGAAGCTGCTATAAATAGGACTATCTCGCCCTCTCTCTCTCTCTCTCTCTCTCTTACACACACACTCTCCTACAGATGTGCTCCCTCTCATGAATTTCTCTCGTGAAGCTCCTCCTGGCACTTTGCAAAGAAATTAGGATTTGATTTGTTTCTTTTCCCGCCGAAGACTAATCAGTTTCTTAAAAAGCTGCACGATGCCGTCCTACAATCTGCTCCACCGGCACATTAAGCCTTTGCATCAAACAAAAGAGGCAGTACACATGGCTGTGATGCAGGTGGAGCGTAAAATGTGGCGACTGTTTCAACACAGTTTCTGCCTCATTCCCTCGCCCTCCCCAGACGAACGTTAATAAAAATCCAGACAAAAAGACGCTGAGCCTGCAAAAAGGGGGGGAATGAATGCTCAGTGGCTGTGGGAGGGAGATTAGATGAGAGTAGGAGAGGTGATGCAGTCGAGGAAGAGCTGACAGAGGATGAGAGTCGGGGAGGCAAGTCGACTTTGGCGGCTCTGATAGAGCTGTCTCCCCATGACTCTGAAGTCTGTGAGGGGGAGCAGACGGGCCCCCGGAGTCACAAAATATCAGAACAGGGAAGGCGAGAGACAGACGGGAGAGAGGAGGAGGCAAAGCGTCACTGACGGGTTATGAGCAAGTGTCTGAAGACGTGTTTGAACGCTGAAAATAGGGCTAAATCACACTTCTGCTCCTCGGGCAGACACGCACGTCACGCTCGGTGGCAAAGTGGAGGTTTACATGAAGGCGGCGGGATCAGTTGCTTTTGAGTGGTGCTCATTAGAAACGAGGGACCAAAAAATGGCTGATTCTAAGAATTTATGAAAGAAGGATCCTATTAAAAAAAAGGTTTATCCGGTGTTTTAGAGACTAGCGTGCTGAAGCCATATTGTTTAAGGCAGACCGGGATGTTGGCATCACACTGGTTTCCTTGACATGAAACCAATGGGATTGTCCCATTAGAATTAGTGGATTACTGAATAACATAACATGTGGCAAATCACTGTTTATGACACTTATAGGTTCATAGATGAACACCACTTCATTCATTGAAGACTGGATGCAATCGGGTATAAGTAAAGATCACGTCAGGCCTTAAATGAACTGCACCTCGGTCACATCACCTGACCTGTCGAACATTTAAAAATCATTTAAAAAATCTCCTGTGTGGTTGTTAAAAACACATACTATATCAGGCATTTACCTTAAAACCCAGTAAAAAACATTATCTTCTACACAAGGACATCCTTTGCACATGGAATAGATAAATTCTTAGCAATAGGATTTGTCTCCAATTGATTGATAGATCTTAATCCTTCATTCGCTCTGGGGTGGGTTTTTTTCTTCAAATTTAATGTCAGCAATCCACCAAATTCAGGTATTTGGATGACTCCTAGATCCTGATGGATGCTAACTGCTAGCCTGCTAACATAGACCTGCCAGCATATAATAAATAACGGGTCCTATGCTCTGTGTTTTTGTATCATTGTAAATTATACAGCGCTGTGTAGGAATATGTCTAGTCTGTTAGAAATCCCTCACAAACCCAGTGGCTAAATCCAGCCTCCTCGCATAATGGCCGTAGTCTGTCACGAGGCTGTTTCCTTAATGTTGTTTTCCGCTGCCGGATTACGCACATGCTCTCACACAGGACAAATCCCCAACTGAGAAATCCAAACACCCAAGCGGTTTCTTTCATTACCCAACATCCGTCTCTGCTATGATACCGTAGCTGCAGCCTCGCGCTCAATAAGCCTTCACGGCGATGTGTGTGTGTGTGTGTGTGTGTGTGTGTGTGTGTGTGTGCGCGTGGATGTGGCCGGCAGACATTCGGCTTCTCTGCACTGCCGAAGCGTCACGCTCTGAATGGCCTCCGCTGTGGTGCAGATTGTGTGGCCGAGGGCAAAGACGCGGGACGGCAGGATTGTGAAAATTGCTTTTCTCCTCGCCTTCCTCCGCTTTTCTTCCTCCCGATGTAGCGTGCGCATATCTGTGCGAGCAGCGCGCACCCGCTTATTTCGCTTTTCTTTGTGCTGCATCGCTGTTATTTTCTAAATTTGAAAGATCTAAACATACACTTTGCACTTAGTAACTGATAACATGGAAAGTGTAAGCAATGTTGTGTGAAAACTTGTGACTCCACATATATGACTGCAAAGATCAGGGCAGGTCAGAAGAAGGGTCACGGTTGGGCCTTAGAATAGGACCTTTAGCGGAGTGTGGGACAATAATAGTTATTGTCTCACAGATGTGTAATAGTGCTTCATTTGTACACCCACTTCTAATCTAATTAGTTCTCTCTTCACACGAGGCCACAGATTAAGAATCAACAATAACGGCACTGACTCAGCCAGGCCGCCGCACGCTGCTCCAGTGCCTCACGGCGCCTTTGTTTTTAAAGGTTCATTCTTGGGGTCACATTCCCATCAGTAATGGGGCAGACGATCCGATGCATCCGATGCATCTGATGCATCCAATATCAGACCCGCTTCCTGCTTTTCAGCTTTGGCCTCCTGTGCTGTTGTTTACAATCATGACATATAGAGATGATGGCCAGAACATTGTAAGGAAGGACAGCGCTGTAAACCTCAGTTGACCTTTAAGATAAGAAAATAGATCATAACGAGCTAAATAATAACTCAGTATAAGACACATGTGTTCAGTACTCTCAGGTGAGATTTTCTGGGGTATTTGGTGTGTGTGTGTGTGTACTGTATTTGTTGCACATCCCCACTGTACTGGTTCCTCCTTTGGCTTTTGTTTGAGAGAATTGATTTTGTCCTTTTGTTCGCCGTCGAGATGGATCGCAGCGTTTGCTGGAGTTTTGTTCCGCCATCCAGCGCTTTCACAGCCTCTGTTACACCAATCATTAATTACTCACCCTTGCACGGCGCTGGTCTTGCTGGTTGCCGGGGCAACGGGGCCCGGCTGCACCGTGGTTACACGCCGTTGTTGTGACCGCGTTCTCTGTCGGCTGTTTTGTTCGATTGTCTGCGAGTCATTGACAGTCTGACTGGATTAAATATCAGATTCGACATTTCACCGACGCAATGTGGCATTTTAAAAGTAACACAGAGTTGCTTTAGGTGGACTCTATGAAGTCTACGGGGAAGATTTGTGCGTTTGTAACGTTGTTTTCAAACTGACAGAACGTCAGGAAAGTGACTTAATGGTTTAGTTCCAGCGATTTCATAATTATATTTCCTAAAATGGGACAGTTCAGGTAAAAGGTACCGTATGATCACGCTCCACGTGTCTGGTTGTTGTTGTGCCTCTAATGTGTTTCCTTCATTTGTTTTTCACATGTAAATGGACCAAAAACACAAACCATCTCCTCCAAACGTTTCGATGTGTCTTAATATGTTCCCGTCTCTGTCTCTCTCCATCAGGCCAGCCAGCTTGGAGTCTACCGAGCATTCGTGGACAACTACGAGCTGGCAGTGGAGACAGCGGAGAAGTGCTGCCAGGCTAACACACAGTTTGCTGAAATCTCTGAGGTAAGAAGGACAGATGAAAAGAACGCATAATGACAGGGATGAAAAATATGTTGTTGTTTTTTTTGTAGTACTGTAGATTAGCAGGAAAGTCTTAATTGTTACTGCTTCAGCTCCCACCTCTGTTGCAGGAGTTGAATCTTTGATCTCTGTCATTACATCTATTTACCTCAAACCTCCTTTGTAGCAGTAAATCATTCAGTCGTGTTTCACAAGTTGTTCTTTTTTGTGTGTGTTGAGCAATGCTCTATCAAATATAGATACTTCACACTATAATAACTATCACACTAAATCACTTTTTCTAGTCCCATAATTCTCATTCTCTACACTTTTCTTGTTTATGTACAACTTGTGTTCCTCCGAGGTGCAGATAGTGTTCACCACTAACTACTACAGCGCTCTTATTGTTTTTTTTGAGTGTTAAATGATGTGTTATTATAACGAAGCTGTTCTTAGAGCTGCTTAACAGTTTTCTCCCTGATGTATTTGCAAGAAGCTCTCCCACTATTCCCCCACAGCGCTTTCGCACGTCCCTTCATTTAATTTTTCATGTTGTGCTAAATATTGGATAGAAATGCAGCCATTTTTATCCTTAACAGTTTGTATGTAAGCAGCGTTACACATTTGTATATTTATATTTTCCCTGAACACATTCCAACAGTTTTATCAACGTATTTTATTACAGGCACACTTGAATTTAAAACACTTATCCATGCTTCAAATCTTTTGGAGCTGATGTTGCAGATTTGACCCTGGATTTAAGTGAACTGTGAACGAGATATTACAGCTACAGAAATGTGCTCCGATGCAACCTTTAAAAAGAAGTGTTTCATTCCCATTAGTATTGACGTACTTTAAAAGAGAATTTATTCAACCAAAGTATTTATATTAGTAGGAAGCAAAAGTACACCCCTGGTTATGTCTTTTATTGTACATGTGCTGTCTTCATTTTGTGAAGGAGCAACATCAGTCTCCATCTATGTTTTAGCAGTCAGACTTGAGGCTGGTGTCTACATGCATGATGGGGGATTCATCATCGACGGTTGTTAATGGCCAAAGTAATGATGCATGACACCGAGCCGTCTGAGCAAGATGGTGAGGGGAAATGCTGCTGAGGATGGCATAATTAATTTGAAAATATATGACCTCAGTGCTTGAGCCACGATAATAACCTCACTATGTTTTCATCTGGACTGACTGTATTGAGCTCTTTTTTTTTAAATATTTCTTTCCTCTACTTAAATGTGTCTCCAAACAGAACCTGAAGGTGAGAAGCCCAAAGGACTCGAAGGACCAGACAGCCAAGAACTCTTTAGAAGGTCAGCCACATCATGCTAGTTTTTAATCAATCAATCGATACCTATTCAATTATGTATATAAAACATTTGGTAGTAATTCTCTCCTCTCTCGTGTACAGCGTTGCTGTATAAACCAGTGGACCGAGTGACTCGCAGCACATTGGTTCTCCATGTAAGTAAGAGGGAGCACTGGAGCACAAAGCTAAAATCACAGAACCAAAAATCCTAAATACATTGCCTATATTGGTCAACGGAACCCTAAATCAAACCAAATCATATAATATTTCTACATCTACCGCTGTACTCCAGGACTTGCTCAAACACACGCCCACCAGCCACCCGGACCACCCGCTTCTGCAGGACGCCCTGCGGATCTCCCAGAACTTCCTGTCCAGCATCAACGAGGAGACCACGCCCCGGCGGCAGTCGATGACTGTCAAGAAGGGAGAGGTGAGATTTACATCGGCATCCGACGACTTGAGTCCAGTCGCGTTCTCCTGCTTAGTTTCACACCTTATTGACGGGCAGAGTGACGCGTTACCTACGTACTGATGTACTGAGGCTAAAAACATTAATTTGTCTTTACTAGAAAAGGTGACGGGAAAGGGGTTATGGCTTAAAACGTTTTTCTCCTAATGCATCTCTGAAATCATGAATATGAAATTGAAAAAACAATGATGCATCCAAATCTGCTTAATACCGACGGCGCCCTTGACTCAAAGACGGCGATCCCTTTTCTACAAACAGGTCCTTGTAAAGACCTGGGCGACAGTCATTTTTATCATCAGCTCAACTCTTTCCAGCTCTGATGATGATGATGATGTCATGACTCCGCCCTCTGAATAACCACAAAAGTCTGTGCCAAATGAGTGTACAGGAGCCGCCAATCTGCAGCCCAAAGCAGAGCCAATGCCCTTATATGGTCCCACCAGGGTCGCCTCGCTGAGGAGGACTCTGTGTTTGCGCTCTGTCCCTCTTGTGGCTTCCCATCTCCCCACCTCCCCTAACGCAAACGTGCGCACACACACACACACACACACACACACACAACCTAGCCCCAGCTGTCTCTGTCATCCCCGGAGATGAGTTGACGCCCTTGGATGGACGCCTCTTGATTGATGGCTTGCGTGACGCTCCCGTACGTAATGCCTTGTAATGAGCCGTCGGGCCGCTGCCACTGGAAGATTCCGAGTTAATTATTCATAAATGGCGGGCGCGAGCGAACGAGGGAAAAAGGCTGTGACGGCTCCTCCTTCTGCTCAAAGTGCGGTCATTAGCCCGCCCTCTCTCTCTCTCTCACTCACGCGCACACACACACACACACACACATTCCTGCTCTCTGTTCCATTCACTCCCTCCCTTTATTCCCTTGTTTGTCTTTTGACATACACACATTCCCTGCATCCCCGCAGGCCCCAGTTCCATCCCAGTCCATCCAGACCTCCACACCAGTCATCAAATATTTATCGTGGATACATGAAAGCAGCGGATGGAAATCAATGGAGCTCGTTATTTCGTACCTTAGAGTATATAATATGCCTGAGGTTTTTGTCCACTTTTCAACCACAGAGCTGCAACATTTAACGCGCTTCAAACGATTGTCATTACCGGGAAAAGTTCAGAAGAGGAAGTCTTGGATTTAGTGAAGAAGATGAAGCTTGAAATAATGTGATCGCGTCCGCCAAAATAGTGTATGATTGAATTCAGTGATGCTACGGTATATTAATGTATAAAAGGTAAATAGTAAGATCGGAAAGAGGCCAAAACTCATTAATATTCTGACCTTAAATTAACTGTATTCACGGAGCGCTGAAGTGTCACTCTCACTGTGTACACAGCAGTGAGTAACATGTGGTTTGCTTAGTGGAGGCATGCGGCGGCAGAGCAGCACAAGTGGCCCCCAGAGGCCACGGCCCGGCCGTAAGAGGGAGGGCGCACACAGACGCTGCTTAATTAAAATGCAAATGATGATGCTGCCTAAATCTCAATTCACCTCCTCGCGCCGCTTTGTCTTCCTGTGGGAAACCTGCGCTCCTGATGTCTGTCTCTGTGTGTGTGTGTGTGTGTGTGTGTGTGTGTGTGTGTGTGTGTGTGTGTGTGTGTTGAAGAAATGCCCAACCACTTTTGTCTGTATGTCGGCGTTTCACTCTCTCACAACAGAAACTAGTCCCCCCACACACACACTGTTTTACACACATTGTACACTGCAGCGAAACACACGAGTGCAGAGAAACCCCTTCAAGCGTGTCTTCTAAAAATACACATGGATCTTTTTTTGCAAATCCATGCCATTACTCGGGCACATGCTCTCAGCGAGGCTCCTTCAAGAGATGGTCAATATTTAATCTGAGTTCTTTGCTGTCAGCTCGATCCGCCTCACGTTGCTCTTCTCGCACATCGGTGCAGGTCAGCTGTTATGAGAAATAGAGAAAGTCACATTTCTCCTACTGGCTGTTTTAATATTGAGAAAATGTCATCTGATGCGCTGAGACAGCTGGTTTGTTAAGGATTTATTTTGCCCCAGTAGCACAGCTCAGCACATTTAGAAATTCATCAGATTACAAACTATGAACCTTGATTAAACAAAGGAAACGCCGGGCACTCAGCAAGTGTGCCTCTAAAATGACAATAACCATAATTGGGTTTTTTCCGGGTAGTTACTGTTTCAAACATGTATGTTCATAACCCAATCACTTGGAGTCGAAACCTTTTTATGAAGAGTTTTTTAATGGCATTTTTGATTTGTTCAGGTAAAAACAGACGTTCCCAACAGAGCTGCTCTAGCTTCTGGCAATGGATTAAATGCCCTTTAAATTTCAAATGCACGATCACAAAACTGACAAAAGCTAAATCCTCTCATGCGTCATCATCACGGAGGACTTCATTATGCATTCATTAGCATAACTAGGCTTTTGTTAGATTCTTATTTTGAGATCTGCTGCAGCATCTTCATGTGTGCTCGCATGTGCAGAAAGAAGCAGCTTGACAATACAACACTGCAGCGGATCTTTCACGTGGTTCGATATCAGTACAGTAAGAAAACCATTTTTCCCTTTCTGATGCGCTCTCCGGCTCGCTCCCTGTCTCTGTGCCATCGCGCGCAGGCGTTCACACGCCGCTCTCCTTGGCCAGCAGATGTTCAGTCAGGTTTTGTAAGCACGTGAACCACACGAGCATCGGCTCAACTCCCGTGTGTTTCTGCCGCTGTGAGGTCGTGATGGAGGCGAGGTGAATGTGATTGGTTCTGAACGTGTGTGATGTCATAGCTTGCTGCCGAGAAAGCTGATGTAAGGTGGGCTAGACGGGGGAACAACACGGACGTGAATAGTGGAAGCATTTTTAATTGAAACAAAATATCAGCTCAAATAGATTTCAGAAGTCCAAGTCAACGAGGGGGGAATCTGCTCAGAACCTTCTTTAGATTCATCTGAATGAAGCAGAGACTTTTTTGCATTTCACGCGTTTTTGACTTTTGAAAATGTATCTATCTACAAAGACGGCAAAAAACTACCATATTGTGTATTTACGTGGCCATTTTCCCACTCTGCCCTGTTGCCTACGAAGATTTTAATAGATTTATTTGTAGTGTCATTACATTTTTACAGTAAACAGTTTATACTCTGCATCCTATAAAATAAGGGTTTGGAGCTGAAGGTGGCTCTTTTACTACAAAGTTGTGGTTTGGCATTTCTCTGCACCATGTTATTGCTCCGAGTCCAAATGTGTTGTTTTACTTGTAAAATGACATCACTGTCCCCTCTTGGCAAAGGACAGTACTACACATCTCATTACATAGTCTGACATCAGCGGTTCCCGGTCTGCCTTTAGCTCGTTCGTTCCTCCTCTCCAACCTGGATTATCATGCCCGAGTATGACAAAAGCATTTACCAGGTGATTACTGTAATGAATGCAAATGAATGCAGGACCCTCCACACTTTTGAGGTAATGATTTGGTTCATTTTTAATGAACATTAGTAGGTTGCACACAAGCTTTGTCACGGATGATTAGGTAAAACGGATATTTTTGATGATGGCGCAGCGAGGGACGCTTAAATCCAGTCTCTCTGGCTCCCTCCTCACCTCCAATCTGTTCTTTGTCTTGCTGGTAAAAGAGAGGAGAAAGAATACAGCTTTGGGATACAGCACCGATATATAAGGGCTCGGCAAACTACTGGTTTTCTGTCCACGAGGTGTAACAGTGTTACTGACCAAGCATCTCGCTGTCGTCACAGAGCCGCCAGCTTCTGAGGGACAGTTTCATGGTGGAACTAGTGGAGGGAGCCAGGAAGTTGCGGCACGTTTTCCTCTTCACCGATCTGCTGCTCTGCGCCAAGCTGAAAAAACAAATCGGAGGGTAAGAAACGTTGCAAATGACAGTTTTTTTGTCTTAGCAGCTGTAGTAAAATCCCCAAAACACATTTTATTACCAACATTACAGTAGTTTGAAGATGAGTTAAATATCTCATTACAATTTGAAATTAATTTCATTCTACTGAAAAAATAATCCCTCTTTTCATGAGATCTTTTTAAACACACTGACCTCTATTCATTTCAAGACATTAAATTAAATATATATTTCTGAAATATTGATTTAATTAAGTATATTTTTAAATACACTGAGTGTGAACACAGTTCCTAGTAATGTTTTTGCAATCGCTGCCAAATAAAACCATTTTTTTTCTCCTGCCCCCCCCCCCTCTACCATTCATCTCCATCTTTATCAATCCACTCCTCCTTCACGTCCATCCCCTCTCCTCCTCGCACTGCAGTAAAAACCAGCAGTATGACAGTAAGTGGTACATTCCCCTGACTGAGCTGACCTTCCAGGGCCCCGAGGAGACCGAGCCCCTCACCATCCCCCAGGTCCCCGACGAAGAGCTCGACGCCATAAAGGTCAAGATCTCACACCTCCGCTGTGAGATTCAGAGAGAGAAGGTAGTGTGGACAAACGCTTGTTTTGCACAAATCTGTTCAGAAACTAAGAAAATAGAGTCTGTTAGTTGATGGACGTAACGCATGAAATGAAGTCACGCAGTCAAACAATTTGACCTGTGTGATTTCAGAGAGGCAACAAGAGTTCAAAGGTCATCGACCGTCTCAGGAAGAAGCTGACCGAACAGGAGTCGCTGCTCCTGTTGACGTCTCCGAGCCTTCCCATCAGGGTGTACAACAAGAGCGGCAAGGTGGCAACCCTGATTCCAGTTGTCAAAGCTAACTTGAAAACAATCAATACATTGTCTCCCCACATTTATCATTACAGTAATAACAGCCATATGTGTGTTTGTGTTCAGGGTTACAGTTTCCTGATTTCGTCCGACTATGAACGTGCAGAGTGGAGGGAGTTAATGAAGGAGCAGCAGAAGAAATGTAAGTGTTGCGTAAAGCGTCCTGGCAGACGATGTCTTCTTGTGTGCTACAAACGGCGTTCAAGAAACTTCACACGAGATGCTGCGGCTAAATGTGGATACATTCACAGAAGCAACTTAGAGAAGGAGGTGGAGAGGCTAATACACGACGTCATTTACAGTCTGTGCTTATTTTTTCTTCCCTCGAGGTTTGAAAACGTCCTCCTTGACGTCTGTGGAGCTGCAAATGTTGACCAACTCCTGCGTCAAGCTGCAGACTGTCCACCACATTCCACTTAGCATCAACAAAGAAGGTAAAGTGCTTTTAAAGTTGGGTTTGCTCTTTCTATGAAACATACTATTCTAAACATACCTGTAATGCATTATGATCTGCTTATAGGACGGTATAATTATAGTGATTAACAACCAGAAACGTACATGCTGCGTCATAATGATCATTATTAAACACTAGTGACTTATAAGATCATGTTTCATAATAACTTTATACTACTACTACATTATTGTAGTCTTTTCTCCTTTCAATTCACATTCTACATGATCATTTATTTTTATGGTTTCTGAATACATTTATTGTGTGGAATACCAGAATTGCTCTAAAAATAAATTATTTTGATTAATGATAGTTGTGATTCAGATGGAGATTAAAAGCGCACAGAGGTTTTAGCCTTTTTTTTATCCCTTTCTTTCTGATTAGGCTTCAAAACAGACAGAGATCTGCATGCTGTTATAATCCCCTCTCGCTGTCTTCTTCTCTTCCGTGACTGTTTTTCCAGAGGATGAATCCCCCGGTCTCCACGGGTTCCTGAATGTAATCGTCCACTCTGCCTCCGGCCTCAAACAGAGCTTGAGTGAGTCACGCTCCTTTAGCCTTCATGCACACAACAGAAAATACATGTAATCAGGGGAAAAGCTCAACTTTAACTTGACAAAAGAGCAGTGGTTTTACAGTCTGTTATTTTAGTTTGGGTTCATTCCTTAATTTTAACTACTTAAATTGAGGTTTGATTTTTGGGAAGTTATAAGTCATTTGCTCAGTTGCAAATCATTTGGACAAATTAAACGAAACTTGTTTCTAATTTGCTTTCTGGCGAGACTGTCTAACATTTAGTCAGTTCAATTGGTGCTGTCATGCATCCGCAAAGAACAATTCAGAAGCGCTATTAAAGTCAGATTTTCACTCCTTTGTCTGCCAGATCTCTACTGCACATTGGAGGTGGATTCCTTCGGGTTCTTTTCAAGTAAAGCCAAGACGAGAGTGTATCGATACACCACTGAACCCAAGTGGAACGAGGTGAGAAACTGGCACAATAAAAGCAACATGTTCCAGTTGGAACAAAATGTCTCTGCAGATTCTTAATGTATAATATGTGTTGACGAGTCAATGCTGAAATATACGGCATGGTTTGCATCAGAAGGCCTTCTAAAGTTAACGACGGCATTTGTACTCCTGCAAATGTTCTTGGTACAGTTTGTGCTTCCTGTCATGTGTCTCACATCTGGTCCTGTAATCAGTCTCGGAGTAGGCCGTAACGTGTGCACACTGTATGCCGGCCAGCGGCCGTACGTGCGCAAACACAACTGCATTCATGGTCACAGCTGGATGTCGGAGGTCAGCAGTGTGGAGGGAAGCTTTGAGACACAGTCAGTGGGTCGGATCATCCGCGGCACAATTCTTCTTTTTTTTACATCCCGGACCCAAAGACTCTTTGATGATTTTGCTCAGCAAAGTGGAAATAATATCAGCTAATGAGGAGCTGCTGGTGATGACTCACGTCTCTCTAAATGCTAAGTGAACCAACACAGTGTGGCGGCCTCAGACTGATGTGCAAAACATATGCAGAGTGCCCCCGTGCAAAATCACATGGACTCTTGGTCAGCTGCGTGGTGGGATGTATGAACTAAGATGTAAGGCGGCTGCAGAATGGTTTGGCTCTCTGTTGTTATTGTAGTCAAATGAAATATAATCCCGCTGGAACCATTTTCATTTTTTTTTTCCTCCCCCGAAGGAGTTTGAGATTGAGCTGGAGGGCTCTCAGACCCTGAGGCTGCTCTGCTATGAGAAGTGCTACAACAAGACCAGGCAGAACAAAGAGGACGGAGAGAGCGCAGACCGCATCATGGGGAAAGGACAGATCCCGGTATGACATGACGTCAGCCCCCCCCCCCACACACACACACACACACTTTCAGCAGACCCAACATGACTCCTTACCAATACGCGGTTATGTCACCATCGCTGCCACGGAGCCCAAAATCCATATCGTTGCTCAGTGAGCCACTAAAACTGAGCACGATGTAAAAATAGCCGATTAGATGAATTTCCCTAATGTGCTGTGGGCGGAGGACGTTTTGATGACCCGAAGCTTTAATTTGTTTGAATGCCACTGAGCTGTCACTGTGCTGCCAGGATAAGCTCTATAAGGCATTGCTCACAGTCCAAAGCCTACGACGGCTATTGATTAACAGCAATGCCATCCTGCATGTGCGGGAAATGACATCAACAATAGTGCAATGCAAGTGCCTAAAATCCTGATGAAATCCTCAAAATAGAACAACCGAGTTACTGTAGCCGGTCTAGATGGCAGGTGATTGAGTTGCCAAGACGACGGCAGCCTAAAGGATAACGCCGCGTGTCGCTCAACCGATCAACAAAGAGAAAGCAACGATTCAAAGGAGAAAGTGATACAGACAGATGGAGAGATTTTGTGTGTTTGATTTACTCCCTCCACAAACATTTCTTACTCCTCCTCCCGCAGCAGGGCAGCTGTTTGTCTTTACAAAACATAAAAACCCACTAGACACTAATGACAGGCCCTTTTTATACATGTGATATTGAAATCAACTAGTCGTAGAATGCAGAATCAGTTTCATGTTATATTATCAGAATTCATTTTGAGTAGATTGTATCCTCTGCCATCTGTGAAGTACAGTCCCACGCTCCACCTAGTGGTTCCTTTAGTAATTCTACGACAGGACCACATCTTGACAGATGATGTCATTGGAAACAAACCCACCCAGAGTGGTGAGAAAGTTGCTAAGTAGGATTTACATAAATCCAGAGCAGGAGACAGACGCTCACGTCCTCAGTAGAAACCACAGTGGCTTTTTTTCCCCCCACACATAACTTTTCAGTTTAAGTGGTTTACCAACCACATAAATGTTTATAATAGAATAATATAATTGTTAACTTGCCGGAGGGGCTGGAAGCCAAAAATACCATCATATTGTTGGTAAATAAATGACCACCTTTATGGTATGATTGACATGTACCTGATGAAATGTAAGCTTAGGGTTTGTAACCACGCAAACAGAGAAGAGAAGGTTAGTTATTCCCCACTAAACAATAGAGAAGAAAAATCGTACCATACAGTAAAAAGAGCCAAATTCTATTTTTGGTCATATACTTTTTAAAACATTTTCATTTACCTAAAAAGCATATCTCATTCATTTTGTAACACTTGTCCTGAACTATTCCTTCCTTTTTTTCATCTGACAGTGCTATAAAAACGTTTTTACGTGTTAAAAACAATATAGTTGTACATGTTGTTCAGCAGCACAAGCCTCGTTAAACGTGTGGAAAGCTGTGGATGATGAAAAGTAATTTCTTTCCACATTTTTTTTCAATCAAATATCCAAAAAGGAGCTTTGCTTTTTTCTCATGGAATGTACTTCTAGATTAACAGCTCTGGAGAGGACTCTCTGCAGTGAAAGATTGGGTTGTACTAAACATGATCCAGCTTTGCACACAACCACAAGAGGCTTAGATAAACAACCAACAGTATACTGCGTGTGTGTTTATTTAGTTGTATTGGATCTGAGTGTGTACTCAGATGTTAGTGCCCCAGATGGTGGGTGTGTCTCTTCAGATCTGAACGTTTTTGTGTGAATTTAGTCTCTTTAAAGAAGTTAGATTTGTTTATCACCTTCATAATAATACAATAAAGCAATATATCACACGACAGAGCCACCGTTGAAAACAGGGTGGAAAATTGGCACTTTTGAAGCAATGATAATTGTATGTTACCTTTTATCTTATAAAAAGAAAATAAACATTAGAAGTCTGTGGCCTTTAAATCTCCTAAATGTCCAATGTTGGTCATATATAACAGACAAACCCATGGGTAGTAGTGTAAGGAGTGTTCATTTTCCAATGCAACAATGTAGAAATTTGAAGTAATAGTAAAATCTTAAGCCTGATTGTAGACCAACTGAGTAGTTTTCATTTAAAACTGGTAGATCGATAATGATTATCTATAGGGATCATCTGTATGGCTCTTATGTGACACATCTTTAGTTCAAATGAAATTGTCCTCTATGTACATACGGTCCCATGTATTGTCCTCCTGTGTTGTCTCCATCAGCTTGACCCTCCGACTCTCCAAGGCAAAGACTGGCAGAGGACAGTTATTCCCATGAACGGGGTGAGTACATTGATTGTACTCTTTCCTCAACACTCATTCAAAAAGTTTGCAAATTTGCTAGTGATCTAGTTTTATTATTCTACTGTTATGTGACTCCAGTGCTGCCTTACATTTATGTTATGGTAGCAGACCGTGCTGGTCTGTTACCGTCTGGTTTTAACATGGCAAGATTTCCTCAAGATCACCGAAAAGCCATTGCAGAGGGAGGTCAGTGCTTGTAAACGTGGTTGTAACTTTAAGCCCTTTTTTCCTGGGTCAGATCGAGGTTAAACTTTCCATGAAGTTCACCAGCCGAGAGTTCAGTCTGAAGAGGATGCCCTCACGGAAACCCATGGGCGTGTTTGGTATCAAGATCTCCGCAGTGACCAAGTAAGTTGACATTTCAACACAAGGAGCCTACGTCATTGGAAGTAATCATCCCATCACCTGTATATGTTTAACCCCAAAGGGTTATCTTTGCATAAATCTGTGTGTTAGGGCCCATTCATATTTGTTAATGGCATTCCCCAGGGCTCGATTCTGGGCCTCCTCTTCTTCTCAGCATTTTTCGTTTCTTTGTGTGACACAAATGTTCAAGCTATCCCCCCTGTTTGCCTAACTGCCATCTTCACTCAGATGGATGCTTGTCCCGAGGCCGTGGCTCTTTTTCATCAGCATTACCAACCCACCTATACTCTCTTGTGCAGACTGCCAAGTGACTCATTCTCATCCCTGGACCGCACCAGGCTTTCTGTAGACAGTTCATTTGGAGTCACATTGTTTTAGGCCATCTTTTAAGTGTGGGAGTCTAGTGGGTATTGTAATCACATTTTCAAACATTAACATTTTCTAATTACTATTAAAACATGCCTGTCTTCGTGTCAGCCTGCCACTGATGAGACTTAGTGACTTGACACTTAAATATTTTCAAACTAAGTTTGATATTTGATTTGTTGGAATATTTAGCGGAAGTAAGGAGGGAGTTAAAGTTGGGGAGGGGTGGCGGCGGGTTATGTAGTAGAAGCCTAAATGTGCTCTGTTTGTGGCCATTGTTGCTGCTGTTGAGTGACGCCAACGGGGCTTAGAGATAACTAGCAGGTCACCTAGAATTGCCAGAAAAAAAATAGTGCTGAAAATAGATAATTTTAAACAGAAACACAAGCAGAGCCGGAGGAATAACCCTCAAGTAGTCATCACAATGCAAAACACAGCTGTGTTCATTTTGTCTTTTTTCTCAATAGTCAAAACGCCTGGTTGTTTGTTCACCATTGATGCTGTTCAGCATTTCACCGAATACAAACCTGTTATTGATCATTGACGTTTGTCTCCATCCAGGAGAGAGCGCTCCAAGGTGCCCTACATCGTGCGGCAGTGCCTGGAGGAAATCGAAAGGAGGGGTATGGAGGAGGTGGGCATCTACAGAGTGTCAGGAGTGGCCACTGACATCCAGGCCTTGAAGACCGCCTTTGACACCAGTGAGTATTGCCCTTCGTCTCCATACATTGGGTACGGTGACACGTCCCGCCGTCGGAAGATTTATTGACCGGCACCCAATCAATTTGATCCCTCCTGTAGATCATAAAGATGTGTCAGTGATGATGAGCGAGATGGACGTCAACGCCATCGCTGGGACCTTGAAGCTGTACTTCCGAGAGCTGCCAGAACCGCTCTTTACCGATGACCTCTACCCCAGTTTCGCGGGGCGGCATCAGTAAGTCAGGGGGTGTTGGCGTTCTCAAATATAGCCAATTACCATTGTTCATGTCTGCTTCAGGTAAAGGTCCTTGTATATTTGTAGTATGTGTAAAATCTCCCTTCCTTCTGTGCAGCCCTGTCGGATAGTGTTGCCAAAGAAAGCTGTATGTTAAACTTACTTCTGTCGCTGCCTGAGCCCAACCTGGTCACGTTCCTCTTCCTCTTGGATCACCTGAAGAGGTAAATACTCGCATGATTGCGTGATATGTAAATAGGAATGCCCACATAGACAGAACAAATGAAACTGATGCATACGCAACAACAAGGTGCAGTCAACTGCACCATGCACATATGTTTATAAATCCAGATAAATGTTGTGTCCAAATTTTAAAACTTGGGAGCATTAGAGTCACAAGAAGGGAACGAACTTTATATTGGCAAAACTGTTGTTTGACAGTAGATGCTAGGGGTAAAATGAGTAGCTTCATTTGCAATGTATTTATTGATGAATCTATTTATCGTATTGACCTTTAGAATCACTGGCATATTTCTCTACAGATCAGTCGCTGCACAACAGCGTTACTGTAACACTTCCTGTGTTTGCTCCACGCTTCTGATTCAATCGTGCCGTCGTTTTCTCCTCAGGGTGGCAGAGAAGGAAGGCATCAACAAGATGTCTCTCCACAACCTGGCGACGGTGTTCGGGCCGACCTTGTTGAGACCTTCCGAGAAGGACAGCAAGATCCCCACTAACCCCACCCAACCCATCAGTATGGGGGACAGTTGGTCCTTGGAGGTCATGGCGCAGGTGCACCATAAACATCTTCATTTGGCATTTTGTCTCTGAGCTTTCAGAAGGTCGTCCTCTCTGCTAATTGCAAGCTTGAGAAACCAAAACTTCATTTGTGTTTGTTCTGTTTTTCTTCCGCCTTCATTGCAGGTCCAAGTGTTGCTGTATTTCCTCCAGCTTGAGACGATCCCCACCCCGGACAGTAAAAGACAGAGCATCCTCTTCTCCACTGAAGTATAGAGCCAACCGTGACATTCTACAATGAAGGAGTTCAGCAGAGTCGGACCGCGGCTCAAAGTGAGCCTACAGTAATATGTTTTTGCATTAACTTAGCAGATTTCATGAGGCTTACGCAGCTGGAGAGGATCGTTTCTGACGTTTGGTTGCCTCCCTCAAACACTGGAGGGCGCCATCGGTCTTCAAAGCTCGGAGGCGGCGTAACTAGCAACGGTTACCTGATATTTAATATGATTCGTTCCACCTACAGTGAGGATGTGGGTGCACTTCTCCACCGTGCTCCATGCCGGTCTGAACATTGAAAATTGTCGAAATCAATCCATAATAGAACAGAATACGTCTTTCTTGATTGTTGATTTAGTCCGCCAACAAAATTCCACTTACCTGTTAGTTTGGGCGCCATCCTCTATTTGTGTTTTACTTCGGACAATCATCAGCTCTCAAGACAGAATATTCTGATCCCTCTCAAGCGTTGCTTCATGTCCTGCCGTGGGAAGTTCTAACCGTGTCTTGCGTAGCCTCGGAACATTGTTACGGAGGAGACGAGAAGAAACATTCGTGCTGTTTGTAGAGGTTTAAAATCACCCAGAGCTGCCACGGTTCTGGCTTTTGTTAAGAAAGCCAACGCCGGCGTGTCACATGTTTACAACGTAAACAAACCCAAAAGGCTGCAGCTTGAAAAGGGACCACGAAACATTTGAGAAGGAACATCGTGATCAGTAAGCGATCTGACTGCCCGCGTTGTTCAAGACCTTAAAGGAAAACTTGTCTTTTTTTTGTGTTGTTTGTGTATCAAGGTAGTCTTCAGCTTGGATATGGAGGAAGCAATATATTTTCTAACATAGGAACTGTCTGTGTTCATACCTTTGCGGACGAAAACGTGCTTGTTAATGTAACATAGAACATCCTGCCAAATGAATATCTTGATCGTTTGTTTCTAGGAGCAAAGGAAGCAGTTGTATTTACGGACACAGTGTGTACATAATCTTAAAGTTGTATTTTTTTTTCCCTTTCTTTTTGGTAAACAGTATAGTCATTGTTGCAATTATTGTAATTTATTTTGGGAGGTCCAGGGGGAGAAATTGATTTGTTTCTTTTTCCACGTGAACTTTGTTTCGATTTGATTCTGAAAGTCCCGCAGCAAATAAGCAGGATTTAGCCTTGTTCTTATAGAATTTACTCAGCTGTTCTATCTGGCCTATCGATTATTCATTTACACGTTGTTATTAACGGCTACACACACATTGTAGTTACATTACTGTACGCTGCTGCTGCTGTTGGAAAAGTCGCCGGCTCTTTTAACGCCGCGTGTTCCTCAGCAGAACGTCTCACGCGCATAATGTCCAGTGTATGCATTATGCAATGTCATAATACGGGCACACACACTCACTAACACATGACATTTAATCTGTGGCGGCAGAAGTGCACTCATGTGATGTTAGAACTACTGTATTACAATTCAAGTAACCTGAGAGCACTCTGCATTTATGTCCATTGAAGAGCATATTTGTTTGTTTAATGAAGGAATATTATTTTGTTTCATCTTCTCCTGTAATCTTTTTTTGTAATCTCATGCATTTGTTCTTCCCGTTAAGCCTAAAGGTTTCCAACTCAATGGGGAGTTTAAAGGAAAGATCTCAGAAATTCTGTTGATTAAAAAAAATAGACGTTTTAATTTCTGTGTTCTTGATTTAACATGCGGGCATGTTTTATTGTTGTTGCTTTATTTTTTCATTTTGTTTGTTTGTTGCTGTCTTTTTCACAAATGTGTCACCATAAACTTTGGGATGTTGGCAACTGGTGAGAATGTTGGTTTACATCATTACAGCGCGTCATTTTTCTGGTCAATAGGACGGGTTCACAAAAGATGTGAAACTATCCTTTAGGGGTCAACATCCTTGTTGGTTTTCTGTATCAGTCACAAGTATAACACCTTAAACAACTAACCAGTTCAACAATGTGATCAGAGCTTGTGTCCGACTTTAAGAGTAAACAAGTACATGTTAATAATAACACATTTTAAAGTCTTTCCTTTTGGATCCATATCAACTCTCTTGATATCAAGTAATTTACACTCTTACATACGTGATAATATAGGCTGAAAAAATGATTACTGTATCGACCCCAGAAATAACACTGTCGAGATTGTATCCTAAAAGTCTTCATGCCTTTTTATGTGCTTTCACAAATCTTGGCCTGTTGTAGCATGCGCACAATGTTTCACCATCGTATGTGAGACAGAGAATGAATCCACCATCCATCCATCCGTCCGTCCATCCATCCGTCACCTCTATGACAGGTCCCGGTTGCCTACACTATTCTACCCTATCGTGCCTCAACACTTTTCTTTGGTTTTTGCCGCATGTGGTATTTCCGAAACGTTGTTCAGTCTCCTGTTGCCTTTGCTGAGGACGGCCACACACCTTTTCCTCTTTGAGAGACTAAGACAGGACCTTAACCTTAAGCATGGTCTTAGCTCGTACTGTACTCGCCACCTTTATCTGACTGTGATGCTGTAATTTAAACTCCGTCAGTCTTAATTGGGCAAAAGACAGACTTTCTTGCTCTTCTTGTTTGGCTCTTAACATTTCCACTTTAATGCCTTTTATTCTTATTTATTTATTTTTCCCTGTTAAGTATGAGAAGGTTTACTGGATCTATTTATTTATGATATATCACCTAAAGCTAAAATTATGTTAGAAAAATGGTCTTTATGTGGTGTGTTTTCTTTGGGGAAATTTAAGTCCCCATTTATTGAACATCCTGTTAAGGTTACAACATGTTTGTCACTGTTTTGTCCAAGAATCACAACCTCTGTTGTGCGACACTGCAAACACTTCTGCAGTGTCGCACAACAGACGGACCACTGTGATCGTTCAGCCATCTGATTTAGATCCATTTAGATTCAGTGAGTTCACGCAACACAAACCAATCATTTTCCATGGAGTTGTATAATATGTATTATACTAGAGAGTACATTATTTGGTTTGCGTTTTATTTATTGTGGCGTCCACTGGCGCGTTGTCGTCGAGGGTTGAGTTGGCACACCAAACTGTCAGTGTGTGGTAGAGGACAAGAGTCTTATATTGCTCTAAAATCTGCATTGTTTTTGGTTTGTTGATTGTCAGTGTAACTTGCATGTATCCTCCATAACCTCAGTCCTTCTGTACATTCAAAATAAATACAGTAGAAATGGTTACATTTTTCTGTGGAATAGCCTGAAGATATGGAACATATTGCTCTAAATGAAAGTTACAAATCTCGTCCATTTATTGTACACGACTCTGGTTATTACCACATGCAATAGTTAATACTATCAAATGACCCTCAACTGCCACTTCTACAGCATCTAAATGACTAAATCGGACTACTTTAACCTTTTTAAACATGATAGTTTTGTTTCTACACTTAACAAATAAAACTGAGGACTTGCTGACCAACTACTTTTTACCCTCCTCGATTTTTTGAGCTTGTGTTCCTGTTCAACACACAATGTTCTGCTTGTAGAACTGTAAAAAGGAATTCCATAATCTGAGGGCAAACGTGTTTGGAAGGCATTTGCTGCCTGTTTGTACACAAAAATGTTAAATAAAATCTCCTTGTAACTACATAGACGTACGTCTTTGGTTTTATTTTTTCAATTTGAGACTTATCCTGCAGTAAGATTATGAAATCCTAATGTTCACATTATAATTACATTTAGTGAAAAAAAGTATATTACCTAAGCAGTGAATAATGATATAATTGACTAATCAAAATGATTTTAAGTGTATAAATCTGCTAGTATTTAATTTTAGGTCTTGTGTTTTCCGCTTGGAAAAGAAACTGAACGGTCGAGCACTTAAGCAGCATGAATAGTTAAACCATACGCCTCCTCCGCACTTTTACGCACGGCTCAATCACAACGTGCAGGTTGCGCGCGTTGAGTCAGCGGGGGCTTTCTCTCGTTCTCACGGAAAACACCGGTCGGTCGTACGTCACGCTTAACCTGCAGCCCCTGCAGCGTGCAGCGTATCTCGCTCACACACAGACACGCACACCCAAATGCGCGCAGGGGGAGAGGCGGCGCGGGACGCGTATCGTCCGCTTGCAGCGTGACATTTTGCACCTTCTTTCCACCGCACCATGCGAGCAAAAGGCGGCGCACCCGGGATCGCGGGGTTGACGCTGCTTTGCGTTGTCTGGCGTGACCGCATCTACTTGGTGGCTGTTTTTTTCTTCTCCGTCTGACGCTTCTGGACAAACATCTGTTTTAAATTCCTCAATAAGGTAAGAAATGTTCTGCTTGTTCGTGTTATGTCTAAAATCGGTGTCCGTTTTAGGAGTTTAACAGGTGTTTTTTTTTATTTCAATATAAATAACCACTGTATTTTATCAATTGAACAAAGGCACATTCAGTTATTGGTTAAACTTTATTTATAGCAGCTTAATGTGGAGCTAATGGGAAATGACTTTATGATCAGATGGTTGAAGTTAAAAGTAGTCTATATAATGTCACAACGGCTCCCTGTATTAAAAATTCTAAAGTAGCAGTAATTTTGACTGTCTGATGATAAATGGATATTGGCATTGAGATCACGGCTGAAGCCTTTTCCCCATCACTCGACATCCATTACATCATCCACATAACTTGCCTTGGTTGGTCAGTATTGGCTCAGCTGATGTGTATCTGCTCCTGCTATCAGCACACATAACAGTCCCAGCTTTCCTCATTAGTCACGGACACACTACCTTTGCCAGAAGTAATACAGGAGCTTGGTGAATGTGAGCTGGTGCATTGATTGACAGGAGGCAGACTTTTTCTTTTCACTTCCTCGAGGCCTCTGATCACATACAGCCACTAATAACAAACAAGACTGTTTCTGCCAAAGCCGCAAACTGAAATGTTCAAACCACAGGGTTCCCCATGCGATAACCTTCCGTATAACGCAGCCTATTCTACTCAGTGACAGGTGAAAGCTATAAGTGGAAATTTAATATGATTTTAGTACTTTAAATTTGAAGACTGACTTCTCTTGTGCATGTTCAGAAACATTTGCAGCCTTTTTAGATCTTAAATGAAAAACACAATGGCTCGTTATGGCTTTCCAAAGCCGCTGGATAAAGCCTGGTTTTTTAATTCCTTTGGCTTGTGAAGGTTTCAGTAGCAGAACAATGGAAGAAAAGTAGAACTCCGCTCCAATGTACTGCATGCCAATCAGGATCACTGCCGGTAAAGCTACAGCTCTGTGTGTGTGTTAGTGAAAGAACAATGTTTGGAAGGAACAGGGAACAAAATGGTTGTTTTTTCTCTTTAAATTTCCCACACCGACATTTCCATGTATGCAGACTAAAGTTCATGTCTTTTAACAAGAAATAATACAGAATTATATGAGTTAATAGCTCACATTTGTTAACAGAGCAAAAGGTAAATATGTGTTCCCCTTTACCCTCAAATACGTGTGGTTTTCATTCTCACTTCAGAGCTCATCAGAGGTTGAGAATTCTTAGTAATATGGCCATCATGTTGAGTATTGGCGAGAAGGATCTTCAGCATCCTCATGAGCAGCGAGCACAACTCAACATTAATCTATGGATACATTTCTGACACAAAAGGAGAAAAACTGTGGTGAGAAACGGTTTGATTCAATGAAGGATTGGATTGTTAAATCCTCTTATCTGAGAAATGCTGACGGACTGTAAAACACCCTAAATTAGTCACATGGTCCCAGCATTGCTAGTGACCCAGTTTCCAACCCAGAGTAATTTGTGGAATCTTATCTGGTCAAATGTTACTCACTGTATTGACCTTCGCAGCAGCTGTGTCATATTTACAAAGCGTTTTTTCACTGTAGTTGATAACTTTCACCTTTAACATCAACTCCGCCATTCAGCGGAGATCAAAGCCGGTTTCGTGTGTATGTTTATGTGTTCCAACCCACTACGGGACATGTGTGCCTTGTGTTCTGAGGGAACCTGCATTAAGCAGCATATTACATATGTTAATTAGGCTGACTCATATCGCATTTATTGAGATTTTAAAAATTAAAATTCATTTTAAAAATGCATTTTTCAACCTTTTTTTTCTCATTCATAGAACTCAAACTTACATCACAACACCTGTTGTTCAAAGATCATTTCAGTTATTTCCAACTGCCAGGGTTAAAAAGTATATATAGTCAGCAGCAGCTTTGGTTAGAACTCTCTCTGTCTCTGGGCAGTAGTACATGAACTTGGCCTGTACGTTTCACTCATGCTAGGTTGTGATAAAATGTCCATACGATGGCATTGAAATTCATGGGTGGTTAAATTTGTATAACTATTAGTGGTTTTGAAGGATGGATGATTCGTGCCTGAAAGGGCTGAAACTCTTCCTGAAATAAAAGGTACATTGTTGGCCTGTCCGCTGTCGGCCCGCTGTCTGCCTGTCTTGCGGAGATTTTTTCCTAACCTGTGTGGTATCCTACAATCTGTTTGTACAGGCAAAGAGATTGTGTTCTCACTCGCTTTCCCTCTGCAGACCACTGCTCTTAATTTGGCAGCCGTCCGGCTGAGCTCCCGGATCCTTCCTCCTCAGTATTCTGCTGCTGTCCGTGGCAAAGTTCCCCACGGCGCACACAAAAGAGACGGAGACGGTTGAGGAGACAAAGAAGAAGGCCCAGAGCGCGATTGACAGCGAAAGGTTGAGTCACACAGCTGTTTGTGGTAGGAACTTCCTGCCTTGGCTATCCTAACGCTCTTCCGTTACTTCGCACCAGTGCGATTTGGCAGGCAGCTATTTTGTCTAAAAACAAGTAAAGCGGCAGAGTCTGTGGGATGAAAGTGCAAAGACAGAAAAAAAGAGCAAGAAACAACCATGCTGAAACATGACCAGATGGTCTACATTGGCCTGGAGCTGGTGATTGCCTTCCTGTCGGTGGCTGGGAACGTCCTGGTCTGCTGGGCCGTCTGCCTCAACTCCAACCTGCAGAGCATCACCAACTTCTTTGTGGTGTCACTGGCGGTGGCTGACATTGCTGTCGGGCTGCTGGCGATTCCATTTGCTATCACCATTAGGTACCGGTTTCCTTCATTCCACTTTCCTCATGCTAACCTAAACCTGGTGTATGGTGCTTTTGGTTGGTTTCGGTCTGTGACTTTATGAATAATGATTTATGTAATTTGAAAGAATGTATTTTATATCACCTGTGATGTTTTCTTCCCTTCCAACATCAGTACCGGCTTCTGTGCCGACTTCTTTGGCTGCCTGTTCATTGCTTGCTTCGTCCTCATACTCACCCAGAGCTCCATCTTCAGCCTGCTGGCCATCGCTGTGGATCGCTACATCGCGATCAAGGACCCGCTCAGGTGAGAGGAAACGAAAAGGTCACATAAGTGATGAAGACTGAAACAGACATTGCTTCCCACGATGTCCCTTAAAGCCACAAGACTTTTCAGACTAACCAAAATCTCTCTGGTTCTCTGACAGCGTCGGTCTGTTTCATGAAGGAGGTTTCATTCAAATTGTTCTTCTTCTGCTTTACACAGTTAATTCTCATGGTTTTTTTAAATGCTCTTTTGTTTCGCACAGAAGTCAGAGGGTTGTGAGTAAGAACATTAAATGTGAGAGGCACATATAAAGTGTAACATATTGAATTATCAGATCTTTATACTAATCTGGCCGTCTGTGGGCCGACGTAAATCTGGCTCCTCTGGCTTTATTGGGTTACTGTTTTGCGTGCTGTCGGAGGAACTAAATCTCTTGGGCTTTGATCATTTTCATCCCTGTAAATCAACACCATTTAAATTCTACTCCTTACACGAGAGGATATTTCATCGAATAAGCCGCAGCAGGTGATGCGTTTGCATAAGCAGTTGCGTAACGGCTTCTGAGTGTGTTTGTGTGCTCACACGGCCGTCACAACCCCTGGCAGCAAAGACCGTAAAGCTAATAGTTCAGTTTCAGAGGGCTTCTTATAGCCAACTCGCTGCCACGCTGGACATAAACAATCTCAGTCACTTGGATCAATGGCTATAAGGGGGGTAACGATTCATTTTAACGATTCAATTCGATTCAGTGACTTTGCTGGACAGTGCAGGCAAAGTTTATGAGATCCCTGTTGTTTCTTGTAAGGAAATCAGGTTTAAATTAATTATGGATATTATAAACAAGCAAACAACAATTAACTGCAAATGTATTAACCTTTTATTTGAATCAAGTTTTCAACCACATTGTAGGGTCGCATGTCTTTACAGGTAAACTTGGCAATTGTTACTGTGATGTCGAGGCCTGAGGAGTCTGCAGAGCGCTAGAGGTCCTGACTGTCGGCGTTGTTTAATCATACGGCGCCTTAGTAGATGGCTGGAAAGATTCGTCGTGTTTCCGTGTTTTTTTATTTGGCTTCTACATATTCTACAAACAGTGACCGACTTATTTAGAACACCTCCGTGTTTGCAAAAGCCAAAATGTTTCCACACGCTGGATCGATAAGTTGGTTTGTAAATGTCTCGCTCGCAGTCGTCTCCTCCACGCTGTGTTTTGTTGTTGTTCTGAGTTTCGCGCGGCTGCCGCTGCGTACTGATGACGTCACAGACAGGCAGACTGAATCGAGTGACGTTTAACGTGTCTAAAGTGCTAAAAAACAAACACACATCCATACCGTTTTTGTACTTAAATCCAATGTGCAGTTTCCGAGTATCGATACAATAGATTATGTACCATTTCAATCGATTTGTAATCGATATATGTCGTCCGGAATGCCGATTTGGACGACGATTGGATCGCAGGAATTTAATCGATTAATCGATTCAGTGAATGAAGATTAGCCCAAAACAAGGACTTTTTTAATGGATTGCTTTTTCTTATTTCCTCGTGTCAGTTGTGTTGCTTTAGCACAATGCAAAAGGCTAACTTAAATATAATAACATGTCAGATTATCATTCGATTAATATTGTAAAATAAAGATTTTAGCCTCCAGTAAATCATGTAAAAAATACTGTTTGTCTGTAATTAGCAAACAAAAGTACTGGAGAATATTACTTTTTAACAACCAGTAAAAACATCCACTATTGCCGTGGCTTATTAAATAAATATCACGCCTAGGCTTGAGTGCACAACCATTGTATCCTCTTCTAAATCATCAAATATTGACTTTGACTTCCAGGGATGCTATCACACTTAGCAAAGATAAATCAACCAGCTTTCCGTTATAAATGTGCTCTGTTAAACCTTTCAGGTACAACAGCCTGGTGACGGGCCAGAGGGCAAAGTGTGTCATCACATTGTGCTGGGTTCTCTCAGTGGGCATCGGCCTGACACCGATGCTGGGCTGGAACAGAGGTGAGGGATTTATTTTGGCCAATATTTACCCCGGCTTACCCAAAGATGTACGGAAACATGAATGTGGCACTTTGTTACCATGTTCACAGCTCTCTGAAGAGAGGGGTTGTCACCTTTTGTTTCATGCTTGTCTCATGGTCAGTTTAAAAAAAATACAGAACATCTGGATTTGGGAGAATCCATCTCCAAACAAACCATGTGTTACATTACATTACAGGTCTTTTTTTTTTGTTAAGCCCACACATCCAATTACTGCAGGAGTTTTCAAAATAACTGTGTAGTGTGTTTATGTTGACTTCAATACAGCTAAATTGTTCTTATTGGTGCACAAAGACTTGCCATGATGAGACATTTTACTATTTATTATTCTTTCATGTTCACATTTCAAGAAATGCCTTTGGAGGTTATGAGAAGATGAAACCGGCGCATTAATGATCCCTACTTGTACACAGGTTGGAACAGTACCGCTGCGGTCGGCAGCAAAATCTGCCCTGAAGGCTTGACAGAGTGCCTGTTTGAAGAAGTGGTTACGATGGACTACATGGTCTATTTCAATTTTTTCGGCTGCGTGCTAGTTCCCTTAGCGATAATGCTGGTCATCTACACCAATATCTTCATGGCCGCTCGGCGCCAGCTCCGGCTGATGGGGTCAAAAGTTGTCCACGCCCCTTCTCCTGGAGAAATGGCCTCAGCCCGTTCCCCTCGATCAACCCTGCAGAAGGAGGTGCACGCTGCCAAATCGCTGGCAATCATTGTGGGTTTGTTTGCCATGTGTTGGCTTCCGCTGCACATCATAAACTGCTTCAACTACCTGTGTCGCAACTGCGGCCGTGCACATATATGGGTGATGAACATTGCCATCATCCTCTCCCATGCAAACTCTGTTGTGAATCCCTTCATCTACGCTTTTCACATGCTGGAGTTCAGGGAGACCTTTTGGAGAATTCTGTACCAGCGGATCCTCCGGCAGAGGGATGGACACGGTTTTGGGGTTAGGAGTCGACACGGCCAAGGTGTTGGGAGCAGCAGCAACATTCAGACTTCTCCTCGTACCAGTAATGAGGATTCATCGAGTGGCACGGTCGTGGACAGCTACGTCCTGCATGCCAGTCCCTTACCAACTCCACCAAAGGTGGCTCACGAGCCCGCTAGTCAATGGACATCAGCGTTAGACGCTGCACCGAGCAGCTACATACCCAACGGACACCAGGAAAAGAGCAGCGCCCTGCCTGCAATGCTGCAGCAACATCATCCATGCATCTTGGGCTTTGCTCCTCAGGATGGAGTTGAGTCAGTCTCAGATGGGAAGAGAGAAATGGACGTTGTGGAAGTGAAAGACAGTGGAAGCTGCGTCGCTTTTGTGAATGTTTCAGGGATCTCTCCCTAAAACAGGCCGACTGTCCAGACCTCACAGAAGTGAGCTCATGACGAAGATATTTAGTTATTTAAGAAAATGTCTTGTATTCCTGTAAAACATTTGATAGGCTGCAAACATGACGCATGAAGAAGGATTCATGAAGCTTCTCTCTGTTCTCTCTGAAGTCACATGAACTAGTTACAGGCAATATTTTTTATCGAAAATGTAATCATTTTTCCAAGATAAATGTGCTCTGTTGAGGTTGCATGCCTTTTTAACTATGTTCATTTTTGAAGACGATGCTTTATTAATCATTCATTTTGACAGGCATTTTTCAAGAGTCATATCAATTCTTGAAGTTTTTGATAATGTGATAGAAATTTATACTGTTTTCACTAACTAGAGAATTTAATGTTTTGAATATGTATCTTTCCCTGAGGTCATCAGCTGACACCTTCTTCTTCAGAACTACCATGATCCACTTTCCTCCTGAAAGCCGTAATTAATGGTTTGAAAAGCATAAACCACAGTACTCACAGACAACTTGTGGAGAACAATGTGTGAAGTCGACATCTGTGCTCTTATGTACAGATCTGTTAAAAAGTATCTTCTTAAAGTCCCGGATAGCTACTTAACGTTTGATATTGCAAGTTTGATGACTGATTTGATAACTGCCAGGCAACACATGTCCGTTGGTTCAACGACTATGGGGCACATGCGTCAAAGGCACACAATATATACAAGTGAGCTACCAACCGACAGAAACAAAGAGCTTGTTTGACCTATTCAAATATTATGCCGCTAGTGTGGCCAGTTTCAGAGTCGTTCTTGCACAAATAGACAGCATCCAAAACCCACGTACAGCACACACACACGCAAAGTACATACACATGGCCGCAGACTACTCAGTAAGATGTGTTTACAGAGTGGCCTGGCTGCTGACGCCAGTCAATGAACCTAATGCAATGGAAATCAAATGAAGGATCATTTGGCGATGTCTTTTATTATGCCATTATGTTTTCGCTTTCCTCATTAAAAAGCCCTTCCATTGTGGGAAAGGCCACATTAAGCGATATTTACGTGCCCTGAGGTAAAACGGAGAGACGTGACTAAAGAAATAAAGATATGAGGGCATGTATCTCGCTTGTTTATTGTATGTTTATTGAATGCATATTAGTGGTGCGAAATATATATTGCGGCCAAGCCCTGGGATATTCAAATCAATGAAGCTATTTCATGTTACTACTTTGTTTTTCTTGGTGCTATTTTGACTATTGTGAGCTAAAGGTTATGAAAATGATGTGGTAATTTGTTATTCCACTTTGAGAATACATTTCAATATAATAAAAGAAACAAAACCCCAAAATAAACAAAGGACTGTTGAAGTTTTATGCCATAGCAGCCGCCAGATCTACCTGACAGCCAAGGCTCCAGCCTGATGCATGAGTGTGCGGTGTGCATATGGGAAACAATGCAGCGGTTGTCTTTATAGCAATAATAAATGAATATATATGGAAGTATGGCATTGGCATGCAAAATGTATGTAAAACTGTTCTTTAAGTACATGAAAATTAGCTGAATAATACAATAACATAACACAGTTGCTTAGAGGCAAAAGTATTATTTGTTTAGGGATTCTCTTTGCGTCCTCTCTCAGGCAAATGCAGTGATATACTGACATAAATAAAGGATTTGCCGATTTTTATCTTGTTCATAAGCTTTGCTTCAGTGAGAGAGCATGCTTGGGAAAATAAAGAGAATCAAATGCAAGTGTGTACCTGTTTTAATAAAACAGAATCTATAGCATATGTGAGGTTTTGTGTGATTTTAGTTATACGTTGACTACATTTTCTTTACTAATGTGTTCCTTTGAGACATCAATAGAAAGCCTTGCTGCAAAACAAGTTGGCAGAGTTTTTATTCCTATCTTCATAAATCAAATAAATAGACACGAGAATTTCATCACGATTCCCTTCATCAGCTCAATATACAAATCCCACAATGCACCACGGGGTGACACAGGAAGTAGTTCACTGAGTTGCATTGTGGGTAAGCGGAAAAGGCTCCAAAAGCGATCGGAAAAGCGACCAACGCACGTTGCCGAGTCGTTCAGAAAGACACAACAACAACGATTAAGAAGTCGTTTTAAAATACGGAATCAAGGTAACTTTTGTAACAGATTGGACGAAATATACATTTTAAAAATTGGTTGTTTAAAAGCTCTTGTTCGTCTCTTGTCCTTAAGAGCTCTTTCATTCTGTTGGCTAATGTTAAATGGTCCCGCTGTTGGACGAACTCAAATTTATATTAATTAAATAATCATTGTATTGTTTACATACGCTATTACGATTTAGCCATGCTTGCTTTTGTAGTAATAAACAGTAACTCTGTTAAGTTCAACGATGACGTAGTATTGTTGTAAATCACGGAGTGATAGCTAGCAGCTAATGTAGCTAATATAGCTAGCAGCTAACTGTAAGCCATTGACGTTACAAAGAAATGGCTCACATTCGCCATACGTGCATTTTAGTTCTCACATTCATTGCGTTCTACTAAACGGCTGATTTATATTTAGTATTGCAGTTTCATGCGGACGTGCCTGTGGTTTAGACTGAATAAGCTAAACTCTCGTTGCCACGGCTTAAGTGGCACCAGGGAAGTCAATCCTACACTAACCATAAATGATTCAAATAAACTGCCCAATTGTTTCCGACGTTATTCCACATTTATTTTAAATGTATGTATTTGAAAATGGGTTCATGTGCATTTATCGTGCAACCACACATTGTGACCGTTTTCTGCCATAAATGCTTTTTCTTTCTCGCAGGAAGTCCGTTGAAACATGTCTATCGGAGTACCAATCAAAGTGCTGCATGAGGCAGAGGGCCACATTGTGACCTGCGAGACCAACACCGGAGAGGTCTACAGGGGCAAGCTGATCGAGGCAGAGGACAACATGAACTGCCAGGTTGGTCTTAATTCTACTAATCATACAAGAAGCTTCTCCCCGCAGCCCGATTACCAGTGTTACAGGTGTTCTGAAACTGTTTCCTTCCATTTGGGGAACAAAGGAGTGTTTTCATAACACCGTGTGGCTATGGAGCACACTGGTTTTGAATAATTTGCTTAAATGAATTCTAATGAGTAACCATACACTGACAATCACAGTATGACATTATTTATCAAATTATTAATTGAACATGCCTTTTTCCTGCATTATTTGTCCTGTCAATTGTCTTATTGTCCAATGGTATGCACCAACCACCATGTCAAATTCCTTGTATGTCTAACGTACCATATAACATTTAACATGGCCATAAATGTTCCTCACTCAACAGATGTCCAACATCACAGTGACTTATCGTGATGGCCGTGTGGCACAGTTGGAGCAAGTCTACATCCGTGGCAGTAAGATCCGCTTCCTGATCTTACCGGACATGTTGAAGAATGCACCGATGTTAAAGAGTATGAAAAACAAGAACCAGGGCTCTGGGGCCGGAAGAGGCAAGGCGGCTATTCTCAAAGCACAAGGTGAGCGATTTCTTTTTGGACAAATCTTCTAGGGATTTGTTTTTTTTACTCTACGAGGAATTACCACATTAAATCACTTTGTTGTGCAGCAGAACTCAAACTGCCAAATCTATTTTACAAGTCATCCACTTAGTCCTGGCACTTTAACAATGCACCTGACATTTTGTCCCACCGGAAACATGGTTTTCACAATAAGACTAAACTTTTGTGACGCATTGTTTTTCAATTGTAGCGTTTGTAGGATAGACCTCTTATGTGTATTTTTAAACTCTTGCATACTACTTATAATTTGTGGCAAAAACACTGAACCACTACATTATCATTCGTTCTTGCCATCTGCAGTGGCTGCAAGGGGTCGAGGCCGTGGTGGAATGGGACGAGGCAACATCTTCCAGAAGAGGCGATAGTTGCTCCAGCTTTGTTAAGATTGTTTCATTGTATAGTCTTATGCTTTTTTAATTCTGCCTTTGGATTGGATCTTTTGTTTTTTTGCAATCCTGTATGTTGCAGTTTATGCTTTCATTTTATGAAAATAAACATGTTTAAATTTTATGTCTGGTGTCCTGAGTTACTGATGTCTGTAACGATTTATTGGTCAGACGCCAAATTTCCTAACGGCAACCCTTGTATCAACCAATTCTTACCTGCAGATTTGAGTTAGATTCATTTCTTTCATGCATCAACAATAAATCAGTTACAACATAAATTAAATCTTTTATCTGTTCAGGTTTTCCAGTGAAATTGCAAAAACAATGCACAGTACTTTGACCCTAAACGTGAGGGACACGTCACTGCAAGCTGAATAAATTTGCTTCAGCTGTGTAGATTCGGGTTATGTTACACTTGGGTAGTTAACCCAAGCAAACGGAGTAAAATATAATTGCATGGTGCAACTCCACAGTGCACCAGAGGAGGGAGCCACTGAACCGCGAAGTGCGTGTTGCAAATCCCCGGTGAGGTGCGAACATTATCTGCAGCTGGAGAACGCGAGTCACTCCTCGGCGGACTTCGCCCTTTCATGAGGCGTATTAGTCGGAACTATCCGCGTCAAACGTTCCCGGTTTCCCCCGCGGGACCAGAGCGCTCCGCCGCATCGGTCCTCCGCCCCGTCGCGGCTCACGTCCAGCTAGCTGCCGCGGAACACTTCTGCTCTGCACGTCTAAACACGACTGGGTAAGGATTTCTCTCCCTTTTCTCCTTTGTTTATCTGACACAATCGGCTTTTGATGTTGTGAACGGGGGACGTCCGTCGGTCGCTCGAGCATCCTCGACTCGCGCCCCGTCAACATCTGCATCTTGACAGATGAGGCGGCTGCTAACGTTAGCTCGTTAGCTCCGCGGGACCTCAGGCGAAGCTAACACTCGTCCACCCCGCGAATCTCAGACGGATACAAGAGGCGCACAAATGTTTGTGTCAGTTCGTCGTGATGGTTCCTAGTGAGGGGAAGCGTTTTGTTACCGTTTCTGAAATTGCAGCGTTCAACGCGAGACAACGAGTTAGCTCGACTTGTTCCAATGCTGAGTGGATACCGATTGTTGTAAGTTCGTTCATGTTATAGATTGTGACGTAAAGGATTTTTATTTTCATTGCTAAAAGCTTTTTAACAATCCAAAGTTGCATCGTTATGTAATTCATGAAAAACGGCATCAAATATCAGCTTAATGGTCCTTTAGTAGAAGTGTTTCTTGCTAATGTTTTTCCCTTCAAACAAGACTTCATTCCATTAAGTTCTAACAGCTGCTGAACTGCAAACGATAAAACCTTTAAATGCACCATATTTTTGATAGTAATCTGGTGGACTGTAAATCAAAGGGATATATATATATATATATATATATATATATATATTTATATTGACCTGGGCGAATTATAGTGCATTTCTCAGATGGCCTTTGTTGACATATTTGAGCTATTCAATGGATGTTTTATTGCTCTCTAATAACATGGTGGGAAAACAAGTTTCACATATCAGATAAATAAATAAATCGATTGACAAAATTACTTTGAGAACCCAGTAATTGTTCAAGTGGAGGAACAAATGCCAAACGTTTGACAGTTTCAGCCTCACAAATGTAAAGGTTGATATCATCCATCAGCGCGTGTGTTTAGCTTTCAGATTGATACCTAGACAGAATGACTAAGTTGAAGATGTTGACTTGTATGTCGTGTTGCACAAATCTCACCATTTCTAACAATTTATTGAGCAAATAAGGTTTTCCACTCCCGAGTGCCTTAGTGGTTTATTCCCATATGACTAGCTGTGGTTTATTTCGTTACGTTGACTAACAAGCAGACATTTCAGATTCTCAAGTTCTGCTGCGATTGTGTGGTTAAGTTCACCGAGGCTCATCCCTCCATTTACAGAAGCTTACATCTCTCCGATAACGGACAGGGTTTCCCTGTTGATCTTTTAATGAAGCCGGGGATCCTCCTCTGCCCCAGATGGCCGTGTGTTCTGCCCGCGTGTCTGTGGGAGCGTGTTATTAATGCCGTACAAGGCCCGGACCCCCCTCAGATAAGTCCCCCCTGCCCACATAGTGACGCTCACGTGACTTTTTTTTGTCATGATAAGAGGCATCTGGAGCTGGACGGCATCTGTTGGCGTTTCACAAGGCTCGAAATGTAACTGCTTGTTCTTCGTCTAGCTGTTGTCATCACCGGGGATCAGGGACATTTTTTATCTTTAGCCAGACCTTCAGTCATTCTTGATATAGAGCATATATATATATTTTTTGTTATCCATAAATGTCTACATTTTGATATTTGCCGTTTTGTAGAAAGCTTTTTATAGAGTATTAGTTTCTGTACAGCCCACTGTGGTTGAAGGTGAGATAACCAAATGAGGTCCGTCAAAGCAGCATTCTCAGCTCCAAGGTAAATGATTCTCATGAGCGCTTGGCTGAAGTAGTTTCATAAGGTCGCTTCCTTATTAGTGGGCGTTGACACCGAAACGTGTTTCGAAGCGTTGGCTGCAACTTGGTTAAAGGCTCAAGCGACTGCAAATCCTGCTGGTCAGACAAAGACTGTAAACCTCCAAAGACAGACAAAATATACCAACGGCCTGACAGATATTCATAGCAGAGGACAGGATTTGCAGCGATATTGTGTTCCTCGGTATAAATTGTAGTATCACGGAAAGACTGCCTTCTCTTCTTGGTATATAAAAAGCCCACTGCAGCTGTGAGTTTCCTCTAGGGGTATGGTCCTATATTTGACTGGACTCCATTGAGGCCGAGTCCAATTAACCCGTGTGCATTTGGTTGCTTCAGTGGCATTGATGCTGTGTGTGATGCACTGGATTTCAAGAGCTTGTTATTGATGCAAAAATAGTTACGCTCAGGATTGACGTAACTTCCTATTGTAATGATGATGGAGTACTTTTTAAATTGTAATTGTACAGCTGCGTTGCCAATTTCCTCCAAAATGTTTGTTCGCTCAGGTCAGAGTCAGAATTGTCAGTCGAGGATTTTTATTTCAGATTCTTAAAAACACACAGTAAACAAGTTGAGGACATTGTATTTAATACATTGTTTACTTTTCAAGGATAAATAACATGACAAATGGATCAAATAAACAAGTAAATCACTCCTGAGGATTTGCGGTGCAACAGCAGCAGCAGCAGCGCAGGGTCCTGAACACCCTTCCCAAAAATCCCATGACCCCCCTCGGCCCCGGGGCGGCTGAGACCCCGTCAGTGCCAATGTCGGCTTCTGCACAGGCAGGTGTGACTGCAGCTTCGTTGTCGTCATCATTATCGGACGAACCAGCAGTGGCGTCCGAGTCTCCGACAGCAGGGGCTGGTACGCCCTCCCCCGGACCCGCGTCAATAGACCTTGCTATTGAATAGCCGCTAGGAGCTTCATCTGCAGAGCGCCCCGCGGCGCCCTCTGAGGCCTCAGAACCAGCTGCAAGGTCCTTCACGGCACTCATCACGGCGGCCTCATCTGAACAGGCGCCACCAGCTGAAGCGTCGTTGCAGCCGACAGCACGGCCTTCTCTCACACTCGGTGTACCGGAGTCGGCAGCGGCCGAGGCTACGGCTTCCTCGGCGCCCGATTCGATCAGGGTTACGAACGGGTGACGCAGAGCGGCACTCGGCGTCGTCCTTTCCTCAGGATTCAGACGCAGCATCTGGCGCAGGAGGCCAACGAACCTGGTCTTACACCCAAAGCTGTTTTCTGGGTTCAGCTGCATTCAGAGACAAAGTCCAACATGGTCGGAATGAGTGTGCCGAAGAGTGTTGCTGTTACTCGAGTCCGGTAAAAGAAGGGCCACCTACCTCGACCAGGTCATCCAAATAGTGGAACCCGGGGGAGCTGCCTCTGTGTTTTTGTGCCACAAAGCCACTCGCCGCTTTGTACTCCGCTGCCGTCTGAAACCGTAAAGAATATATTTAATTAATACGCTTCTCTATCAGCTACACAAGTTGCGCCGTTACATATATTTATGAGGCAGTGCGACACAGGACAACGTACGTTAAGCCTCCACGACGGCGCTGTAGAGTCCTGGTTACGGCTGAAGTAGAGATGCGTGTAGGCGCCGTCGCTTAGAAGTTTGTCCTCCGGCTGACCCAGCGTCTCCACCATGGTTTTCACCTAGATGAAAGAACACGTAGAGAGAATCACGTCTGCCGATGGTGGAGTTTCTGTTGGTGTTGGGACACAAAGCTGTGGTGCGTCGACCTACCTGGTGATACTGGCACCTCTGAGGAAATGGCAGGCTACCAAGGTACATGGTCGCCAAAACAGCACCCAGAGACCACACGTCTACCGCTTCTGAGACTGGAAGGCCCAGAATAACATCCGGAGACCTGAAGGCGGGATGCACACATCTGCTGTTAGAATGGGAACCATTTCGGCACAGGGGTCCGAAAAGCCAGAAAGAGAGAGCAATCGATGAAACGTACCTGTATGCGATAGGCTGCATGATCACACCTCGCTCGACTTCAGCAGCTGCAACGGCCGAACCAAAGTCAATGAGTTTGACTCTGAGGGGCTTTTCCCTCGTCACCATGATGTTGTTGGGCTTGATGCTGGTATGAATGATGCCGGCGGTCTTCAGGGACTGCAGCGCGCTGAGCAGCTGCAGAGGGCGGAGGAAGAAAACACAAGACGTCGCGGCTTTAAAAAAAATCGGTTCGCCGACGAAAGCGGGAGACCGGTCAGGTTTTCCTTGCGCACGTCAGATAGCAGAAGGATCGCGTACCTGCTTCGCGATGGGTCTGATTTGCAGAAGAGGTAGTCGGTTGCCGATCCTCTCCTTCAGAAGCTCATGCAGATTCTTGTCCAACATTTCAAAAGTGAGGCAGGTGTGCCCTATGTGTTGGAAGTCCCCCAAGAACCGAACAATGTTTTCTTGATCGAGACCACGGATCCTTTTCAGCATAGCCAACTTGGGAGAAAACAGGAGTCATCAGGTAGGGTGATACAGCTCAGCGGCAGCTGAGGCTACTTGTAGATGGTATGTTTTATCAAACCTGCCACTCTGGGACAATATGTACCTCTTTGTTCGGCTCAAGAGAACCGGGGGCTCTCTTTTTGAAGATTTTAATGACCACGGCGTCTCCGGTGCCGACCTCTTTGCATTCGGCGACGTTGCTGAAGCAGCCATTGAACCTGAAGCGGCGAAGCTCGTAGTTGCCGGTCTCGCCGCGCAGCACGGTCCGGGGTCGCACCTCCGGTTCGTCAGAACCTGTGACATACACAGGGAGGGGGAACGGGTCGAGCCACAATAAAACCAGACTATCCAGGCTGTAAAAATACCTTTTTGTAGTAGAATTCAAACTATTCAAAAGGATTTCCAGATCATTTGAACAATGATTATTCCAAAGCATTAAAACAATGAGGCAAATCTTCACTCAAAGTACATAATTGGTATTATATTATATATTTAGTTGGAGGCCTTGTGTTTGAGCCTTTTCGTGCAACCCGTTACCGCTAGTCCCTCTCACCTGTTTGACTCAAGGTCCCTGATGACTGCAGGTCCATCTCTCTCTGATAGGACAGCAACATATTGTTTGTGTTTTTTTTTTCCAACTTCCAAGAGCAATGAGTCTCTGTGTCTCCTCTGCAATCTGGTGATACTGTAATGATTTCTGACCGAGTTCTTCAGTTTTATGCCTCCTGGGTTCTATTTTTCTGTTCTGTTCTGTCACAGAAGGATTTCTGGATTCCAAATGTTCCGTGTAGAATATGAGAAACATTCCGGTAGAACTCATCAGAAAGAATGTACACAGTTTGGTCGGGTGTTATATTTTTACACTTCACCACTGCCCATAGGAGCTAAATCAATGTAATCAAGGCTATAAACTCTATAACTCTAAAGAAATATTAGGCCTTTAATCCTTCCTCCGCTTAGTAAATGATCACATTGATTGTAGTTGTTTGTTATTATGAAATAAATCCCTCATCTACAGGTATCTCTGTCTGTACACGGTGGTCTTCAATTCTTCCTGATATTAATTTACAAAAAAAAATATATACAAATATCTCAATTTCATCATCTTCTCTTAACAACCACCTATTTGTCAGATACCCAATCAGAAAATTGCTGGATCTCAAATCCAAGAAGGTTTGTTGCGACACCCATAGGGATGAAGACCAGTGAGTAAGTTGCTGCCATGAAAACATAGTGCTAAGTATGATATGTGGGGACTCTGTCTTCATTTTGGTGGCTTTAATAGGCTGGAGATAGAGGTTGGGAGGCGACCTGGAGTGGGTGTGCCTTCCCACTCACGGCCCTCATTCTGAACTTGGCTGGAGCTTCCCTTTTGTTTCTCTGTGTCCGTGAGATTTGTTCAGCTCCCACACACCGACACTCCCGTTGGAACCATGAAGGAAAGCAAAAAGTCTCTCTCTCCGTCTGTCTCCACCCCTCCTGTCCTTCCTCACACTGATAATGAGCAGATTATTAGCTCAGTGGACAGGGAGATGTTATTATGCCAAAAAAGGTAAAATACTGTATATATAATGATTACCTACGTTACATAATGCACCTCCAAAGCGGACTGGACCATCGCTTTCATAGAGGCGTCAGATCCGCCCGCTTCGAGGTGAAGTTGGTGAGTGGATGCTTGTTTGCATTCATTAATTAGCACGTACCGGTATGTGTGAAGGAACAAGCTGTATCTCCTTATGTTTCACAGCTAGTGAACGGCATCGCTCAATGTTTTCACGCTTTTCTTACACAAACAAGCTGGATGTATTAAGCAGAGTCAGTGTAGGTTCAGTTCAAGCAGGTTGTTTTAAAAATATGTTTCCTACTTGCATAACATTTGTTTATGCCTCCCTCTGTGAAGTGCAACTGAGGTGGAAAAGTGTTGGTTTTAGGTACTTTTCTGCTACCTTACATCTTCGTCGAGATGATCATGATATTTGTACGTTTGTAAGCTGCATGCTCTACAACCTTTGACTGAAAAGGTAGCAGGAAGGATCCAAGTCACTGCTTACAACAAAGTCTTTGATTGATTTTATGTTACCGAGTCATCATTTCTGGAAAGAGACACACCTATTCAGTTTAAAAAAAATGTTTTTTGGGGCTTTTTGAGCACCAAATAGTCCCACAACACTCGAGAAAAGTCTGTCTCTACAACTGACACCTCCAAAACATGGCAACTCGCACCAAAACGATTTAGGCCCTTTGTAACCTTTGGCGTTGGACCTGACGACGGGCAGCAGATAAAAACCAGGAGATGTTCTCCATGTGTGTTTTTCATCCCAACCGTTGCTCTTGTATCTTTAGGCACCGATTCCCCACCGAGGCTCCTGTCTGATGGAGCAGGGGTTGCCGCTTTCTGTAAAGAGGCGCCATGTTTCCTTGCCATGTGACCCCCTGGCCCCCCGCTGAGCCGCCTGCGTCGCGCGGTCACGCGCCCCCAGCGCCGCCCTCACAGCCCATGCCCGATCTGCTGTGCAGCTGTCCCGCTCCGCCTTTGAACGCCCACTCGGAGACGCCCTCCCCCGACCCCATGGAGTCGCTCATCGTGGTCACGGAGTACGAGGCCGGGCCGGAGGAGGTGAGATGAAACGCTAGATGTATCCGATATGCAGCCTAATTGTCATTTTATTCATTGAGTTTCAGATCTTGGCCTTGTAGTATATCAGCTGGAGAGTAGGAACAAACTACTTCACATAATGCCGAAACATGGAGAGCTTTACATATGTGGTAAATCTATTTGATTTTGTACGTATCCCGTCTCAGGTAGAAGAAATGGACAGTTCTGAGACGCCCGAGCCGGCCTCCTCTGCGGTGGCATCTTCCCGGACTCCCTCCTGCGACCTGCTGTCCCACACATTTGGCCGGTCGGAGGCTCTGCGACCCGGGAGCCGCGAGCAGAGGGGAAGATTAAACATGTCGGACCGGAAACTATCTCTGCAGGAGCGCTCGCAAACCTCGACGTCCCCCTGCGGCTCCCCGGGAGTCAACGGGCGCCACATTTACCCGTCGCTACCCTACTCGCCCATCACATCGCCCCACTCCTCTCCGCGCTTGCCCCGCCGGCCCACCGTGGAGTCCCACAGCGTTTCCATCACAGACCTCCAGGTACGGTCGGGCCTCGAAGCTTAAGCCCCTCCAGGGCGGGGAATTAAAAAAAACCTGAAGGTGAAGTTGAAAATCTGTCAACGGAACAACAAAAATAACCAAATCTCACACAAAATAGTATTAAATTCTCAGCAGAACCAAGTCTGTCGAGAAATCCCAAGTTAACTCATTTCATAATAAATGATTACATAACTTCTAGTCCCTGCACCGTCTAATTGCATTTGTCTTAAAAGCAGCAGCACACTGGTAAAGACTGAGCTTTGTGGATGCAGAGGTAAGGTCTATGTCTAAGTAGATGTAGAGAGTAGTTAAGATCCCTGTTACACATAGATGCAGATACCTGGTAATGTAGGTAGAATCTCTCCTAGTGGTTAATATAGCAAAGGTTGTGCTAAACTGTACTGAATCCACGGTTTTGGGTATATTTTCCTCTCATAGTGGAACCGTGGCTCTTCTGCACTTGGTCTTTTAATATTCTAGTTCAGAGACCAGCGGGTGAATACATTTTATTTGGAAATGTATATTTAATGAATATCAGCACCAATGTGAAGAAACGCTGCACTTATAGGACAATTGTTGATTGATTTTTATTCAGATTGCATCTCTGGTTTCTAGTTAGCAAGCGTGATTACATAAAAAAAGACCTCTCTCTCCCTGTCTCTCTCCCTTCAAGGATTGCGTCCAACTCAACCAGTACAAGCTGAAGGATGAGATCGGAAAGGTACCGTCACAGACGGCTCACTGAGTGTTTCCTTTTCACTGACTCCTGCCTCTCCTTCCCCTTCTCCCTCTCCCTCTCCGACCGCTTGTCGAGTAGCGCGGCGAATCACCGAGGACGCGCAGGGAACCGTCTCTGCTCTCCTCTCCCCCCCGGCTGTCCTCATTTCCCGAACTCCGTGCAAACCACCGGGGCCATGGGAGAGGAGGGAGACAGGGCGAGAGGCTGGTATAAATAGCGCTCTCGGAGGGTCGTGCAGGGCTTAGTGGGTGCAAGTGTGTGTGTGTGTGTGTGTGTGTGTGTGTGTGTGTGTGTGTGCGTGCGTTTTTTGCGCGTCCTTGGCTGGTGGGCTCCGGGAGACTGAATGTGCACGACTGCAGGGAGTTTCAGCAGGAAGAGGGACGGGTCGTCATAGACAATGCGCGCCCTTCAGGCTCCGGTTATCAGATCATCCGCGCTGCCTCTCGCCAATCTGCTCCCACAGCAGGAACTGATCCTGCCCCCCAACTCCCTCCCGCCTCTCTCTGTTTTTGGCCACAAAATTGTAGCACACATGCTACTAATTGGGCCTCGTTTTTATCCTGAATTTCCTGTGTGAGGAGCTTGATAGCAGAGACCAGATCCAGCTACTCTAATGAGCCTGAAATGAAAAATGAAAGCGAGAGAGGAAGAGATGATTTGAATTTCTCTGTTCTCACTTTGAAGCAGCTGGTACTCTTTCAGTGTACATCCCACTCACTTCCCTTGTGTGTGTGTGTGTGTGTGTGTGTGTACACGTGTGTTTGTGTATTGTTGCTCGTGGGTTAGTGTGTGTTCTTGGTTTATTTGGATTGCTTTGCACACGGTGTGATAATTTGTTTTCACACGTAGAATGACAGCTGCTCATTCTCACTTTATTGGCTTTCTGTTTGGTTTGACTTATTCCAGGGCTCCTACGGTGTCGTCAAGCTGGCGTACAACGAGGATGACAATACGTACTACGTGAGTTCATGTTGCGCACACCATATACACATGCACCTCATAATAGTCGAACCGCTTTGTAAGATTTCGTGATGGGATTTCACGCGACTCTGAAATTACATTAAATATTCTCCAGTTAATTGACGCTTCGCTTTGGGGGGTTTTGCTGTTCAGGATTATCGCTGCAAAGCTGCACGATGTTGACAGGCAATGGCGTAGGGATTATCATTCCACATTCACTGATCATATCACTGGCATAATAATAAAGGGCATTAATGCTGTTTAAAGCACCGAACAGCGTAGCTGTCACACGTTGCTCTCTTTGATCAAGGAGGCCGTAATGGTTTCACTTCGGAAACTGCTGAAAACCCACAACTTGAGACAGACAAACATGAAACAAATGCTTGTATCATATGACCTCGTAGTCATAAATAAGGTGTTGGATAAGATGTTTCAATGCATTTTGTTTTTTTTAAAGGAAAAACAGCTTATCACAGTCCTGTCAGTGTGTCACAAATACACCTATTTGCCATGCATGCATTTACTGTCGTGGTTTTTAATTCCATAAGTAATGATGAAGAAATGTACATTACATCCATGTTTGGATCTCAGTCGGATTTCACCAGGACTCCTTTTCTAAGTCCAGCTTTCTGAATCCTTTGTGTTGATGCCGCCGGTCAGTGTGAGCAGCCACCAATACACAAAGAACGCTTACCAATGAGAGAGACATTTATAGCCGCTAGGACATCAATTTGTGGGCGTGAGAGTGGGTTCACTGTCAGGTGAGCCTCGCCTCACTCTGCTGTGTTGTCTTTCTCCTCCCTTTCGTCCACCGTTCCTTTAAATATTTTCTCTGGTTCTCTTGCCCGCTCCCCCCCCCCCTCTGTCTCAATCCATCTCCTGTTTTCCCCCTGTAGGCGATGAAGGTGTTGTCCAAGAAGCGGCTGATGAGGCAGGCAGGCTTCCCGCGTAAGTCTGGAGCCGGGGGCAGATGGTTCAATCGTCCTGTCCTCCTCTCATCCGTCCCGAATGCACACGCACACTGTGTCTCTCTCTCTCTCTCTCTCCTCGGGCAGGGAGACCCCCCCCTCGCGGAGCCAAGGCAGACCCTGAGGGTCCCCCTCAGCTCAAAGGGCCCCTGGAGCGGGTGTACCAGGAGATTGCCATCCTGAAAAAGCTGGACCACTCTAACGTGGTGAAACTAGTGGAGGTGCGGGCGGTTCAAACCGTTTCACTGTCTTCACTATGTTTACTTTCATTTCACAGAGTGAGAAAGAAAAAGGCCTGTGAAACCTGTCCGTGTGTATTTATTTTCACCGCATACCAAAGATGATCTATTTCACGTATGTGTGTGTGTGTGTGTGTGTGTGTGTGTGTGTGTGTGTTTACACTAATTTCCCTTTCTCTGTCATTTGGTGCCAGGTTTTGGACGACCCCAGTGAGGACCATCTGTACATGGGTATGTTGTGGCCAAGCAGTCAGCCTTCACAACGACACACACACACACACACACACACACACAGTCATGCAATTAGCGAGCATACAAGAGAGGTATTTGAAACCCACCTGAAAAGATGCTGTTATTTAGTTTGTTTGTGTCTCTAACGTCATCTGTGTTTCTCTCACAGTATTCGAGCTGGTCAAGAAAGGGTAAGCTGAGCTTCCCTCACGCCAACGATCGTGTCACTGGAGTGCGCTCGCTCTCATTGCTCCTCAGTGCTAATTGCGTGTGCCTTCATGTGTGCAGAGCTGTGATGGAGGTGCCGGCAGAAAAACCTTTCAGTGAGGACCAGTCACGCTTTTACTTCCAAGATCTGCTCCGGGGAATCGAGTACTGTGAGTTTGCCAAAATCTCCTTTTCCACTGAATCCGTGGCGGCAAAGTGGAGCAAGATCGCCAAAACCACTTCAGGGCCTTTTTCTGCAGCTAATCATTTCTCTCCCCTGTTGTCTGGCTTTTCACTACAATATATTAGTACTTCTCTTATAAAGTATTTGACAAAAATTGGAAAACAATTGCATTTATATATAAAACATAACCGAATAACCTCTAGTGTGGGGAAAAAAGATGATCTCCACGTTTGACATGAACTATTTCAATTTGTTTAACCTCCCCTGTCTTTTTGTGTGTTTTGTGAATGTTGACTTTCTATTCTTCACTAGTATCTCATTGACCTGAGAAGCAAATATTTTTTGTTATTTACAGGATTTTGTTTGTTAGGTTTGGCAAAATTTTATCTGGAAGCGGAATAAAATGATTTGGATGAAAAATCACCTTTTCAAGTTTAGACTTTTCACTCTGACAGAATCGTTTGTCAGCCATGATTGATTTCTGTTGAACATTTTGAAATACAATGATACCTTTTGATTTGACAGTTTCTGGTTAAATACCGTATATAAATGGTATATTTCTGGGATTTTTGAAAGATATTTTGGTTTGCGATTAAGAAGATTAAGAATATTAGGGTTGTGTTTCTATCTCTTTAAAATCATTTGCTGTGCATCTTGATACACTTTGATTGAAAGCTGATTCAATACTGATCCAGCTGCAGTTTGATCTTTAATATAATTACTACTACTACTACTAATTACAATGATTATTTTATTGTTTTATAGAAGCACATTTTTACAAACACAGATAACGATCTCCTCGAAATGAAAGTTTTGTTGTGGAATGAGTCTAATGCACAATAACGTCCCATAATTAGCTGTGCTTCATTATTCTCCTCCATGTCTCCCATAGAGATAAATGGATATCACGCACAGCCCTGTGAATGTCTTCATCAGAGTGATGATAGTGGTACGAAGATGAAGCTGGTTTGTGTCTAGATCTGCCATCATCACACAATTCTTCAATGGCATTTATAGTCCTTCATCTGCGCTGTAGCCCACCCACGAGGCTCGTTCCACCCACGAGGCTCGTTCCACCCACGAGGCTCGTTCCACATCAGCTTCACGGCTCTTAATGCATCTGGAATAGTGCAGGAGAAGAGGTTTTCTCTCTACAAAAGTGTTGTCTAGGAGACTGGTGCTGAGGGAAGGAGCGGAAGTTGCTCGGCACCAAGGACACGGAAACCGTCGGGACCTCTGGTTTATGTCGCTATAAGTAATCTGAAGTGCTCACATCTTGGTTTCTGAGGTTACTGAACGACGGCCGTGATGAGCTCAAACGTTTGCCTACTTCTTTTCTACGTGCACCGCCACGGTGCTAGAGGTTCCCGCACGTTGCTCCACGCCAATTTTCTTTGAAAGCCCCGTCCCTCCGGTCTTTGTTGCACTGAAAGAGAATGTTAACCATCTCTTGCCATAAGCAGAATATCCTCCTCAGGTATATTGTCATGTTTTCCAATGATGTTTTTCCCTATTTCCGTAGTACACTACCAGAGGATCATCCACCGAGACGTCAAACCGTCCAACCTGTTAGTGGGAGAAGACGGACACATCAAGATAGCAGACTTCGGCGTCAGTAACCAGTTTGAGGGGACTGACGCGCTCCTCACCAGCACAGTGGGGACCCCTGCGTTCCTGGCCCCCGAAGCGCTCTCTGAGACCAGAAAGAACTTCTCTGGGAAGGTGAAAGCAGTGGGATCCAGTGGGGATCATCTGCAGGGATATATATTATATTAATATTTATTTTTCTAGATTTTTATTTAGTTTTTGTGAATTTCATACGCTGAAATCTCCTCACATGGGATGGTGTTGTTTTGTTTCCTCATGGAGGCGTTGGATGTTTGGGCCATGGGGGTGACGCTCTACTGCTTCGTCTTTGGAGTGGTGAGTGTCTCCTTTGGCAAATAAAATGTGACTTTAGTTTGCTGTTTTTGGATTTTTCCCCAAATGACAGTTTTTGCTTTTCTTTCTTTCATTCACAGTGTCCCTTCATGGACGAGCGCATCGTTACTCTTCACCAGAAAATCAAGACCCAACCTGTGGAGTTACCTGAGCGGTCAGTCCGGCTTCTCAAATCTGTGTCATAACGATATTTTTCATCTCACTTTGCCAAATGTTTTGTAAATACGACTTAATCAGTTGCTGGGATTATTTCCGTTTCAACAGTGCTGACATCTCCGACGATCTCAAAGATTTGTTGCTGAAGATGCTGGACAAGAATCCAGAGACCAGAATATCAATCCCACAGATTAAGGTGAGAAGTCTTTTCTTAAAGCTTCTGGTTTCCCTTACTTTGTGTTTTAGGCACATTTTAGATTGTCCAGAGTGCAGTAAACCACAGAACCTCAACAAGAGAAGAACCGTCCCGTGTGAACGGACCCCAGGGGGCTGCGTGTAGGAATTGGTGCCATCTAGTGAGAAGGTTGCAGGTTGCAGAGAGCTACAGAGGTCCTGTGTCGAGACAGTGCTCCGATTGAACGTGAATGAATGTTCATCCTTGGAACCGAAAGGAAATAAATAGGTCCTCACATTTTGCGTTTCAGCTGCACCCGTGGGTGACGAGGAACGGTGCCGAGCCGCTTCCTCCTGAGGACGACAACTGTTGTTTGCTGATCGAGGTGACCGAAGAGGAGGTGGAGAACTCTGTGAAACACATCCCCAGTCTGGCTACCGTGGTGAGTTAACGAACTGGTATCAGCCTCAATCTCAATCAAGGTGCAGCACCGTCATTTCCAGGTCTGATTTGTTCAAGGTAAATATCACCAACGGGTTCAGTTTTATTTATCTACCCTGAAAGAGGCACAGGATCTGTCAGATTTCCCCCATTGAGCCATGAAAGAAGAATGAAAGCTATTGTGTTGAATTGCCAATTCTCTGCACATTTGTATGGTATAAAATACATTTCTCATATTACATTCTATTTTATACGTCAGTCACCTTGTACGTTGTACCACCTCCATACACTACTCCCACCTACTCGATCGCCCGCTCTGCACACTGTGCTAGAGCTGCTGCATGACTCATTTAGTCGTTCCATTTACAGCCGTTAGTTACATTAGAAACGCTAAATGCTGCGAAAGATGAATCTGAAACCTCTCAGTACTGTTTAAAATTTTTTTTATAACCAACAATGAAGTGAAGATGAAAGGACGGACCATCTCAATAAAGTTTAAATGTAGAAATTCACCACATCTGTTGTCTGAGATGCATGTCCTATGAATTCTAGATGGTTTGAGCAGCTCGTTATATTACTCAGTAACTCATTAAAGCTTCTAAAAACCCTTTTTGGGGCTTTATAAAGTTCATGAAAACTGAAAATGGTTTATATTACAATAACTTTATTTTGCATAGAATATCTGAGCCCAGTTCTTGGATCTGTCTCTCATTGTTTGCCATTCTTCTGCAGATCATGGTGAGAACCATGCTGAGGAAGCGCTCCTTCGGGAACCCCTTTGATTTGGGCCGTAAAGACGACCGCAACAGCTTGTGTGCAGCAGGGCAAACGCTCAGGTAGGCCTTGCTTGTACACACACTGCAGACCACCGGCTCTGTCTCTGGTAAAAGGTTAGCAGTGATTGTACATGTAGCAGTGTGCTCTCACCACCACATTCTCTCTTAGAGCTGCTGGGTTCTCATATATTTTGTAACAACAGTTGATGTTTTTCAAGTATGCGGCTATTATTTCTCTTCTCCGTCTCCTGCCCTGCAGGAAAGGCAGAGCAGGCAATGTGAGGTACTGCTACATTCATTGTAACCAAAGAAGGTAAATCCCGTTAGGACGTGTCATGCCTGCTGCAGTATTGTTCAGTGCTCCGCTAGATAGTCAAAGTCCAGACCCACTGGCATGATGTGAGCAGCTTTTTTTATTTTGCTTTAATGCTCCAATACTCTTGAGTGTTCAGAGTGGCCATCTTGGGAAAGGTCTGAGGGTGCTGCTGGTGAAGCACGGGGTTTGAAGTGCAGCGATTCCCATCTGACTATATAACAGATTATAGCCATTTAAATTGTTTCGCTAGAGTTGCAGCGATTCCATTTTTTTCTCTGTCTTATTATTATCTCCAAAAAAGCCCCACGTTAAAGGGCCTTATATCACTCAATCAAGTCTATGTGCCTCAGGTTACAAAAACGTCGTCTTCAGTCTCGCTGAAGAACTTTGCTGCATCTCTAGTTGAAGCAAAATGTAAACTGTAAGTGACTGTGTGAGCGAGGCCATGGCGAGTGACCAGAGCAAATTCTCTTCTGAGCACCTGATCTGTGGAAGAATTGACAATAATATGGAGGTGTCCGAAATATTTTGAGCACCTGCGCCATCTATTGCAATTCAGTTTTATTTAACACCGTGTCAGAGAGGCGTTGATACAACTCAGCAACAACACTTGTGGCTCATTGGTGTTTAATTATAAAGTGTAAGTGCAACACTTCGAAGTTTGTCTGACACAGTCAAAATAAAGGTATCATTTTAGCCGTCACTCATTCTTCATGAGCCCACAGCTTCTTTTTTATTGTGATAATCTCTTCGCATGAAGCCTCCAGAGAACCTGCAAATGAATAGTTGTTTGTGTTTCTCTCAAAACTTAAAAGATCGTTCCCTGTCTCTCCCTACTTTTCCCTTTTCATTTGCTCTGCTGAGTTTACCCTCGCGTGCCGCGTGTAAAGCGGCCCGACGGCGATTCCTCCGTGCCGGCTGCCTCGCGCTTTGTACCGGTTTGATGGTTTGTTTCAGCTAAACGCAGCCGAGCCGCACTTCCCTCCTTTCTTGGAGTGACGGCGGGCGCGCAGCAGCGCCGTCGCTAACGCCGCGTGTCTGGTTTGTCGCCTAGGAAACAAGAGAGCGGCGAGGGCATGAGGAGCCTGGACCTGCCCTACGTGGGGGAAGACGAGGCGCTCTCCTGATGCAGATGGTGTCCGCCTGCCTGCATCCGCACAGCATTTCACACCGGGGAGGTGGACCAGAGTGACGCAGCATTTGAAAAAAAGAAAAAAAAAGAAGAGACAAATCAAGATCCGAAAGGGACAATTTGATTTATATTTCTCTTTTAAGGCGCCCTTTTTGGGGTGCGGAGGGACCTTGTTGCCCAAACCCAATCTCCCAATCTGTCCCTGCATGCATCTATGGTCATCGCATGCTTCGTCTCAGGCGTCGATCGTACGGTTTTGTGCGTTAGCGTAGTCAACCTTCTCGTGTTCCTCCTTGTCTTTACTGGACAGTTCTTTCAGGTACACGGGGAACGGGAGCAGGCGTTTTTTTTTACCGTGATTGTCTGGTTCACTCCGCATCAGAAGCAGCGGCCGGTTTTGTAACATATTTCAGAGAGAAGAATCCGTACGTTTTTCCCCAAAATGAAAAAAAAAAAGGAGGAGTAAAAAATGTTTACTTCGTCGAATGCATGTGTTTACGTTTCCAAAGCAAAGACTATAAGCTACTTACATACATGTGCATCCTCGTACATGTCCACATTTTCCCAGTAACACTGGCTCTGTGTGAAGGGTCCCGCCTGCTGCAAGCAATAGACGACATTAACAACGGGTGACGCTTCGTAAACCGTCAGAGAGAAATGAGAGTTTCTTATTTAGCAAAGCTAAATTATTTTAGTCAAACGCTTTTCGGTGAACATTAACAGGATTTTTTTAGATGTTTGCTTTTTACTTTTTTTTTAATTCATAGAGCTATAACAGCTAACGTAGTAATGAAGGTATTGATTTGCCAAATGCATATGAGAAAAACAGAATGCGTCGGTGCAAAGTCATTCTGTTTGCACCGGTTCCTTTCTCAACCAAGTTTGTGCTACTGAAGAGTTTCAACTGTGTCATTTATGTGTTTCTCACTTCTTTGTTTCACCTCTCAAAGTGGATGTTTGTCTGTAAACCAAAAAAATAAGGATTATTGTTCTGTTTTGTATTGTAATCGTTTCTGATGTTATTTTAAAAGCAAACATTTTCAGAGCACCCAAAACATAAAGTATGTAATATATTGTAAAGTACATTAACTTAAAGAAAACAAACTTGTCAACTATATATTCTTCATTGAGCTACTAGTTGTCGACCGACGTCACTTTTGAGATGGAAGCTCAGCGCCGCTGCAGACGTTTTGTACGAATCTATGCATCTCTAGTGGTGTTGAACTTATAGTGTCATCTTTTCATCACTCTGCAAATATTTCAAATGTTTTCTCATGTATTAACGTGTTTCCCTTTAGATGAGCCCAAAGCAGAACATTCGCATCATCAGATTTCTTTCTTTGGTTGATCTTATGTTTACACAATAGGTAAAAGGCATCTGATGTGTCTCCAAAATAGACTATTGACATAATATGAATCATGAAATGCTTCCACATGCTAATTACATCAGTGCTAATATGCTTCATGTGTGAGAAAAGACCTTTTTTAATCTTCTACTTGCATGTCGCGCTGATGTGTACTATGCACATGATGTGTGTCTGTGTGGTGCACGGCTACGTACACGTACAGTACGGAAGAGGAGGGCACCTGTGGTTAAGTGATTCTAATTATAATTTATTTAGTTAAATAGGGAGAGAAGAACTACAGCTTTAAAATTCCATGAAATAGTTCTTACTTCAAAATAATATAAGGCGCTGATGATAGGCAACGATATTTTAATGCCCCAGATTTAGTCAGAGAATTCATTGGTAAGAAAAATCTCAATTTGTGTCGTACAGTGAAATGTTACCTAATTATCTTTCCACGCATTGATGAGAGACTTTACATTCTGAAATACTGTAAGTCTCTCTTGTCATGAAAACAACTTCTGTTCTTACCCCTTGGTGTGAATAATTTACCCTCTGGGACCAACAAGAAGGAACTGAAGGGCAGTTTGCGTCTGACTGCAGCGTGACAAAAAAGCTGTAGGATAATTATTTTATTCAAATAATATTTAAGCTTGTTAACCTTTATTGCTCACATGGTTTTGCAGTCAGCGGTGTAAACTTATTTAATCGAGGCGGCCTCTTAGGCCCCTAGTTGCATGCAAACATTCTGAACGCTACCCCTCTGTTGTCACAGCATGAGAGGTCCTCGGCAATAAAACGGGACCTTCGAATTAAATATTCTATACCATCTTTGAATAAAATATTATTGCCTTTGTGTGATGTTTTTGGTGTAGCTATTGTTGAGCTTTGAGATGACAGTTACAGAAACTCACCACTAGAGGGCGCCACCCTCCACAACATATTCCTGAGAGTCCAAATAACATATTTGGTACATTCTTAGTTGTATGTGTTGACAGAAAAGTCTTCCATATTCTTCTTACTGCTTCCTTCAGACTGGATTAATTTGGGCCTTTTTTTATATTTATTATTTACACATTTATGTGTGTATATATATATAAAAACAAGTATGTGTTTATGACTAATTATTTAGACATGGAATTTTATGGCTCAGTATATTTTTCTGATGTTACTAACTTTTTAATTTAAGTTTTGATCAAATAGTTTGAATTGACGTTATGCAAACTGATTAGAAAAGGCAAGAAGAGTTTCACCATATTTTCAGGTCAGTAAAATATGGATTTTATATCTCTCTCTCCAAATAAAATATAAAAGAAATACTGATGAAATTATGTTACTCAGGAATGCATTCGTATTCTCTTTCATAGTGCAACCGTGTGATATTACATCTCAGCATTACTTATGTCCATTAAGGAAATGTTTCAATATGAAAACAATGATTTAGTAGTATTAGTTGACAAATGATGACAAGGATCCATAAACGTTAAAGATTTAACCTTCACCATGTGATGCCTCAGCCTCCATTTTTCATTATTTCTCTTAATTTAAGGATACTTTGTGCTGATGTTTGTTATTTGCATTAGTCACATTTGTCATGTTGATATGTCAATAGTGTGTTGTGTGCTGCTTGATTTTCACACCTCTGGGGCCATTTGTTGGTGTGAAAAATATGTCAACGTGCCAGAATTTGACCTTGAGTCCACACTTCACAGGGCTTCACACATCTTGGGGAAATGAGGTGGGATATTGATCGCTTGTGCTGACCTCATAGCACAGCTGCAATGACTTAATGGCTTTCAAGTACTCAATTATGATCTTATAAATCTTTATGAGTTGAAGTTAAATGGCAATTTTAGCCTGCAGCTTTAGTGTTGATCGTTTTGGGTTAAAAGTGAATCAGTTCGGCTTTTGCGTTTTGTGCAATGATGAATCATTAATGTCAAATTAGCTATTTCTGTACATGACATCATTGAAGAACAAAGATACAAAGTGCAAGTAAAAATAAGTCTTTGTTAGTTGTTTGTCTGGTAAGAAACAGCTGGATAAAGTCAGTTCACAGGGCATTTTGAGTTGTTTCACTGTGGTGTTACACAGGCTCAAGTTACATAAGGGAGCCTACGAACCCACACAAGCAAATGAGAAGTGCTGATCGTGACAGAATTGGAGCCTTCACTCTTAATGTTCGGTCTACTGTTTACAGACTGTCAGAGGGAAAGTGCACTAAAAGGAAACAACACAAAGCTTGCTCAGCACTCTGAGAGCTCTCAGGTCTACTTCTGCAGGTGAGACGTTTTGGTTCAGTGGTTACCGTGTTTTCCATTATATTGCCTTTTCCCTGCTCCACTGTGTCTGCTGTCTGTCCAATTGAATGTGATTGCAATCTCTGGCTTCCAGAAAGAAAGATCACGACATCAAAAAGTAGAATGAAGATCAAAAGAACCTTTAAATAAGTAGCAAAGTGAAACAAAATCAAATGCTACACTTGGAAACACTATATCCATCCGTCATCAAACCGCTTATCTTGCACACAGGGTCGCGGGGGGGCTGGAGTCCATCCCAGCCAACTTCAGGCGAGAGACAGAGTACACCCTAGATTGGTCGCCAGCCAATCGCAGGGCGACACAGAACAGAGACATACACTCACACTCACACATCTACGGGCAATTTAAAGTCCCCAATTAACCTGATCCCCAGAGCATCTCTTTGGACTGTGGGAGGAAGCCGGAGAACCCGGAGAGAACCCACGCAGACACGGGGAGAACATGCAGACTCCACACAGAAAGGCCACTGGGCGGAATCAAACCCAGGACCTTCTTGCTGTGAGGCGACAGTGCTGACCACCACACCACCACGCCGGAAATACTATATAACGCCTTAAAAATGAAAGAATACCTCGACATCAGTCATGAAGAGGAAATAATCTTGGTCTTGAAGTAACCTCTGAATAGGAAGGACGAATGTGAATGACATTTTAAACACTAATCTAAATCTAATCCACTGGAATGTGAGGATGTGAAATAGTGTGCAAAATAATGTGGAACTGTAGCGGTGCAAATAAATCAAAGTACATCTAGTCAAGTAATTGTGCACATATTGTCTTAGGACTTAAGAAAAATGGTTACTACTCTACAGGGAATTTCATTAAACTATTAAACTAGTATATCACAGCCATATTAAAGTGATAAACTGTGCTTTAGCCTAGACAAATGAATAAACATTAATCCGATAATAGAAAACAGCGTTAGATTGTTATAAAGATCGGGCCCCTCCGCCTCGTGGCCATGTGGGTTTTTGTACTCTTTTAGTACTTCAAGTGGAATTTTGATGACATCTTTTTACTCGCACAGCCTGATCTAAAAGACCACGCTCCCCACTACGGGCGATCTTATAGCCCAAATCGAACGCACCCATCGCAATCAGCCGGCATGTTTAAACTTCCGCGTGTCTCCCTTTTTGCTGTAACACAGCCGATCATTATCGATAACAGGTTTGCACGCGGGCGGTCGCTTTATGGCCAATCCGAACGTATTTGTGGATTATTGAGGACCAGGTGGAGTTTGCGTTGCTTCTGTGGAAAACGTGACACCTGCAGGACGAGGTTCCACGAACCAGGTGACCCGAACAAGGTCAGCAAACAACGCGCTGCTTTCACTCCTCACAGTTTGTGCGTTTTCATCATCAATCATTTTTGCTTTGCTGTCATACTTTGCAGTCTGCTTTTTTTTCTTATGTTATATTATTATTTATTCTTCTTTTATTTAATCCTTGTTTATGTGATTTTTGTCATTAATGGTATCAGTATCTGTCTATCTGATGCATTTTCCTTGGAGTGGATCAGCATGTAACTCTTTCTTACGGCTGATTCGGATCGTAAAGAACTGTTGACGTTCAGGTTGGAGTTTCATTGTTATTTGAGTGTTTTGTGCTGAATTGGCTTCACTGTTCTTGCGTTTTGACTTCGAGGCCTCCCTCACACGTGCCTGATGATGAAACTCATCATGGCCGTTGTCGGACATCCATCTCGAGATTTCTTCCTCCTATTCAGCTGAGAGAACAATGTCCTTTTTTGTACGATGTCTCTGCTGCTCCTCATAATCCGCCCGTCTCCCACTCACCTGTTGCTATCACGCAAAGCCATTTCCTTCTCTGAACTTCTACATTTTGTGCGTGTCATCCAAGGTAATCCTGACGTGCACCTGCAGCGGTATAACCGCTTTGGTGTTGAAAGGCCCCACGTAATTTGACTTAACTTTAATAAAACCACGTCTGATCGAGTAAAGGATCAGAATGTTTCCTCTGCTCCTGGAGAACGCGGATACAAATACCAACGCAACCACGGCCTCTTCATGCACGCCGCTGTCTGAAGCCACAGGAGGTGCAATGCAGAGATGATGCTTTTCTGTCCTTGAGAGACTGAGTATTCCTCCGATCGTTGGACGCTCACACCATGAGCTGTCATTATATGCGGTTCAACACTTGTCTCTTGTCTCTCTACATTTTACGCACCTTTTTTTTCTGTTTGCAAAACGTCTTGTGTGTTTGTGTCTGACGCGTGAAGAGAGCGCTGTGAAAGGTGATATTGCTGTTTGTAGGGAAATAAAATAAAGCATAAAGCTCCTAGACGTTGAAGGCAGACTGTGGCCTGTTCTGAATGGACTGTGGTTGATATTCCGGTGATATTTGCAAGCTGTGTTTTGCATATCAAGCTCCATGCTAATTCCTCTTTGAGTGGAGAAGAGGAAGAGAAGGAGGTGGGAAAGCGCCGTGCACGAGGCAGGGTGCATGGAAGGCAGGTGCGTGGAGATTAGGGATTGAGACGTTTCTGGGACGAGGCGATAAGGCACCTCGCTACTTTCTGTGTATCAGGACGCCCTTATCTGCATTTTTTCAATACTGCGTTGCAGCAAAGACAAACTAATTGAAAATCCGTGTTGTTTATGTCTACTTATCCCCCTCCTGTCTCCTTGTGCCTCCAAAATATTTTCGTCGACGAGTCTGAACCGAGGAAGAAATCTCCATGTTAAACCCCCTTTACGATGATTGAGAGTTGTTTCTCTTCGTTATGAACTCGCTGCCTTCCTCCATTCTGCTACGGCTGGTGTATCCGTATAGACGCCACTTGGTTAGAGGTTGGGCTGTTGATTTGTCTCAAAGCTTCTCATTTGACCTGTGCACTGACCACAGTTCACTTCAAGTGGACAATCCTACCACGCATAAAACCAGTGAGAGCCACTGGCTTCTAATGGGAGGTTCCCAGGGATCGGACCGGTGCTCTTTGTAGAAGATGAAACAGGAGTGAGAAGTTTTCTAAAACATGAAATGGGGTTGTAATGTGTTTTGGTCTGTTTCGGTGAACTTCAGGTCATTTGAAATGAGCGGAACATTTTGACAAACTGCAGTTTTTCTGTGCAAAGTCTGTTTTCGTCAACAACAAAAAAGATTTGACCTTAGAGACATATTTCCTTTTTTATTTCCCAAATGAGTGCAATTAAATGAAAGGCAAATAATACTACACAGACCAAGAGACAAGTAGACACATTTGCATCTTTAATTAGATTTCCAGTAATTCTTTTTTTTTTTTTTCTTTTGCTGAAGAAGAAAACAAGGAAGCTCTCTCAAGCTCCTGAGTCAGAGTGCTCTTCACATCACAGTCATTTCAGCCCAGTAAATTCAAACAGAGGATTAGTTGCCAGTAATTCCTTTATAGACTGGATATGACATTTGGTGTGACGTTTTCTATGGCATGAGAACAACACTTTCTGAATCGACTAAACCCATCACCTAAACTTCACCAGTGTTTCTGATCTGAAAATATACCAAGGTGTAAAGTTCAGAAAAAAAAAAAAATTCCATTAAGCAGCTGTTGAGGGCAACATCTTTTAGGATTCGGCAGCTTAATGCTTCTGCTGGAATTAAAATGGCTCAAAGATATGACTCGGTTCTCCCGAGTTCTGGGTTTTAGATCTGGAGTGAAAACATGTGCTGCGTGACTCAGGCTGAGAGAGCACTTCTCTGCGCCAGACAAACCGAAGGCCAACGCTGCAATGTCAGAAAGAGGTCAAACGCAAATGGAAACCCGAGGTCCGCCAGCAGAGAGATGAAGAGCACTCCAGTGAGACTGGTTGACTTTAACACAAAAAGCCTCCACGTAATGCTCCAAATATTAACACGCTTGCACAAATAATGACAAATGGGAACGCGTTTCCCGTACACAGGAGAAGGGTGTCTTTTCCCGTGTACGTGTGTTACATCTTTTTCTACGTGCGCTCTTTAAGCGGCCTGCAGACACGAGGCGAGCGCGACTGGGCGACTGGTCTGAAACTCGAGCGGCAGCGTGTTCCGCAGACGTCGAGGGGCCGCGCGCAGGAAAGCGCTGCAGCGATTGGACGAGCTCTGAGGCGCGGCATCTCGCGTTGGTGCCACATTCGAAGAAATGACAGCTAAGATGCCCCAAAAAAAAAAAAAAAAAAAAAGTGGGATTGCGGCACTAAAATCTGGCAACGGCCCGTTTCTCACGTCGACACATTTAAAGCAGTCGTGGCTCATTTTCTACTCGTTTGCCCCCCAAACATCTAATGCTAAGACCTTTTGGTGCTTTGAGTGTCTCTGCGTTGGTCCACTGTCGATGCATTCTGCTGCAGCACACTGCGTTATGTTTGGGGTGGCCAGCAGTTGCTGTGACTCACAGGGTCGCTTTTTTTTTTTTTGCTGCTGTTATATACTGCCATTGACTATCCGCTGACTCACATAAACCGGCCTCTACTTTCTATCGTCGTGCTGCAACACCCTCAATAAACCTGAGCCCCTCACTGTGTGCGCGGTAAATGGGCCGGGCCCAAGCTCCTCTCCACCTGCGACCCTCCTTATTCTACGTGGGACGGCTCAGGTCACTTTTTTTTCTTCTTTTAACTAGCCCACACCTGGCCGGGGCAGCGGACGGCTGTTAACAGCTTAAAACCCCGGGCGGATCTACTCAATTCGGAGTGCTCCGGTCCTTTTTTAGACTGGATGGCCGCCCAGTGAAGTGAGCGGTGGCGGAAGCTCTTTGGCTGCCATTCATAGACGCCACGAGTGTTTGGCAGATAGCGAGAGCAGCTGGAGACGGTGACAGCGGCCGACTAAGTGGCCTGAACCTTCTGCAAAAGAGCAGGAAGGATGGTGGTGTGGGGTGGGAGTCCTACACTGCAGTGGCAGGAGCGCTCGGATGGCTGTTGCATCCCTCTTGACATCATTAAGCACGCGAGACAGCCTTGGCGTGTATGTGACAGAGAGAAAATGGGGGGAGAAGGTGATAACCATTATTTTTGCTTGAACATTGGTGCAGAATGAGGAAATACACACAACACTTTTTTATGATTTCTTTTTTTTTTTCTTTTTCTGTGGACATGGAAAAGACATCCAAACACGCACACACTCACACACAAAATCAATTATTTTTCTTTTTTTTTCCCCTCTTTTTTTTTTTTTATCAAAACATGAAGCTGGATTTCTCAAACTGAAGGTACATGAAGAGATAATACATTCATTCCAAGCAATGGCAATGAAGATTACAATATCTTGATAGAATAGACAAAGATTAATTGATTCATGGCTAAAACCTGAGTTATTCCAAGTATTTTTATATGAAACTGCACAAGAATGCACATCAAAAATAAATTATGCATTATTATTATTCTCGTGTATTATTTGCATGACTAAAGCTATGCTAATATATTGATGTGATATATACACACATTGACTTATGGATTATCTATGTAAGTGTATAGTTAGAGGTCCGGTCAAAGCGCAGAACCACCTGATGGCAGAATGCGTTTCAGATCCTTCTGAAGCGCATCGGCCTCAACGTGATTCTTTGCATCTGAGCTGTGGCTGAAATGACATTTGTTTTTTACACATTTTAATTTTGTGTATTCCTTTCGCTTTCTTTCCAAGAGGCAAAGGAAGTCTGTGACGAAGACAGGGACGGTCCAGTTGTCTCTGCTTTTTTTCCCCACATTTTTTCTTTTAATATGTGTTTTTTCTTCCCTTTTTTTGATCCTTTCTCTGAAAATGAGGAGTGGAGGCACAGCATGATTTAGGTTGACTTCAGCCACCTTGTCCTCCCTGTCGTCCTTCCTTCTCCCCTCCCAGTCCTCTCCAGGATGAACTCAGGCGGGGCTGTTTTTATTGAGTTGAAGGGTCGAGCGCTATAGTCGAGCAATGTTCAGTTATTGGATGGGTTTTATTTTCATTGTAGGACTCCTCTGCACCCATTATCTGTGTGTGGGGGTTTTTTTCGTCACAAAAATTCCTCGTATTCCAAGAGTTTGGAGTGCTGGCGTGTCTTCCAGAGCCGGTAGAGGCGGAAGTCGAAGTACATCTCAATCACCTCTTTGCCTTGATTGGTAAACGAGACAGGAAACATTTGAATTAAGTGTCAAGGAAGAAAAATGTGAATCCGGACCATGATTCTTTTTCTTATCAGACCCGTAAGATCCAATAAGCAGATGCTGTATTGGAACAGCTGTTACAAATATTTTCAAATACGCTGCGGCAACTTTCCAGGTACGGGAACCTTTACTCGGATGACATTGACGTTGCCTCAAAGTACGATATTTTATACGTAAATAAACATTAAATTGTTGATTTGTATGAAGTGTAACGTGGCTCGACTTCATTTGAGAGCTTCGGATCTCTAATGCACACAAAAATAACGGGGAAGATTTTTAATGAAAGTGAAGTGCTGAAGGAGAGCGTCTGGTTTTTCAGCTTCCAGAGGTTCCTGGAACTGACTGCAGGCTTTTGTAAAACGGACTACAGTGTGAAAGTTCTGTACGTCTCTTCTCCCACCTGCAGCTTAAGAGCGGCAGAGTGCAAAGCAAAACGATTACTGGGTGTTGTTCACGAAATGGTGTGAAGCCCATATGACTTCCATCACTGAAGTCAAATGAACTAGCTCTTCAAAACATGTGACATACGGCTGAAATCCTTCTACTTCTGAATTTAGGGAACTGCTGTTTTGAGTGAATTCCAGAGCTTGATACAAACTGAGACAGTTTCTCTGGGTCGCCTCACGTGTAAACGCGCGTGCGAATCCCGCCGTGCGTGTGCTCTGCGTGTGCTTTGCGTGTTTGGGTGCGTTTGCTCGGCCTCACCCTGTGCAGACAGCTCCAGCGGCGACTCAAACTCGACAGAATAAGGCCTCATCAGATTCTTCAGTTTCTGGAACAGCTGTCGGGCCCGAGATAAGAAAAGAAACCGCAATTAATCCTACTGCACTTGGATACACGGGCAGCGGGGGAGACACAGAACAAACACACACACACACGTGAAGAAACACACAAGAAAGGCAATGAATCCAGCTCATTACTGCCAAAGAGATATATGGACGGTTGTCCTGAGCCGGTAACAAGGAGGACAGTAAATTAGGGGAGAGCATGAAGTGCAGTGTCTTTCCTGCTTGTCTTCGTATAACCGCCCTGGCTTTCCATGAAACAGCCCGGCTTGTTAAAGGTAGAGAGTAGGACTCACGGCCACTTTATTAGCAAAGAGTCCCGTGTCCAGAAAATTAAGAGCATCGATTCACATTTTTCTGTAATTGGGGAGGGAATTTTGAGCATTTGGACTCCTGCAAGCGGTTTGCTCACATGCCGTTTGCTCCGTGTGAAATGTATCACTGGTTAGTCGCCCCAAAATGGAAAGCATCTCTTCAGGTTCCAGCTTCTCATGGATGTTTCTCAGTTTTAAATCATGGTACATCTTTGGGATTATGGGTTGTTGGGTTGGACCAAAAATGCCGTTTTGAATTTTTTTGGTCTTATTTTCGGGCCGATTATCCATTATTTGTAAGAGACGGACGGAGCATGGACTGAAGGGTAGACGTTATGCAAAAACTGTCTTTGACCACAAAGCCGGTTGTAGCTGTACCATTCTGTCTAATCCGCGGCGTGTATAGGAACTACACTGCAGACTAGATTCTCCATACGCAGGGCAACAAACAATAGAGACGGGTCCAACGCGGTTCGAACGCACATCTGTAAGGGTGTGAAATGTCTGCATCGTCACAGCATTTTTATAAAATATAAGCTTCTACTAATCCGATAGTTGTGGGCGGGGCCTTGAGGGAGGCTAAAGAGTACATGCCGAGAGACAAATTCACGTCTGTTTAAATCGATTGTGTCGCGGCCAATAATCGGGCAAGCATCACTTTGAAATCTGGTAACATTTTTAGTTTTAGACCGAAGCCACGTTTAATCAGTCGAAAGAAAAAAACAATGTAGTTATCAATGGTGAAATAATAATTCATTGCATTCCAAAAGACTTTAATCAGGGCTGTGAAGCAGTTTGAGGTTTTTCCCGTCGTCGTCTCTGCAGTTTCTCACTGACGTGGTGCTCTGCATGTTAAAAGCTCCCTGATTCCTCTGGAATTCAGTCATGAGGGATCCCGATGCCTCCTGTCAGAGAAATCAAAGGCCAACTGCGCTTTTGTCTTTCACTTTATAATGTTTAAATGGAGGTGGTGGAGAAATGAAGCTTTCATTCCCGGTGTTTGCAGTCCTTTGAAGAAGATGAAAGAAGATGGCTACATGACAGATGTGGAGGAGAGAATGGTTGGGGAGACGCTGCGTGTCTGTAGTGCAAAGACAGCTGGAGGCAAATGGCGGATCTCAAATAATGTGCTGCAAGTGGGGTAGTTTCCTTTTCTGTTTTCACCTTGCAGTGTCATAACTGTGTTCTTCCAGTAATCAAAGGGCAGCAGGAGCCCAGATTATTATCATTGAAACTGTTAGGGGTTTAAGACAGAAGTGCACCCCTAGTGGTGGAAATCAAAATACGTGTAATAATGTTTAGTGTTAGAATTGTAGTTTGTGTGATGTTAGATATTAGTTATTACATTAACATGTTAGATGAAGTGAATGCAATTTGAAATCAAACAGAATTTATAGTCATGATAATCATATAAACACTGTACACATTAACATTCTGTCACAATGTGATGTAAAAACCTGGGGACGGATGCTAATTGCCGTCCTTTATGGATTTCTCCCAATTTTATCCCCAAAGAGGGTTTTTTGCGAGTTTTTTCTCCTGTCAGGTAGTAAATGAACAACAATGTAAGGCAGCCGACTGAGGCAAATGTTTTGAGAATTGGACCACATGAACTGTTTTAGATCGTATGATGAAGTGTGATGAACGGTGATCATTAATGATGGGTTGTTGTAATTAAGGTGCACTAGTTATAAGATAAAGACTTAAACGCTGTATGCTTTTTTATATTCACTCATTGAGGCATAAAGCCAAATGTATCTACATTGAATGCATTGGAATGTGAGGGACAGATAGTACAGAGAGGTTCAGGTTACAGCTGCAGCTTCACACCTCGATGTAAAGGGGACAGTCCAGGAGGGGACACTTTGAAGGGGAATCCAATGACATTCAAATGCACCAAAGAAGACACACCTCAAGAGTTTTCAAAGGACCAAAGTGGGGAAAGGACTGTTAGAATTTTCCTGCAGCCGCTTTGATAAGTCGCTTTAGACTTGCTCAGAGAATTCTCTATTTCGCGAAATATTTTACTGTTCGTTTTGTATTTCACTTTGTAATTGTATTCCTTATAACGTTGTTTATTTAGAAAATACTTTTTGATTTTTGAATTTACGCAAGCTGACTCTTTTGTATCTTCGTTGCCGGCCGGGACGAGAACAAAGGAGTGAGGCCTCCCTCGAGGGCTTTCCGAACCCTAACAAAACCGTATTGGAGAGAGAACTGTGTTTAACAAATAGCTTTTATTGTGCATAACCACGATATAATTTAATGTTATAATGTTATTGATGTATGAATGTTGCATTGCATCGAAGAACATTCAGCACACCGCTCAAATGAAGGAAAAACCTATTCGCGTTCGCTGATATTTGAGGCCATAGTGTGCTTGCAGACTTTTCACTGTTTCAACATAAGAATGCCACTTTGTGAGGTCCAAAGTACTATCCTGCAGAGAGCTACGGCCGCTGCTCCATCAAACATTTCTAACATCAGCATCCGACCACACAAGTAAGTGTCCACATACTTTCGGACGTGTCTGTGATTGTCCGTCTGGGTGGAGATATCACTGACGTGCAGACTGCCAGACTGTCCGTCAACCCCAGGGAGATCCACTTTATGCAACAAAGCAATCTGGCAGACATGGCCGGAACAGAGGTCAGAAAAAACGCCGCTGTCTTTGTTGTGCGTGTATGAAAGTCAGATATGTGGATTAGGAGAGAAGAGACGGGGACAAACGTGGTGAATATCTCACACCGTGAGAATGAATCTGAAAGCAGATGGAGGCAAATGGGGCAACGAGGGGCAAAGGGCAGGGGTGAGCGTGTTCACCTAAACGAAAAATACTTCATATTTACCATCTCATGTTATGAAATCGGTTTGTGTGCCACTAAATCTTTGCACATGCGACTTAACACCGACCTGGAATTGGATTTCTACTCTTGCATGACGGTTTCCGATGCCCCCCCCCCCCCTTCCAGGCGTAGGAATTCATAGTGTTCAATTATATTTTACCGCTCTGTATTTATTGTACAACACCCTCCTGTATGCTGCAAAGCAATTGTGTTCACGGTCTTTTATCCAACTTGGGATACAGACTTTTTTGGGGGGGGGGGGGTGCGGTACACGTGCGAGTTGATGAGTTTGTGCGTGTCTTTCTGTGTCGGCGTCCGCGTACCTTCTCCCCGTTGGGGTTGCCCAGCACGTAGCATCCCATTATGTGGATGATGTTGGGCTCTGGGTTGACTTTACTCATGAAGCGACTGAGCCTCCTCCAGAACCTGAACAAAGACAAAGACGGTTCCACTGAATGTATCGGCCCGATATCACAAAACGCAGGATGTTATTTTTAGAGAGATTGGCCGGAGTTGTTTTTTCTAATGTGCTGTTGGAAAAGGCTGTAAGCCTTTTATGTTTTACATTTAAAACAAACATCGCCCATTCAAAGATGTTCCCCTTGGGAGAGATTCACTATGAAATGATCGCCCAAGTGCAACATCTTTGATTGCATCTCCTGGGAGCATTCCAGGAGACGTGTTCACATTCTGAAAATGCCACACAGACCAGTGGTCTCTACTGGTTGACCGACATGGACGATTTACATGACAAACTTTGGGAATTAACCTTTAATCGAGATAACCGACTGAGCCCTCTTCCTGTTGCTGGTATAATAAATCCCTCAAGGAAAGAGCCGCTGAGGTATCTTATAAAATACTTCTCTTACTCGGTCATAACATTTAAGCGTCATGTCAGTGAGTTGCGTGTGAGTTGTCATGTTATTGGACAGAACGGAGCCCGTGGAACAAATACTTACTGGCTCATGTCCTCCTCCTTTTCCACCTTCGCAAAAGTCGCCACTTTATTCTTCAGTAAATACAAGTGACCGGGGCCTCCCTAAGAAACCCGTGCAGGAGTGAAACCCATTACTACTATTACAACGACTTATTTGCAATTCAATTAATTTGAGATTAGATCCCAGAGGAAAGTACTTAAGACGTTCACACTCGTCAATATGCAGTGTATGAAACACATAACCGCCAACATCCCAAACAAAACGCACAATGTGAGCCAAAATAAACAAATCTGCTGGGTTCCTCACCTGACAAAAGATGAGCATCCTCCAGAACTTGCTTCCCCTCCTGTAAGCTGTGAGCTTCTTGTCTATTTCCTCTTTGAGGGACAGAAAAAAAAAGAGTTCTGATTGATGTGACTGATGTGAACTACAGGGACCGAGATGTGAGCGGTGAACTCCGAAATACTCTGGAGGTTGAGTGCGAGTACAAGTGTAACAATACGCAGTGGAAAACTCTAATGTGAGATTCAGTTTGAATTAAGTTCAACATTGTGTAGTTAAGGAAAGGTCACAGCAAAATGAACAGGCCAATGAAAGAAAGTAAAATGGAAACATAGAATCTGTTGAGTTATTCATCGACATCCTCTCACAAACTCAGTTTGTCATCTTTACAATCTCCCGAACTGGGAGTTTGTCTCTTTTCATCATTTTCAGAATTTAGAACCACATCCTAGAATACCACAATGTAATCTTTTGCTTTTGCAGCACTGTAACTGGTCGTATATGAAATGCACAATTTAAGCCCAATCTAAGTTGCATCTTTTGAAGAGATTCAATCTCGCAGGTACGGTTTAGCCTGTGCATCATCTTTAACCCTCAACTCCCACGCGTTGAGTCACAGTTCAGACTCCTACATGAGTCCTCAGGCAAACTGCTGCCCAGTCAGCGCTCACAACATCTATATGCATCATATGAATCTATATATACATGTGTATCTTTGGCCCTACTTTTATTTTTACCGTCCGTTAGTTGAACACGGTTTTATTTGCCTCTTTGCATTTGTCACTTTTATATTTCTAGTACATGTTCTTAGTCATAATTTCAGAATGTAATCTTTTCTAAAGTATTATTCAATATTGAATATCTACTCACTAGACCGGTGTAAAAGAAATATTTACTCACCCAAAATATCATCAAAGGTTGCGTGTTCGTGGTCCTGTGGAAAAAGATGAAGCAAAATCATCAGTCAGACTTCAGAGTGTAAAAACAACTCGTAGGCTTTGTATGTCGAAGGGTTGTCGCGCACACGTGTCAATCAATGTCAGGGTTCAACTCACGTAGAGGATGGGGATGATGGAGGGGTCGTCCCTGCGAATTATAGTGGGAACGTACTCCGCCTTTGGGACTTTGGAAGAGATCAGCTGAAGGTGAAGTAAGACACCGGAATGATGAATTTAATGGGATGTGAGGAAATGAAAGAGCGGGAGAAATTGGAGCCAAGTGGAGAGAAAAGGGAGAGAACTGCAGTTAGAGAGAAATTAGAGGAAAGAGTAAAATAGCGACGATCACCGTCTTGTGCCTGCAGGGAATGCACAGCTCTATATACCGCTCACAGCGACACGGTGTACATTAGCTGCATTTAAAATACCTCATCTGGATCTAAAGCTACCTTGCTAAGATTAAACCATTTCAACCTAAACTCAATCAATGTTTAATCCTCAAGTAACCATTTTCTAAAACCACCATCTTTATTGTGCCCGGTTTATCACCGATTTAGCTGCAACAAATCACATTTACATTCTTAAAGGGACAATCCACCAATTCCATTTCCAGAAAGCCTGCATCCAAAACAAATTCAAAGAAATGAGCCTTAAGAGGGATGGCGGGGGGTTCTAAGGTTAGTTCTATTGTTGGAAATGTAGGATACAGTCAGTCAGGACATTTTCATCTGCTTTGACCATCCTAAAAAAATATTTCCCTCGTCAACCTTCCTGCTTCAAGTGTAATGTTAAATATGACGGGCAATATTAATCTAATACCATGATTTTGGGAGGAACAAAGTCGTCTCCTTCACAGGCGAGCTTCTCCATCTCGCGCTCCTCCTCCCAGTCTACATTGTCATCGAGGCCTCCTTCGTCCAAGGTACCACAAGACGCTTGAAGGTCTCCACCTACAAGAGAAGATATTGCACCGGTGAGAAAAAATAATCCCTTGAAGGCAGATCGTGGGCGGCGAGAAATGTGACAAAGACCTGGGAGAGCAAATCTAGGAGTGAAGGAAGAAGGTGTCCGGGTAGTGGAGAGGGGTGAGTGCGGAAGAGGAGGAAGGATGGAGTTGTTAATAATGGTGGTGACATAAGAAAAGTGAGAGATGGAAAAGGGACAGCTGGCAGGAGGAGGAAAAAATGAGTGACAGGAAGCGTGGCAGCGCAATTTCTGGCAATTTCTCAGAAAGTAAAGTGTTGAAAACCATCAAATTGTGCTTTTTTGAAATATATAATAATGTATATTAGTACACATATCTTCTTATTTCAACATGTTTTAAATAGGATCAACTGATGAATAGTACTTTAATGATTGTCAAATGTAATATTATTGTGTCACTATCAAAACTAGCAGAGGAACTCTTTCACATATTAGCAGCTCATTGAATGAAACGCAATTTGGACCTCGGAATGTGTTACGAGCAGAGCTGTAGCATTCGAGTCTGCTCTTTTTGGACTGAATTGTCTGTCTCGTTCTTGACTATTGACCTCGACAAAATTGCAAAAATATCCCTTAACATACCGGAGATGATCATCATCATCAAAACTGTTCTCAGTATTATTCATCTGATGTTAGAAAATGCATCGATAGGGTTTATGGATGTATTGCATTTGAAAAAGACTAAAATGGTCTCAAACGGGAGGTGACGCAGTTATTACCGTCTGTCATTAGAGGATATTCATCTAATTCAATTCAATGGCCTTTAAATCCAGTATCAGTCAAGTTGACTATCATTTCTCTCATAAAGAAAAAACTATAGGTGCCGAGTGTGAAGTAGCAGTTTGAAAAGAGAATGAAAAAGGATCAGATGAAGAGACTGACGACTAATGTCGCGCCTCCGGAGAAAAATACCTTTCCCTCAGGAAAGCGGCATCAACCACACCATTAGCCTGTCATCAACAGTGCATGTACCTTTCATCACACTCTGAAACACAGAATCGCTGAAGATGCAGGTGGAGAAAAAACAAACATAAAACCACAGATACTCCGACATCCACATAGACGACAGCACGTGCCAACAGTTTGTGTTGAAATCTCTCAATCAGAAGCCTTTCAGAAACACAGAGACGCGCGTTCCTCGCGGCAACACGTGTACTAGTTGACACAGCCGGACTGAGACGCACACACTCCACTTTGGAAGACATACTCACAGAAAGTAGAAGAAAGACCCACGGTCATAGGGAGACAGATGGACAGGGTCAGAGTCAACGGCAGAGGCGGTCAGTTTGTGCGTGTGTTTTGGGTGCAAATGTCACTGAATCGCGTGAGATGACAAAATGTCCCCGTACTTTAACAGCGGTCTACAGTACACACAGAACAGTACACTGTCATTACAAGTCCTATTTGGCATGAGTCTATTTGTACACACTGGAAAGTGGCTTTAACTTTCAAGTACGTTCCAGGCGGCCGTTTATGAGAGATTAAAGGAGCAAAACACAACATTTAAAAAGATACCAACAATTTACAACTGTCTATGCGAAGATGAAGTCTTTCCGAGCAAAGAATGAAGTCGCCGTGTCGTCCTCCGAGCTTTCCTTGACTTAGTCGGGCTTCTATCGAACATTAATGCACGTGATGCACTTTGGCTCTGCACTGCGTCCACGTGCCGCTTAAAGCAGCCAACGCCTTCCTGAGCGACAGCGCTGCCGTTCTAATAGTCCCACCCGCCTTCCAGTAAACACTTGCTGTACTATAGTTTCCACCGTGGGCACCGATAATAAAGTGTTGCCATGGTGAGGGCCGTCGATTAGGTAATGCTGCATTTAGCATTGTTTAGGTCGGCAGTATTTGTCAGTATATCGTGAACTGAATAATGCATGTTTTTTTTTTTGGACTGGTTGACCTTCATTAAAGAAGCCGCACTGTGCGTCCACCTGTATCTCCATCATGTAGCTCAGCTCGTACATCAAAGTGATGATTACCACACCTTTTTCCTTTTTTTATAGCTGACAAACGCCGCTAAGTGGCTTTCAACTCCACACGAGCCACCTGTGTGTATGAAAATGAATTAATGACCAAAGCACCGCGTGAGCGCGAAGCCAATTCAAACTAATCAATGTGCCAGTCGAGATGTGAGGGCACACGGGTTGAGACGGGTTATTTATAACGACACGCCGAGTAGATTGTTCATACGTTTTACTGCAGCTCTTTTAGATTGGAGAACAAGAGGACACTTGACAGCTTTTAAAGGACATCGGGCGCTTATGGTGATATGACTGCTTTGAAGTAGTTTGGATTTACACGGTCTAACGTGTGCAGGGCTGTTTTTTAACCTTTGCTTCTCTGATTGATTGCATACAAACGCACAACTTCTAACAGGCACAATTCTAGATTTACACCACGGGATTGTTTACTTCAAAGTTAAAGCCTTAGTATTTCCATATATGTTTTTAGTCCTTCACTGTGCACGTTGTGCCTCAGTGTGTGTGTGTGTGTGTGTGTGTGTGTGTGCAGGCGGGTGCACGTGCGTGAGTCCGTGTCCACTCACTGTCTCTGGGTTCGTGAGGAGAGTCAGTCTTGACCGGTGTGGGGTCGCTCCAGGAACGGCTGAAACTCTTCGACCTACGCTCAGCGAAGGCTATTGCAGGCGGGGAGAGATAGTCACACACGTGCGCGCCGCACACGCACGCACGCACACACGCACGCACACACACACACACACACCTGCGAACCGGCTGCTTCCTCCACACACTCACCAACCAGAACACCAGAGCGAACAGGCAAAAGCGGCTCACAGATAGTGTGCAGGCGGCGCCATCGCTCTGCACAAACAAATGCCCGCATGTGCAAACCGTCAAACAAACAAACAAACACGTGTGCTGACAATCGCATATGTTGACATTATGAAGGATCCTGCTGCTTATCATCAGTGGATGTGGATTCGAAAGGACGCTGCTCGTCTCACAGATTTGCAAATCAGCTGTGTGCTTCTGAAGAGTGATCACTGTTTATTTGAAATATTTAAAGTGCTCGACATGGTTAATCAACAGCGTCCCTCGAGGCGCCGTTCTGTTTTCTGTGTCTCTGTTCATTTTGCTGCTGACACTGACTCCCTTTTTATTAGCCGACTCATTCGTTTGATTTTAACGTTTGGGATCAAACGGACGGGTTTGCTTTTAGAAATACCTTCTAACCAAACAAAACATTTTGTCCTATTTTGTGATCCCATGAAAGTTTAACTATGCTTTTTTTTTTTTTTTTTTTTTTTTTTTTTACTGAAGATTTAGATTTTTACAGTTCGAGCCAGTTATTTATTTCGTCAGATACGCTCATCCAAAGCCATCGATAAGATTTGGGGTTTTAGAAACGTGCTATGGTACAATATTTATTCATTTGGGTTTTCATTGGATTCAATCATGTCAACCAAATAGTACTATTTGTCAGGCTTTCACATTTGTTACCAAGATTTGTACATAATGTGTATCTCTGGTCTCACAACTTCTAATTGAACATACATAAACATTCTAACCCAATGTTTTGTTTAGACTATTGTTAAGCTTACTTTGTGCCTCATCATTTTCTCTCCTTTTAAGGTAAAAAATACTGTCGAACAGTGAAATCCGCTGGCCATCGGCATGTATCCGAACCACAACAATGAAGAATCTATTGATTATCGTCTTCTTCTCTTATAGAGTAGCAGTTACACTCACACACACACACATCACTCCATCTCAGCCATTCATCCCCTTGCTTTATGTAATTTAGTATTTTTCACTTCAAACTTTACAACCAACAAATCAAAAAGAAGAAAAAATCTGAACAATCAAAGCAATGCAACAGGAATAAATCACCTACACGATCACCCATTCATGCACAGCAACACAGACACACACTGATGAACCAAATAACACTCAAAGAAACACAATAGAGCATCACGAATCCCAACCCAACAGCAGCGTTTGCAACGCACGCATTCGAAAAACACACCAGAAAACACACAAAAAAAAAAACGCACAACAAGATGATGTTTGGGTGAATTAAATCACAGTCAATTTGAGCAAACATATAACCACACACACATCTCTGACTCACTCTGTGCTTTCATCCTCCTGCTGCCCACCATCCGAAGATGCTTCCGGAAGTTCCTGTGGGTAGAGACACCGAGGCAGAAGAGGGATGACAGAGGAAGAACCCAAATGTAAAGAGGAGAATGAGGAGAGAAGGCGGGCGGCAAATAACAAAGCAAGAAAAGACAAAGTTTAATGTCAAGCTTCTATTTCGGTGAAGAGAGGTTAAAAATAGTTAATAAGAAATAAGATAATTACAGGTTCGTTTACTAACTTCCTCAATGTAAGTGGAAAATACTTGTCGGCAGAGCGTTGTGTAATGCTCCACTTTGCCAAAGTACCTCTTCTCATCCTTTTTATAGTGTAGATTATTCATGTGACAGCAGCCAAAAGGGAAACCCTCCAAGTATGTTCCTGATTTTTATCTGCTCCGAGCAGAACTACTGTACATCTGAGGAAACCAGTGGTTATCAGAGGGAGGTTATCCAGCCGACATCCGTTAGTGTTGCTTTACTCAGATGTGCTTTGTTGATCTGCAGCGTCTGTGTGTGTTTAACACGGGTGGAAGTTCATGCCTGATTGAGTTTTTTTTATTCATATTTTAGAGCCTGGAACACACACATAAGCCCGTGGCTTTGCCCGGATGCCTTCGTTAAAATATATTGGCCGGCTAATTATTGGTCAGGCTAAATCTGCTGCTGATTACAGGATCAAACAACACGTTTTACATCGTTGGTTTAAATGTCCTGAATCACAAAGCAGGCTTTTTTTATCCTCATTATTCAAATATATTGTAAAGAGTCTGCACTGCTGCGTCTCATTGAGGCCAAAGATGTTTTACAAGATAACATGTTCATTCATCGGAAGTGTTGCAGCTGTACAGATGTGAGCTTGATACACGCTCAACAACAGAATGTCAAACTACTGGATAAAAAGCCGCGTTACAGCTGATTTACGTGGGTTAAAAACACGTGGACGTTTATGAAAGGTTCTTCGCCTCCTAAAAGTCTCCTAGCAACAGTAACACCGTGACGACGCCGTGCATTTGCAGTCTATAAGTCATTTTATACAGAGGCGTTCCACTACCATGTTCCCCTTAATGACAACAAAGAAACGGTGTTGGAATGGTCTCGTCTGTGGCTTTCTGCCTGATCCTGACATGATGTTCTATGCAAGAGACCCAGATAAACATCCTTTTATCTTTTGGACTCCCTCCCATGTTGCATTTACAAACAGTTTCCTTATACCGAGCCACGAGCCGCTCGTGATTAATGATCTCCGCATGTGGTTTGTGTGCATGTGTCTTTGTCCATGTATCAGTGGGCCCATGCTTTTTTTTTTTTTTTTGGGTGGTTGAGAAGCCCATAAATATTGAAGGAACATAAAAGGAAAAATAAATAGGTTGTGGATTCTTTGTCCTTGGTTTGCCCGCATAAAAATGTCAGCAAAACAACAGTTAACTAGCAACATCAAACGCTACATTTTACGAGCATCACACATTCCATCACGCAAATGCATGTTCTAATATAATTCTGGTCTAATTACAGATAAACAACATCATCGTTGCTTACTTTGAGGAGAGTATCCCAGCGTACCCTGAATGCCCCGTGCTTAAACCTCAGCTGCCCACAAAGGAAGCGTGTGGACACAGTTTATGAGATCTAGTCAGAGAGACGGGAGGTGTGAGGGAACCACGGCCGCCTCCTCTTCCAACTAAAGACGATCTGACAGATGCTCCCTCCTTTCATCTTATGCCCTTCTGATGCTCAATGACGCCAGAACTTTTTTCCATCTCCTTTCCCTTTAATGCTCTCATCTGTTTTCACGTGTTACTTTAACTTGACTCATTGCTGCCTACCCATGTTCCAAACTCTCAATGTCTTTATTCCAACAAGAACGTCGGTAGAGAAGCGACATAATCTATGTAAATGAAATACTGACACTATTAGTAATGTCAGATTCCATAAAATCCCCAAAAATATACTTTTCTGGTGAAAAGCACTTTGAGATTTCGAGGGCTGATTCAGAGCAATGCTGAAATGTCTCTTTTACTCTCTTTGTGCACAGCTGTATAATAATGGTCCTAAACGTTGGCTCAGTTGGGATGAGGATCTGGTACTTGGCAAACTACCACTCAAAAAGCTATTATTCCTGCACAGCCGTTTAGATTAGGACACATCTTTACTAATGCAGATACACTACACAATAAAGGCGACAATGGAAATAAATAAACCTGCATTTGATGTTAGGGTGGACTTGGCACAAGTCTGATGAGATATAATATATATTTATATTAAGTGATGGTTTTCAGCGGTAGGAAAATTGTTCGTAAAACTTCTGTTATTTCATCAACCGAAATTGTGTGAAAAATAACACTCAACCATAATGCTCTGACGCTGCAGATGGACTGAGATGTCAAAGGAACTGAGATGTACTGCATGCATGGTGTCACATGCACCATCTGCCCCTGTGTGGGACAGTTTCTGAACTCGTTACTGATTTCATAAGTTCAGCGACAATCTGACTCCGTTTTGTATTTTTTTTTTTCTTTTTTAGGGCAAAACTAATTTGCCGTTTATGTTAGTCCAGTCATGTTGGTGGCAGAATGCTGCAGTAACTTACCAACTTGTATTGGGGTTTTGAATACTGACGTTTGCTGAATTAATGTCACATTGTGCAACCCACAAAAAATGTTCCTACACAAGCATTTAATCAAGATGTTGCTGAGCGATATTCATCTGACCTTTTTATAAAACCACTAATACAGTAAGTACCCGTTTTGACCTTTTCAGTTTCGTCTGAAAAGAATAACACTGATTTAAAGTGAGTGGCGGTAAAAATCCGGCCTTGAAATTTGGGCAGTGTAGCAGTTCACGGGGAAAGCACATCCTGTTTTAAAACTGCTGACGCCCTCACCTTGAAATGCCACAATGGGACTCTTTGTCTTAGTCCGATTAGACGTGGGTGTAAATAAACGACTGAGTTATTGCACAGCCAGAAACGAGTGAAAAAAGCCAAGCAAACCCCGCAAGGTGCATCTCAAAATTCCGCTCCTTCATTCTGCTTTTTATCTACACAAATCCCCGGAAAGCCCTGCCGGGACGTGGCACAGTACTGAAGGGATGAGGGTCGGGCGGTAAAGGGGGGGGGGGGCTGATTCCAGGGTTTATTAGGCTGTTAGGGGGAGGCTGAGGCAGGTAGGCAGCAGCTAGACCGGTGAGTCCAAGCACATCGTCTTATCTTCTTTTCATCCCTGTAACTAATGTGCCAGTCTGCATGTGGTATAATCCATCATACAATAGAGGCACTAATCTTTCGACCTTGTGTGTCTTTCCATACTTGAGAGAGAGCGTTTGTTTGTTTTTCGGTGAAATGTATGATTCTTGAACAGAGTCGGTCATGAGTACCTTTCGTATATTATGATGTGCGGTCTAAAGGAGTGTTGAGACTTGAATGCACCTGCGAGCCATTGGGTTGGAGTATCTGCGGAAACCTCAAATATTGCACAGTCTCAAATGATTTATACATCCTATTTTGCCTCAGTTTTTCATTGTTAGGAATTATTTTTAAATTTAAAGCTGCAATTCGGAAGCGAAAGGTTGACGGCAAGCCGTTCGTTAAAGTCATTGTTCAACTTTTGAAACCATTTCAGGCTCGCAGAAAGCGACGCCACTTCGTACGTCAAAGTACAAACATAGCGTGAAGCGCCTCACTGTCGATGTCTAATTATTTCTTCACCAGAATTACTTATTGTTCATCCGGAAAGATGTGACTCAGTAATCTTGTGGTTAGGTAGAGCATGTCCAGCCATGCTAAACATAATTTACTGACTGGGTAAATTGTCTATAAATACTATGATACTACGCAATAAGGTACGAGAGGCTGTACTTTATCGGCCAATAATGTTCGGGGGTGTTGTTAGGCAACTCTCCAATATTGCTTTTATAATATGGTTACCAGTGAAATTATAAATAGTAAGTAAATGGCTGCTTTTCAGCACTGAATAGTATTATCCACCAAACGTACCGCATTTCAGTAGTCGAGAGGAAAATAGTGTTTGTGCATGTAGACCGCCTCGGGTCTCCTTGCAAGAACTCTCACCATCTCATTCATTTACATCGCTCATGACCTCCACCTTAATTGTCTGGTTGCAAAAGCTTGCGTTGCCCGAAACCGATCATTCGTGGTGATTCCGATCGCCACCGAACTAAAAACTGAAATGTCAACTAACGGTCGCGCAAAATCAAACCTGTTACTTTGAGTGCGCAGTGATACGGGAACACTGGGGTTAATGTGAACAGCAACTGTGCATTATCGTTGAATAAACGGACCCCCCGTGACTCGCTCTCCATCAGAACGCTGGATTTCATCTACCCGTATTATAATTGTTGTTAACAAATCTCTCCAGAGCCAATTGGCACAATCTGTTCCAAACACGCCGAAAGTCAGCCAGCACAGATTGAGTGATAATTGGGGACGGCAGTCGAGGCGGATTACAGCACTTTTAACAGGACTGCCACACAAATATTAAAGGGCCACAACCGAATTGCTGTGTGTGACGTGAGGTTGGGTTAGTGGGCCAGACTGACCGGACAGCCGGGGGGACGTGAGCTGACCGGGTTCGATCAGCCAATGCTAGAATGGACCTTTTCCTGTCTTGATTTTGGTAGAACGGTCTCCGCTGCAGTGGTTCACACTGGACTTCCTACCTGCTGTTGCATGAACGTCCTATAACTCAATTTCCCTCTTTTTACTTTAGATGTAAAATGATTAGATGACTAGGCTTCTAACTGACAATGATGATGTGATGTTTAATGATGGAAATATGTTTTTGGCCAGGCCAGAACAACACAAACTACACGCACTCACTAGTTCCTTCTAGTTCTTGTCAGTTTGTTTTCAGTTGAAACTCAATCGCCTAGAAAAGAAAAGTGGGGAAAAATAGGAAGCGGGTGTGGAAGTATACTCACGATATCCTGTTTGTGTGCCCCACGATTAATTAGCATGCAAGAAAGAAGGAGAGGGAGGGGAAAAAAAATAGTTTAGCCCCAGCGAGCAATGAGTTCACACAACAGAGAGTAAGAACTGGAAGAGGCATAAAGACGGACAAAAAGTGTGTTGATAGGAAGACACACACACACACACACACACACACACACACACACACTTACTTACTCAAAAGAAACACACACACCGTCTGTTTCAGCCTATGAACTTCAAACTGCATAAATGTTACATTACTGCCATTCAATATTAAAAAAGGCTGTTTTGTGGGATTGTGGCAATGTCCACTACTTTGCTCCAGACTAAAACATCTCAACTGTTGGACCTATAAACGCTAATTACTCCGGTGATCCTGTGACTTTTGCCCCCATCGGGTCAAAATGTGGTGCATCCAGTTCTTCCAATACTTTCATAAAAATAAAGCCTGCAAGACTAATGACGTTGCTTCAGTAAGTAGCAGTTATGAGCATGTGAACACACAAAGCTCAACATGCTAAACATGCTTGCTCACATTCCCATGTTTTGCACAGTCATTGTAGACCATGCAAGGGTGCTTATGTCAAATGGTCCTCAAGGTGAGCTTTAAAAAGGAACCCGGCGTAAAACTGCCCTACCATGCAGCAATCATTCAACTTTAACAACAAGTATTCAATATGATGGATTGTCCTCCTGGAGTGAACTTTGAGGGTCTGCAAGCTGTTTTTTACAGCTTACTGAAATGAAAATGAATACCAGCTTGGAAAGGTGGATATAAATCTTAAACCTATAGCATGCTTTGGAAAAAAATGGTTTGCGGTAATGTTAAGTATGTAGTTTGTATTTTATGGCCTCAGATGAGTCACCAGTACGGTCTGTTAACTAACACACACACACCAGCCTGAACATTCATTCACCATCAATGTGACTGTGTCTGCATAGTGTTTGTGTATATGTCAGATGTGCACGTGTGCTTGGGTTGAACACTCACGCCTGCATTGTCGTTGTGGCAGTTTGAAAGCTGAACATGTTTTCTTTGGGGAACCAGTTGGTGTCTTCTGCAATTAGAGAGAGAAACGATCATTCTGGGGTTAAGTGAACAAAAGAGAAAAATCATATTGGTCACATTGGTAAACGTATGGAAGCACAAAACCAGCGACGGCACTTCACAGTCCACCACTCCACAGATGGAGAGAGGGAGACACACAAAGGAGACGGCAGAGGAGAGAGACGGGGAGACAAAGAGTCAGATATACAGACCACCATGTCACATCCAACAACAAACCCTCGGAGAAGAAATAGATTTAACTTAACTTTAACTTAACGGACGTTTCACTGTAACAACTACCTGCAAAGTTGCTTATTCCTTTACAAAAATCCTCACAAAATGTTCAGTGTGCTTGTTTTCACTAAATTGGTCGTTAAATTTCCACAAACCCATTCTCCAGTAAACCCCACTTGAACCCAAGTATAGATCATTAAACTGCTCCACTCGCCTAATAGGGAATCGAGTGTAATTCAGGCTATTGTCAAATGCTATTTCCTCTCTTGTCCAAGCCCTCCCGCCCTGGGTTGGGATCCAGCGGCTCTCCCTCGCTCTGTGTCCTCCGCCCTCTCACCTCTCTCCAGCCCAGTCAACCGGTCCACACTCCACATCCGCTCTAGGCGCCGGTGCTGCTTGCCTGCCTCGCGGTTCGCGCTCTCCAGATCCAGGGAGCCTTGGCTTCGCGAGGGGGCGCCGCCGCTGCCGCCGCACGACTCGCAGGCCAGCCCGCCGCACTCCGCCTCCCCTTTCCCGCCCTCGCCCCAGCCACGGATGTTGTGCGCGCTGACGGAGGTCTGCAGCGGCGGCTGAGACAGGTGATGGTGGTGGCCGTGGTGGTGTGCCCCGTGATGGGAGTGGGATCCAGCCACGGATAGCGACTGCTGCTGCTGCTGGAGCTGCAGGTTGCCGCTGCTGCCGCTCCCGCTGGCTCCGCCGCTGGTGCCCAGGACGCCGTGGTGGTGGTGGTTCCCGTGGTCGTGGTGGTTCCTGTGATGGTGGCTGGCGCCGCGGCCGCTGCCGGAGTGGTGGTACTGAGTGGGCGACGAGGATGTTGAGGAAGGGGAAGTGGAGGGCTGGATCAAGCCACCTCTGGATCCCGACCCGCCACTCCCCGTCTTCTCCTTCAGGACGTCCAGTTCCAGGCTCTCCTTGCTGCCCCGGCCGCTGCTCATCAGCATACCGCGCTGGGTGGTGATGGTGTACACGCGAGCAGGCTGCAGGGGGCACTCGACGCACTTCTGCTGGTCTTCCTCCGCCGAGAAGCTGCGCTCGAGGGACAGTCGAGACGCTTTGGTAGAGATGGTGATGGAAGGGGGAGGAGGCTGGAGTAAGCCCAGGGGGGTCTTCACCGGGACGCGCTCCCGTCTGTCCTCGCGGCCCTTGGTGGCGTTGGAGCAGAGATGGAGGCGGTTGTTGTTGTTGTTCGGGCTTATCGTGTCACTCGTCGACTCGGGGTCGGGACCCACCGCGGTTTCACACAGAAGATGAGCTGGAGTGATGACGGAAAATAGACATCCATATATGAGCGCTTCATAATAAGGAATTATGATTATTATTACGAGAGAGGGAGGAAAAAGAAGAGCACAGCTGAGTATGACACCGAGGAAAACCTCATCTTTATCTGGTTACCAGCTGGTGTGGTAACCAAGATGGCAGCCTTGCATTTTCACAGAGGATGGGGTGAACCAGGTAAAGATCAAGAAGGAAGAGCAGGCACAGAGGGATGGACAGATGGCAGGATGTCTGAGACGCTGACCTGATCCGTTTCGGTTTTCAGGGTGTGTGTGGGACAGGTACTCTCCGAATGCTCGCGCTGCTCTGTGGGGACACACGACACACATAAAGACATTATTCATGGGTTGGGGGGACAGTACGGGTGAGCTGAAAGGAGAGGAAATGAAATGGAAGGGTAGAGACGGGCGATGGAAGACTGTAAACCATGAACCTAATTGCATTCTTTGGGCTTGTGCCGCCCACAGATTAAAGATGCAGCGGTTTTATCTCCACGCGTCAGGCTGCCGCAGACTTAAAGAAACGGAGGAGATAGTGTGGAGTGAAGGATTGTTCTACTTGGTTTCTCAGTGTGACCTCGGCTTTGTTCCGAGGGTGTGATTGCATCTGCAGGCCATAAATATGTTTGTGTCCTTCTTTCATACATGTGCGGATGTAAGCAGTATATTTGTGTCAAGAAAAATCGTGAACTTTGGCAACCACTGAAGGAAAATGGATGCTGCGGGCGCCATGGCGACAGTGCTACACCTTTTTCTTCCCCCTCATGGTCTTTCTTTTACTCACACATAGAAATAACACGCACTAATACCTTAAACTCAAAGGTCTCTAAGGGCTCCAGCTTTTAATAGAAAAGCCTCTGGTCTCTGTGTGTGACAGGAAGAGCAAAGTGAGACTGGGCAGACAAAGGAAGACAAATAACTCTGAAGATGTGCTTTCAATATCAACCGAGAGCGAATGAGGCGCAGCAGTAACTATTAGGAATAACGACGTGACAATAATTAGGAATGAGAGGAAAGGAGAGCGGTTTAAGTAACACTGGATGCCATTGAAGATGAGTTACTCCGATTGCAAGGATCATGATCATGTGAAACGCCATGTTTTTACTTCTCAGAGGAAATCCTGCGGCTTCTCACCTTTTTATTCAGCTGTAGTTAAATTAACCAGTAGCATGTAAGACTTGGTGCTTCCAAGACTACTGGCATCAATAAAACACAACCTGGTGTAAAAAGCATTGTGCGTCTTCAAAATGAAACATTACCTGGTGTTTCCACGGCTGCTGATACAATATCACCCGTTCACATCTTCTAGCTCATTCAGGAAAGTGTCCTCTGTCCCAACGTGGCTGAAGTTGGAGGCGACCGTGCAAACGAATCCCCCGAATACAGGTGAATCCGTGGGTAACCGACCTCCTTCCCGGCAGCTCCGTCAATTATTAAAGCCCGTCCAACACAGCAGGAGCAGCGAGGAGAGCGGGTGCAGTGAAGAGTGACTTTTCACCTAACGTTCATCTTTCCTTCCCTCTCACATGGAGTTTCTTGTTCAAACGGAGCCCCGGTCGAGACCGATGCATTAAAAACGGCACATTCGTAAGGTTACGCGGTTGAGCGCCTTCATCACTACGACTTTAATATTCAAGTTAATAACTTAATATCATAATTTGCCATATTATTCCCTGTTACTGAACAAAGAAGTAGAAGCTGCCGCTGTCGCCTATTTTGGGAAACCGTTGTTCTCCCCCCTGATAATGGTCCTTTGTGAATACATATACATACATACGTAATTGTGTAGTTTTTGACACCATCACCTCCTTACCCCTATTTGTGGTGGAGGCTTTCTGTGAGAGATCAATGCTAGTGTGTTCAGTGTAATATACTGTAATTACACTTCATACTGTAGTCTGCCCGCAGTCCCAGAAACCAACTGGTGGACCAACATATGAACATATACCGTACTACTAATATATCTCTGGCTTGTTATTTTGGTGTAATTTGATTAAACACACGTTGATTTAAGAGTATGCACCTTGTAAACACTGGTGAATTAAATATTTCAAATGCGGATTTGACTCTACAACCCAAGGTCCCGAGACCAGGGGGATCTTTGATCATGTGAGTCGTAATGTTTTCACTACTTGAGGTTTCTGTGCGTACAATACTTTGTGCTTTGTGCGTTTGCGAGCCTCTCCGTGCATTCAAGAGATGAATTGTTTGTTTCTGTGTACGTTTGCGTGAACACACAGAAACGTAACGAGCGAACCAGCCCAGTTAAGGACAGTTTGTGATGAATGTGGTCTACGCTGCAATCAGCAGGTGTTCCTCCGAAGCGCTGAGACATTTTCATTTTACACTCCTGTTTCATTATTCAAGAGGCCGGGCACTCTGATTAGAATCCGCAAACAATGGTGCAAGAGACTCTCATCATCCATTATACATGAGCAGAAACCGAGTCGGAAACGGGTGGAGCAAAGCGCCTCTCAATCCATCCATAAACACAAAACCGTCTCTCTGGGTTGTCCCGTGTCCCCTTTTTGCACCTACTCCCTACGTGATATGTGGGCACGACACGCCAGGCGCACGGGTGCATGCGGCAGAAGGGGAGATAAACCCTGCAGCCTCCTGTGAAAAATGAAGGTGGTGAAGTCGGAGACGAGGAGCCTGACGGGCAGATATGAAATTCACCCTGCATGCTCTCAGACATGTGACAGGGGTTTGGGGAGAGGAGTGAGGGAGTGAGTACAGAGAGGGGAGAACAGCGTACAGCAAAATGGGGGAATATTAAAAATGAAAGGTAATTGTGAGGAAACCGAGGAAGACAGACTGAGAGAGCACAGTGAGGACACCGAGGAAGGAAGCGACGCAATCGAGTCTGCTTTTCTCCTCCAGGACATCTGGTTCTTTGAGAATCAACCCAGCCCTGAACGCCCGGGTCATTTAACCCCTTAAGTGGCTTCTGCAGGGCCATTAAATGCCATATGCCACGAGTCACGTGTCAAACGCCAGTGACGAGGATGGCAACGGTTCAAGTTTAGTCTCCTGGATTCAGATCAGAACAGATTAGAGACTGCGGGGACGGACAGGAGTGGCCTCTGTGGGGGTGAGGTCTTTAACATTAAAGGTGCGGTTCTGTTTCCACATATTTCACTATAGAATGAACAACTTAAAGAGACATAATTGCGTTAATGTTTTAGAAACCATTCCAGGATGGCAGGTTTATGACTTTATGAGAAACGAGCGTTGGCCCATCCTCTGCCAAACACTTTACGAGTGTGATTTGTTATTACAAGCAGTTGTCCAGACTCGTGTGTGTTTTATGTAAAGCTTCCCCACAGTAGTGCAAGAAACTCACAATGTCCAATCGGCCCGTGTTTGCATCGCTGTGTGTCTCACCTAGGTGACGGTATCCCGATAACATCGCCGGCGGAGGCCATATTTTCAGCTGTTAAATCGGCTGTCACAGCGTCCTTGAAACCACAAACCGGCCTTCTGGGAAACGTTCTCACCTGCCCGACAGGGCCCGAAATCCCTTCTTTGTTTATTGCCTTCCACAATGACACATTGAAGCGTTTTCTCGTCCTACACCATAATCTGCCACGTGACAACACAGCGGTTAAAAAAACAACAACCCGGGCAAGGTTAGCGGATGATCGGTCAGTACGAAATAACACAATAAGTAGTAGTTGAGTTTGGATAAACGTCACGGTTTCAGGTAGCTAAAGTTAGGCGACCGCAGCCATCATGGCCACAAAGAAAAGTACCCGGGTGACGTCCAGAAAACAGATGCTCTTTCTAAATGTTTATTTCTTTTTTTTTCTCTCACTGCTTTTTCACTTTGACGCCCTTGTTTGTCTTCGGACGGCCTCCAACTCCAATGTCACGCAACGAGGACGACGTTGCAATGCCTCTGATAGAGTGACCATACAAAGTACCGCGAGTGCAACGTGCATCCTGAAGCTCCCGCCGAGTGACAATACAGTACGGGCACATTTTTATCCCTCGTCTGCGGCTGTGCGGTTCAGAACGTACTTAGCAGCACTTTGCAGGCCCAGTGAGTCAGACAGAATTACACACACACACTCCAGCCCTCCTTTAAACACTTTCTACCACGAGCTTCACAGTCGCATAAATGTATCCTCCACAGCAGGACGACGCACCTGAGCAGTCTCTCTTTTAATGGATCCGCACAGAACAATATGTATGAGTAGATACTTGGCAGATGGGGACGTTATAGAACGGTAAACAACCCTTTTATCGCCAGTCTCTCCAGGTTTGTGCTCGCTAATGCAGATCCAGATGGGGGAACATGACTCATTGCTGATTCCAGCGTTACTTTCTCCTCTACTTTTAAATCTATTTTTTTTTTTTTGCTTCTCGTCAATCTGATATTTTTTCTGCTTTAGTTTGCGCACCAAAAATGCCCACAGACATTAAGCAAACGATGTGTCTTCCAAGTGGAGTCAAATTAAAGTAGATATTATTTGGAAAAAAGGGTAAAGTCAATGCAATTGGATGCAAAATATTGGCCAGTTTCAAAAAAATACCAGAGAAATAAATCGCAACCATTTCATCCGAGGATCCGGTTCGAATGTCGTGCTTTTTTTGTACCGTCATATAATTTGAACTATATTCACCAAAAAATGATCTCCGTACTAAATGGACCAACAGGTCAACCGGTTAAAGAACTGACACGCAAGCACTTATCGAGATCCATGTATTTTTAACGCTGCGTCTGTTATTGACCCCTTATCTAATCTCATGCCGTTTCCCTGTCGATTGTCACGCTGTTCAGCGCTGTGACCATATATATCTTTTAGCCGACGAGCGGCCGGAGGCTTCAAACAGGCCGCCGCTCCCCGTGTTCCCACTGAACATCATCAGAGCTGACGCGTCCCCGGGCGGCGTCTCCCCACTGTAAACAATGGGCTGCCAAGCCAAGAGATTCCTCACTCTTAATGCCCTGTAATCGAATTCTCCTCTCAGATGGTCTAATTGAATTGGGTTTCCTTCAAACGCTCGCAAACACACACACACACACACACACACACGCAGAAATGCACAGCTGGGGTGATGAAAACGTGTTGAGGGGCCGGCTGCCTGCGTGCGCTCCGGGCCAGAGGGACTTGGGAACGTTAATTGCGCGTCTTGAAATTGTGGTGCGTTATGGGCCGTTATGGGGAAACAGCACCTGATCTGGGAGCTGATAATAAATGTCAGTATGCTGGTGGTGAAACGCTACCAGCATACAGCTTCAAATGACTCACAAACACAGTAGCCTACACACATTTAACATAGGGATTGTTTCTAATATTCCAGGAACAGTTAGTTTTACCCAAAAAGCACAACACGTAAATATTATGCTTGATCTTGTACGTCGATAAAACGATCTTTACTCAAGATCTGCTCGATTTGTTCTAAAACTTTTGACCATATCGTAAGGTCTTTGTTGGCAAATGAAATAGTAAATGAATAGATGTTGCATTATTGTAAAACGATTGTATGATCAAAGAATAGATGCACAACAGCAGACACACATCGCACAACACTGCTGGAGCCCTCATCATTCTTCACAGTGTAATCAATCAAATGTAAAATTACATAAAAAGAAAATCACATAATGGCGCTCCATGAACATAGGGAAAGTCGGCAACAATGAGAACCCCCAAAAAAGCACCTGTCGAATAAAGTAAGACACCATATTTAATAAATTCGTCTGTAAAAAAAACAAAACAACAACCCATTTCCTCATCTTCCATCGCTGCCCTCTGCCCGAACCACACCACCGCCCGACACTGAGATCAAAGCATTCGCTTCTTCGCTCAATGTCGCAGAATTCTGCTGTGTAAATTGGAATTAATATCACCCCCCCCTCCCTCCCCCTCCCTCGCTACTGCTCATGAGCTGCTGGAGGGGAAAGTGTGACCTGCTTCCTAACCAGCAATCATAATGCATATGATGACAGACACACAGACACCAGGGACAAGACGCCGGTGTCTTTGCGGTCTTCCCCGTGTCTTTATTTGAATTCATTCCCTACGGATGAGGGCATCAGCTGTTGAGGGATGTCCGCTAAACGAGGCTTCAAAGCTCCACAACGAAGTGTCCGTCAAAGCTTTTCTGATCTGGCACACGTGTCGGCAGGACTTAGTGATCCCTTAAGTCATGCCAGAACGGCTGGATGGATTACCATCATTACCATTGATCACTATGCGGTCTAGCCTAGGAAGTTTTTGGTAAGTGTAGACACGGTCCCCCAAGTATAGATCATATACACACAAACTTGATAGAGTGAACACATATATGGTCTGTCGAGGTCAGGAAAACACTAGATTAGTTGTTGTGTGTACAGTTCATCAGATGTGTGTGGAGATGGAGAGAGGCCCGACTACACACCTGTTTGTGTGCGAGGTGGAGCGGTGCAGAGGAACGACGCACGTCCACCAGGTTGTGTGCATCTACAAAGGCAAGGTTCATTCTGCCATTAACTGGGGAAAATGAGAGGACGAAAACATGATGGGGAAAAGGCTCCTCTTTGAGATGGTCTCCCTCACGCGCACACAGTGGGGTCGGTGACGTGCCCCGGACACCCGTCACGTTGTGAATGAGCATCACATTCTCGTCCCAAGGTGGCACACATAGAAAGCATCCTCCTGCACGCGATGAATGCAGAGGAAGCCTCGCGCAGGGACTGTGCCGCGTAAAAGGGGGAGACACATGTGAGGTAATGACGTAATGCCACGCCGCCGCCGCCGCCCCCCAAAAGCCGTGGACGTCGAGCGACGTTTCACAAGTCAAGGTCAATCACCGCATGAGTTAAAACTCCGAAGCGGGGGGGTCCTGTGAAGCGAAGAGCCCGCTGTGCACACACACACACACCCACGGCCGTGCACGTGCGTTTCAGCTCCGGCTCAGCCTCGGTCACGCGGGGAGGAGATGGCTGAGCCTCCATCACTCCGCATGGTGCCAGAGACGCAACGCACGCGGCGCTGTACAGCGAGCGAGTGAGTCGTTACGCGGCTTTTAGTGGCGTGGACTCGTGCCAAACGGTCTGAGTCACACTCATTGCATTTATTTATTTTTTCCACGCAGACTAAAGGAAACAGCCGCTCTGTGTGACCGGTTCCAATACCTGCGATCGCAATAGTGAATCGCTGCAAACGATCGATCGCGGTGACTGATTGATTGATTCATTAACAACTGGATCCTTTGCACGCCGGGGTGTGAAGTCAGCAGCCTCCTGCCGCTGGGGTCGATGGCGACCAGACAGAAAGGCATTTTTGTTTTTAAAATCACCATTCAAGAGATGAAGATGCCAGTTGTTGTCTGATTGCACACTCGATGGATCGTCTTGATGATCTATTTCTAGGGAGAGCCTCCCAAAGTCCGAGCATCTTAGTCCACTATGAGTCACAGCAGCCCTCGCTTTGCCTCTGCATGACTTTCATTACACAATGATGCTTCGTGCACCGACGCCTCGTGGGTTCCAATGTGGTCTGAATGAAACACAGCCTCCCCTTAAGAGATGACCTCAGCTGGCTTCTGTCGCGCACCACAGGGGCTGTTTTTATTTATGGCATGAAAGGCTCATTCTAACCAGCACCCGTTTGCACTGATGCACGCCCCGGGCCAGACGGGACAGTCTGCAGACGTGCGATATAAAAAAATAAATAAATATATAAAAAGCTCAAAGAGCCTCTCTGCGCATCAAAAATAAAGGACGAGCTGTACCGAGCGACGCGCCGCGGGAATCCAACGGCCACACGTGGCGACCTGCCGCTCGGGTCTCCCCGGCCGGCCGCCCGGCCGCCCGCCATTGGGTGGGTTCGAAAGGCGCAGAGATCCGGGTGATACTCACCTAACTTTTGCTGCCACGGAGGATATCGCATCGTTTCCTAAATGCTTCCTTTTGGACACGGCGGTTCCCATGCTGGCATGGACACGACGCAGGCAGGAAAACGGTTCATTCCAAAGACAAAACAGTACAAAAACCGCATAAAAAGTTGATGGAGAATCCGGGGAGCAGACAGCATGCAACGCACGCGTGTGCAGAGCAGAGGATGCACAAAAAAGAGCGACGTCTCCTCTCTCCCTCTCTCTCCCTCTCTCACTCCCCCCCCTATAAGCACGTATACGCGGGGTGGCTGCACAGCTGTCGGTGTGTGGCTGAAAATACACGGTCCGCTCTGCCTCTCTCATTCATCTGAAAATGCACTGGAAGGTGATATCATCACACGGCGTGTATGTTGGGGGGGGGAGGGGGGGACCTCTGCTTTTCATCCATCCAGTATTTTTAGGATCAATATGCATATCTTTATGTAAACGGTCGTTTGGGCAGAAGCCCCCCCTCTCTGGCACGTTAAAAATGGTTCTCATCCACAGCCAAGGACACCAGGAGCAGTGAGGTCGAGGTGCTCTGTAGTTCAAAAAGCATCATAACGACGGCTTTAGACTGATGTATTTTTTTCCTTCACGCAAACGTGATCAGTATTCAAAAGATGGCAGGACACTGACGTACTATAAAGGGCTTCTGCATCTGTGCAGCAGGATTTCCTTGCAGATTTAGGAGAACTCCTCAGATGTTTCTTTCTTCAGGGATCCGCAATGCTTCCAGTTTGTACTTACTTTGTAACGCAATTGTGATTGCAACATTGAAAAGAAGATGTTTCATAATATCCTGGTCGGAGTTGGATGTGCTAGAGAGTCTGCGACTTAATTATTTAACAATTGCTTTGAGTTATTATTAACCAACCGCGAGCCTACATCTAGTATTATCCAGTGTTTATCTAATGCTCAACTAGTTCAGATGTTGTCCGCATGCATGCACAAAATAGAAGTGCACTTCTATTTTGTGCAATGAGAGATAAAATCTTGTATCATCCACAATAACACCACAATCCAGGAAACCGTTCCATGTATACTGTAACCAGATTATATCCAATCTACAGCATTTTATCTAATGGTCCAAACAAATACTGTATTGTAATTATTAAATTACGTGCTATTCAACTTTATTGCTTTTTGTTTAAAGTAATCCATGTCTGCAAAAGTACCAGCAGTGTAGAAAACCACACTGAGAAGAACATAGTAAGTGGTGAACACTGGTGTATGCACACATACGTACATGCTATTACACATCTGCGCATGCTATTACACATCTGGACCCGTGCACAGATCATATAAACAGACAGCAGCACGGGTAGCAGAGAGCAACGGTCGATTAGCCTTCAGGCATCAGATCGATCAATCTTTTAAACCACGGGTCATTTCATCAGCAGCCCTGAATGTGCAGACTGTCCTTGAGCTTTATATCTTTTAAAATGTGCTTCGCCTACGCGCGTGCGCACACACAAGACAAAATAATTGAATATCAATAAATATAGCAAAGCACGGGGCTGGTGTGAGCTGCTGGAGGTCATTAAGCAGTAAATAATTTGAGGCAGTTCTGAGGAGACTGAGGGAACGTGTGTGGATGTGCTGTCGATGAGCACCAGAGACGGAGGGATGAATGGATGCAGAGGGGGAGGGATGATGGAGCTGCGCAGCCAGGATGAAAAAAGGAGAAGAAGAGGAGGATGATGGATAGAGGAGGGATGAATGAATGGATGCATGAATGGACAGCGCAAAGCCAAAAAACGGGGGAAGCACGCGGGAGGGTGGCGGCAGAATGCAAAGGAATGAGGGCGAGGAAAAGGCGACACGAGGATGAATGAGAGCGACGATTCATGCTTTTCATTCTGTAAATGCGGTGCAGGGACGTGTCCGCACACGGTGGGAAACAACTGGGGCCATGTGCTGAAAAGGGATGAGGACATTGGAGGAAAAGAAAGACACATGTGGCCATAAATCCACATCAGGATCGGCCTTTTTATCTGAGACTTGATCGGTCCATCTGACCGAGAGCTAGCTGATAAAAATACCATCAAAGGAAGAACTTGGGTAACGAAAGAAGTCATGGTGTGTTGTGAACGTACCTCGGGCAGGATATTTAATCTGTACACGTAAGGGCAAACATTAAACTAAACCATGAAGCGTGGCCTACTTTTGGACACTTTGAGGACATTACGTGTGTATTATTTATTGAGGCCGGTAGTAAAGCTGAAAACGTTTTAACTGAGGCAATGTTCTACGTAGCTCCCCTTGAGTCGATACCAATCTTCAAATGTACTGTTTAATTTAAGGAAAATGATTCTAGAGGGTCAAACCCACATTAAAAAATGATTCTTCCCATCTGCGATGAACTTTGATAGTGGATTATGATTTAATTTGCCTCATTTCACTGATTAACTAAGTCTTGGAGGACAGTTGCAAAGAGCTTCATTACCTTCTTTAATTAACATTGTGTTTGAATGCACAATATGAGGACACTTTACTGTATCATAAAACGTGACGTAGCTGGATATCTTGTGGTGAAAAGTTATTACTAGTAAAAATATTGCTTTTAGCACTTGTGAGGATGTTTTTCTGGCTCTTAGATGCTGTAACCAACCTAAAACACTCAATTCTAACTCCAAACTTCAGTTTGATTTAGAAGCCTTTTCTTCAAATCCATCAAGGTAGCTGTGTCTGTCTGTTTGGATTAGCTGGGTGTTACTTGTATTAATAATTTGCAGTGTTTTAGTCACGAAGCAGTCCACCACTCTGGTCCAGACTCAAATATTTCTGGATATTTTGTATGGATTGCCATGAAGGTTTGTAAAAACATTCATGGTCCCCTGGAGATGATCCCTAACGACTGGTGATCGTCTGACTTTTCCGCCATTGCTATGATGAGTTTCACAGTTTTGAGTATGAAGGAAATAATTCAAGTTTTGAGTTCATAACCCTTACAGCCTATTTTTGCATCAATCTGCACAGCCCTTTTGTTAAACAAGTTTCTATCTTAGTACATTAAACCATCAAGGACTTTTTCAATAAACCATGTTCTCTTGAGTTAAGCTGTCTGAAGATGAGGGAGAAGAACGATAGCAATGAGAAGAAAGCAAAGGGGAAAACAGCGTGAGGTCTTGAGGGTTAAAAAGTATTAAAATTGACATCTAAATCTGTGTGTTTGTTAATTTGCCAAGAATATCCGTCCCTGTTCAAAAAGGAGATCTATAAGTAGGTACTTCCCATTAAAACGATGACCCTCCTCACCCAACTCAACAGAAAGGAGCGAGAGGAGATGGATGGCAGCCGTAGAGCGACAGAAAGCACAGAAATGTGTGCTGAGGAGAAATTTTCATGGGAAGATGATGGATAGTGCAATCTGAGGTGTGTGTGTGTGTGTGTGTGTGTGTGTGTGTGTGTGTGTGTGTGTGTGTGTGTGTGTGTTTAGGTGTGACAAGTTTAACCTACGGGTAACTACAATAAGGGGGCAGGGAGGACTCAAGTCTCAGTTTAGATTAACTGCCACAAAATCATACTTCATTTCCATCTACTGCAGCTAGAAAAAAACAATTAGATATTTAATCCAGTGAGAAAACGTTCTTTAAATCTGTAGTTATTGTATTGCCAACGTTTTTTTGTCTGGATTTGTCCTCGTAGGCACCTACTAAAGTGCAGTGATGCTATTTCGCTGATCTAACTCTGATATGTTGCTACCCACACACCAAGCACTGAAACATCTAAACCACATATTTAATGTGCAGTTATTCTGTCTTCACTGTTTTCCGCTTTGTCCGTAGTCAACTGAGCTATAGTGTCAAATAAACCAAAAGAGCAAAACCAGTCAGCACATCTCACCCTGAGAAGCCTGTGTAAATGACACCTGATAAACGAACCTTGGGCACTTCCACAAGCAGATTCATTTCGAGGGCTGTGACTTTAGTGTAGATCCAGAATATTTCCTTTCTGTCAGCGTTCTGTACTTGTGCGCTAAATGGAGTAGACGAGCTGCCAGCAGCAGGTGAGCAGTTCATTTTGATAGGAATGGCTTATTTTAGTAGACGGATGTCAAGTAGGTGAACCAAAGGCTCGCAATAAGGAATGTAGAAAATCAGCAGGCATGATGTCATTTATCTTCTGGCTGCTGTTTTTTTTTTTTTTTTGTTGACGCAGTTGGTTTGACGGTTTTAAATAGAATTCCTTGTTTGTCGAGCAATTTCACTAGATCCATGCGTTGGCAATTGAGGTATCGAACCATTTGGAGCTCCATCGCTGTTTTCGTTTGATGCTTCTTTGAAAACTACCGTATGAAAGCAGTGATTTACAGTCTTCTTTCGTAGCGTACAAAATGTTTACAATAGTTTTTCAATTATTTTCTGCGTTGTAGCTCCCCACTTCGCCTGCACAGCCATATGCCACATCCAATCTATTCCATAGAGGGGGAAAAGCCAAAGAAAACCACAAATAGAGGAGACTATTGCAAACTGAGTTAGAATTCCAGTTGGAGGATTACATTTAATCTCCAAAGTGCCATTGTGGTGCTGGTTTCCTCAAGTGGCGACTCTAGCAATGCTGTGACGACAGATCTCAACAATTAAGTAAGTGGCTGAAATGTTCTCAGAACTCAAAGGAGGCATCAATTACAAAATATGCAAAGTCATAAAAAAAAAGTCTCTGGAGGAAACCGTCTGCACAGCTCTCCATGGAGCTGAAACCAGACACCCTCCAGAACTTGAAGGAGAAGCACTTAGGTAAAATACTATTGTGAATACTAATGCTGGCATTGACCTAGAAGAAGCATTTGGCACAGTCTTGGCAAAGATGGCTAACCCCAAATTATCTCAAGGCCAAACGCCGAAAGGAGAGACATCAGACTGGAGGACAGTTGGTGGGCCGATGGGAAACTGAACGAGGAGCCACCGGGAAATTAAACGGAAACCGATTTAATAAGATGTTGGACAGAGAGATGAAGGGTATAACTATCCCAGGCAAACGCGCGTCTGTGTCCGGTGCGCACATGTGTATGCCGCCTGTGTTTTTTAAAAAGTGAACCCACGTCACGCAGCGTGCTTGCCTTCACCTCCTCCCCCCTCCTCCCCACCCGGGGGCGCTTAGGGCAGCCCTCATTATTTACCACCATGAACTTCATTAGAAGGTGGTTCCTCTGGTGACTCATCCGCCGCGGCTCCATGTGGGTTCTCTCCCCTGCTGGACAAAGGTGTCGGGGAGGGTAA